CTTTTTTAAGACCAAAACCTTGAATATGGAAAAAATTATTTGGAGTCCAAGATTTTAAAAAAAATATTGAAGAATCGAAAAGTTCAAAAAAAAAGCAAAAAAAAAAATGGTTAAAGTATTTTGAAATTTATCGTATGTTAGAAAAATTAAAAATTCTGGGAAAAATTTCCTTTCTTTGGGTTTTCAAAGATTTAGAGGTGATATCATACAAGCAGGAAAATTTTTAAAGGGAAGGAAAAATATAGATTTTTAATGTATTTTTTTTAAAAAGCACAAAATTGAAAACATTCACATCAGAGGGAAAAACAATTTTAAGTTGAAAAAAAATCATTTTTAAAAAGGAATTAAGAAAACATTTTTTTTCATTTAAAAGTAATACCAAGTGGAAAAAATTACCCCGTTCTGAGTATGTTTACCAACGCTTGGGAAATTTGCCCAAAAAAAAACCCCCCGGGGCCCCGGGGGGTTTTTTTAAGGGGTTTTGGAAAAAAAAAATTATATACTGTTATTTCCGGATAATAATCTTTGGGTTTTCAGACCTTTGGGGGGGGTTATAAGAGATTTTTTTATCTCGCGACCCTACGCTTTGGAAAAAAGTAAAAATAAAGTAAAAATATTTGCCGAAGGAACACAACTACTTCATCACCCTGATCCCTGGATCAAGCTTCTTCCCTAGCATAGTTTTTGTAGTTTTTTAAATGTCATTTATAATTAATTTGACTATTTATTTTTCACAATTGTTCTCCTTAAAACCCCAAAGGGCAAAAGTCAATTAGGGAAAGGGGAAATATGCAAGGGAAATTTTTATCAATTTTTAAAGCTATATTTTTTTTGGGAAATTTTTAGCATTATTGACTAATGTAGAATCTATTAAAAAAGCCTTTACACGTAAAATATCAAGTTTAATGTTATATTTAAGACATTTATTTATGCAAAAAATTAATAATTATGATAGGATGAAAATATTATTTTATTGGAGCAGAATGCACAACTTATTTGTTATTGTCAGAGCGTTCTTAGAAATATCAAAATATCATTATTATCATTTATAGAAAAGCTACTCTGTAAATGGACTCCTCACTAAACCGTTCTTGTTTATAAAAAAAAAAAAAAAAAAAAAAAAAAAAAAAAATATATATATTTTTTTGGTCAGCTTTCCAAGGAAATATAAGACATGGGACCTATTGGTATCTATAGAATTTTTTTCCACGATTATGATGGAAATAGGGATATGGTAAGAGCAGAAACATGAGGGTTTGTATTATGTTTAAAGATCGAGCAACATACGGATTCCTAGTGCCTTTGCGACTGTACGAGAAAACACCATTCTAAGGAATTTGAACAGTCTGTTATTTAAAATCAGGTTGATTAACTATTAAACGATACTTTCAATGTTCAAAATAATTTTTTATCAATAATAAACGAATAATAAGCGTCAAACGCGGTGCCTCGACATCTATACATGTATTGTGCGAAAAAACAAAATTCCACGTAAATTTCTTTTTTTAAATCTATTCACGCAGGCCCATAATTCTGGATAGTTTTCTCCAAAAAGCTTTCTGAATATGTTTTTTTAGAAAGAGAAACAGACACACACACAAACGAAGGTATGAAAATTGTTTTAAAATGACCGGGGTAGCAGAGAAAAAATACTCGAATTTATTTCATGAAACAGGTGCCCCGCCTTATTTTGCTGTTGTTATTGTTTTTTGTTTTGTTTTGCAAAAGACTTTCATAATGTTGGTATACAGTAAATATTTATCCCATACAATTGACTTTTTATGCTAAGAAATTATTTTCTTTTTCATAAAATACATGCATGGCGAGGTGAGATTTGAAGAATCAACGCGGTTATTTTACAATGTTACATAAACAAAACGCTGCGCCGCTAATTTCTTTCACAGACACTTTGGGTGTGGAGCTTTAAAATCCAAATAAAATGTACATTTGTCAATACCAGCACATGTACTGATCATATATGTATAAAAAACTAAATATAAGCCGTTTTGAAAAAAAAAAAAATATTTCAACGTCTATAATAATACACAAGATAAATTGTTCGCCGGAAAAAGTCCGCACACCTGCCGTCAAAAACACTATGTATTTTATTCTGTTTCCAATATTTTCACAAAATCCTTTGGTCCATCGACACAAAAGATATAAATCTTCAAGATGATGGTCAATTTTAAACTTCAACGGTAATATAAACAATGCAACTGGCAAAATAAACATCGAGATTATCGCCGTTTTACTCCATTTACAAAATCTTTCGACAAATTCAAACGTGGCGCCATATACATTTTATTTGGATTTTATAGGCGTTTTGAGCTTTACACCCCAAGCGTCTGTGATTTCTTTGATTCTTGTCCCAATCTTATAAGATTTAAGGGTTATTCAACACACGTTTACTCATTTTAAACATACTATGATACAGATTGTTTACTGCCCAAATATAAAAGGTGTTGCTTTGGAAAACGAACTTATAAAATCGGTTAATAAATAACGGCGCTTCCTTAGTTCTTTTTTTTCTTTTTTTTTTTTTTTTTTGAGTTTTTGATAAAGAACGAAAATTAAGATTTTAACCTTCCAGTAAATTTAGAAAGAAAAACAGAAAAAAAAAATTCCTAATAATTAAATGCCACAACTCAAAACTTAAAAAGTTGGCATATCTTGCGTAAATTCAAAGCGTATTGGTAAGCCGGGAAAATGTACTGAGGAAACTCGGGACCGTAACACATTTAAATTCTTAACATCCTTTAAACAACTTTCATAATTGTATTATAGAAAGAAATTTAAGCATAAAACTATCGTCTTTGAAATAAATCATCAAGTATATTTATAATTATAAATTTAAAAATAAATACATGTAATACAATCTAAAAATAACTTCTCAATTTGGACCGTGTCAGCATGGAAAATTGTTTAACTGATTCCGGAAAAGAATCACGGCTCGAATTTAAAAAATCAAATTTATTTATTTAAACTTAATCTTATAAATTTATAGTTGACACAAAGAAATTAAGTAAGGAAGAAACAGGACTGCGCATCAATTATTAATAGTGTCAACATTTCCGAAGTGTATATTGGCCAGCGTACCGGTGTCGGCGTTGTGGAATACATGTAGTTGACACATTTTAAAAATAAATATTAGGTTGAATATATTTTCTATACCGGGACAAAACTTTTCTGCAAAAATTTTCTGGAACATCGCTTAAACAACACGAAATATCCAGACCATTACGGCATGCTATGATAACAGTCTTTTATTACACGGATAAATGGTACATGTACACAGGTTCTTTCAGATACAGTCAAACGAAAAATGGGTGCTCGGAGTAACGAGTTTTATTTTTCTGAAAACAGTTGAGGAATGAAAAATTAACGCAAGAATTAACCATTTGAATTCTTTCATAGCGTAATGCATGTTTGAAAAACAAAACTTTCCTATAGGCAAGGAGTTGCTGTTTTTAATACACAGCAAGTTGTGACTAACATAACTATACTAACATAGATTGATGACAATTTACATTTTAATGAAATACAGTATTTTGTTTATCCTTAACCTTTAATAAACATATTTATAAAAAAGAGGACTAAATTAAAAGTTACCCCGCATCATTTTAAAGATTTCTATCCTGAATTACTAAAATATTCAAAGATAATTTCCTGGCGATTTATTTTATTGTGGCAAATAAATATAATTTAATAATAACATCATTTAAGAAAAAATTTCCACTTTTTAATAGTTTTAGATATTTTTAGCCACGCAAAAAAAAATGACAACATTCACGCAAGGTACCGAAAAATATCGATTTTTAGCGTACATGTTACATTACTGTAGCAACATCACAATATGGCGGCGTTGTTACACAAATGAGACGGTGAAATGAAACTAACGTGGTTTACTTTATTCTAAGTTGATAGTCTGGCACTTTTTGTGTGCTGTTAATTCCTTAAAATTGTATTGTTGAATAAAGTCTTAGTTTAAATTGTCTGCATTTTCACATTTACATCGAAATCCACGTTTCACCACAGAAAGGTCTCCTTTTGGTTTTGACGTTAAAGCGAGATTCTGCCCCAGAACGAAAATATCTCAGAATCAAGCTTTGGCACGTCAATATATTTTGACTAAACTCACTTCATCAACATGATCCATGGATCAAGCTTCTGTCATAGCATAGTTTTCGTAGTTTTAACTGTCATCATAATTATTATGACTATTGATATTGTCACAATTGTTCTCTAAACCCAAGGACAAATGTCAATTAGGAAGGGAAGTATGCAAGAATTTTAATCAATTTAATGCTATATTTTTTTGGGTAACTTTTTAGCATTATGCCGTTGACCCGTATTTTCGGGGGTTTAATGCTTTAAATTAAAGCCACCGTTTTTAAAGTAATAGTAAATGGAAGACAAAAAACATCAACAGTGAGTAAAAACTATGACAAACAAAAAAGGAACCGTTTAAAATACGAAAATAAACTATTTCAGTAAGAAATACTAATCTTTCTACTTTCACTATCGGTAGTCTGTGTCGCTCGGAAGCTGTCTCATATTTTCGGGGATTTTGATTGGATGGCCTCGTTCCGGGTAATTACGTTGAGCGCGCCACAAATTCTATACTGCACTCAATATATTTCGGGACATTGGTTTAAGTTAGGTATAAGTTCCGGTGATGAATTTTAAGGCGAAGATACGTTTTTTGTTGTTTTTGTTGCTGTGTAATTGAAAAATAACGTATAGAAATGAAGAAAAGAAAAAATTATAATTGTAATGACATCGACAGATTTATATTTATGTGTTTAATATGTAAAGTACGAATTCTTATGATAGTAATTTATAGAAGTAAGTGTCGGCGAAAACTTGATGCTTTTTTGGAGAGTCCAATCAATCGCACGAGCTATCATTCACAACTGGACATGACGCCACTAAAATATGAGAACCCCCGAAAATATGAGAACAAGGCATATAGACTAATGTAGAATCTATTAAAATGCTGTATTTATTCATGTAACTATTTCCTTTATTTAAGCGTGTTTTCTGTATAAGTGGTGGACGAGGTGGTGGCGGGGTACAATATGCATGGCAGAAATCCCTCGGAAACTACATTGCCACTTCAAGGTATGCTTATACAAATGAATCAAAACAAAATTCTTGTGAATAACTGAAAATTGTTTAACTTTAGAAGAAGGCAGCTGTTCATCCTTACAATTTGCTTACCTGGTGCCATTTGTTGAACTTACTAAGTATTGATTTTTAAATGTATGTAGTGAGTTATTAAAAATTCTACAGCATACTTCAATTAAGTAATAGCGAATATTTGTTATTTGAAATCTTTATTACATGTGTATACATTTTAAATAACTCTTTAAACACCTCCAGATATCTTTTCAAGAGGTAATGTTTAAAATATGACTTTGAAGTGTTCTTGAAAGTTAAGAAGTTAAATATAAGTTGCTATAACAAATTTGAAGTAATTTCAAACAAAGTTTTAAAACGTCAATATTTTCCAGCAATGACAATTTAGTAAAGATTTATGACAGGCATGGAGACCTTAAACAAGAAATACAACTGCAAGGGTGAGTTACAATCATGGATACAGTCCATAATATGCTTCATTTGTGTTATGTATTAAAGCAGCTCTGAATATGGAAGAGTACATCCAAACTTTCAAAATATAAAGAATTTTAATAAGAAACTGAAAATACAAAAGTTGAGCCACCAACAGTATAGAGCCTGGTCAGATTGCACAGACATTCAGGCTAGCCTGGCTCTATACTGGTGGCAAAGCTTGATCACGTGGTTCCAGTAGGTTAACAACTAGATAATGTTTAAAACATGATTATTATGAACAAATTTCTTTACATTAAGTTAAAGTATCAAGTTGCTAAGGTTGTTGCTGATGCAGATGTTGACATCAAATGAATTTTTGATGAAGTGCAGAGAGATGATGTTGTAAAATTTTTATGGCTGATTAAATACCTTATGAAATATTTGATTGAATACATGGCGAGTTTAATATCATAAAAGTCTGTATAAAAGAGTATTCAGGTGCTTTAGATGATGTCATTCCATTGCCTAAATAAATGAGTTTCATGCTCATTGTGACATAATTTCCCCAGTCTGAATCAAGTTGTAAATTCATATGCTACTACATGTATAAAAAATGTTGTTTATACATTTTGTCATAACTTTAAGTTTAATTAATTTTTTTTTGAATAAAAATGGATATGTAACAATCAAGAAAAGGACAAAAATTCCAACTTCAAGGTGTCCAGCCCTCATGGAATTGTTAAGTAGAAGCACTTGGCAAAGCCTTTTCCCTGCCTTTTACAATTACTCTCTAGCTATAATGATATATTTTGATTTGTACATGTATACAGCCAGTGTAAGATTTTAATCACACTATATAATTTATTCATACTTTCAGACCGTGTACAGGACTTGGCTGGGATAAGATGGTGTGATATCTTGGCATTATCATAAAAGAATCAAACTCGCCTTTGGGGATGCTAACAGCAGGCAAACATCCATCTATAGGATAGTTGGACTTAGGTTTGGTCTATTCATCATCATTAACATATCATCCATCATAATATATTAGTTATACTAAAGAGATTCCATTTATGTGAAATGTATCAATTTTAAACGCGAAGCATCCAAATTTCAGAGTAAACTATATGTTCATGTAAAGCACAGAAATTAATAAAAAAATCATGCATTAACCCTATCACTGCGCTGTCTCACACACAAAACAACACGACAAATATAATGCTTATAGAATATAAAACAATCTGTATGGTTTTAGTTTTTAAATTTTAATGGTACATTGTATTTTCATCATAAGTTTTGTTAATGGCATTTTATGATTTACAGAGATCCTTTATCATTCTTGCTTTGGGCAAAGGCTGCGACCATATCTAGCTGTCGGAACTGTGAAGGGTAACCTTCTCATCTATAATCATCAAACATCCAGGTAAGATTTTTATTTAAAATGTATAGAAAGTACTTAAGATAGGTACAGGATTGTCCAGAGAAAAGCTTTATTACATTTGTCATATTTCTTAGAAAATATGAACTTATGAGATATTTTTTATTATTAATTACATTAATCTATTTAATTTTGAAAAGAAACTGTTTACGAAAAATAAAGAATCTGTGTGTGTTGGTTCTAAGCTTAAGGGTCAATTCAACTTTTCAGGCACTGGGAGTACAATCACCTCGGACACTGGTCATGCTTTCCAATCATGTCTATAAATAGTATTTAATAGCCAAATGGTGACCTATTCAAAATACCCAGTAATACACTGAATTAAGAATCATTAGAATCTGGCAATAAAATACTGGTGTACACACTACTGGTAATTTTTTTTTCATCCGGATAATTTCCAAATTGTTAACCATATTGAAAAAATAAGACAATGATTGTATATTATTCTCTCATATTCTTTTCTTAGAAAAATTCCAATAATTGGCAAGCATTTCAAGAAAGATCACATGTGGGATCGTGGAGTAATGAGAACTTGTTAGCACTTGGCAGTGAAGATAAGACCATAACTATTAGTAATGCAGAGGGTGACACCCTACGCCAGACGTCCACCAGGGCAGAGCCTGGAGATATACAGTTCTCAGAGATGAAAGGAGACGAGCGCTCGTCTATGGGTGAAAACACTGTAAGGTTTTTGCAGTTATAAAGGGTTTAGAACTACTCATTGACATTTCACTACAAGCAATTGATTGCTTAGTAGTTAAGTTCGCCAACTTTCAGACTGGTAACTCTCAATTTTGAGGGTTTTAATACAATATTTGAAGTTGAATTTCATTGATATAAGAAAATTATCAGTGTTACTTGTGAAATGTTAGCAGTTTTTATACCCAGGAGCCAGTATATTCCTGATTTACCAACTTCCGCTGAGGAACATTTGAAGGTGTCTTTAAAAAACAAAATTGTAAAAAAATGTGTACTCTTAGAAATGTTTGCAGCCAAACATCCCAAACTTCTATGCTCTTACCTTCTAACTTTCAGCAAAAATAGTCGAATTTTAAATTATATGTTTGCTTAATCATATGATTTTCCTTTCATCTTTCATTTACACATTATCAATTTACTTTATTTCACATTTTATTCGTTCATTTGGAGGCATACAACAGACACAACTCTACTATGTTATGCTGAGACTGTTGTATTTGGATATTTCAGGTTAGTGTGGTGATTGGAAAGAGAACATTGTTTCTATACAACATGCATGATTCAGAGAACCCTGTAGAGTTAGCGTTCCAGCAGAAATACGGCAACATTATGTCCTATAGATGTAATTTTTAGTTGTTTTTAATCGGGCATCCCCACCGCGCCCCCAACCTCAACTTCACCTGTTTTTTTCCCCATCAAAGTGTGTTTTTGGGGCGGGGGGGGGGGGCGGGGTAAAAACCCCCCCCCCTCTTTTTTTTTTTTTTTTTTTTTGCTCAAAACGCTATCCAATATACATGTAATTTATTCTCAGATACTTAATTTCCTCACCAAAACAGTTTATGCATCATATTAAGAAACCACATATACCTTATGTAGGCCTCCATTGCCTTTTGATTAAGATAGCTTGTGGAATCACTTGCCCTTCACTGATTTGAGTTAGATAGCTGACTTGGAATCATTTGCCCCACACTGCACTGAGTTAAGATAGCTGACATAGAATTACTTGCCCCAAACAGCTTTGAGTCCAGATAGCTTACTTGGAATCACTTGCCGTACATTGCTTTGAGTTAAGATAGCTGACCATGGAATCACCTTGCCCGCACCACATGCTATTAAGATTTGAATCTGCCCAGAGTTATGAAGGTTAGTATTAATGGTGAAGAAGTATCACTAGGTGGGCTTTTGAAGTGGTTTTGATGTTATTACTTTAGGAGCACCTGCTGTAATGTCTGACATGACTGGACAGAGTGGCAAAGTCTTCCTCTACCAGTGTTTTGTATTTGCCTTTCTGAAAAGTATCAATGTGATTTAAAACCCATTCAGACTTCGAAGACTTAATCAAACAAGTGTCATGTGAGGTAACTGGGTAAAGCAAGACTCAACCTCAAATTTTGTGCTGAGAGGCAAACCACCATAATCTATAGGACAACTGCAACAATTTTTATTATTTGGTTTTAAGTAGTTTAGTTGCTGTCATTTTTTGGACTTTTTGTTCATTTAGATATTAGATATAAGCTAAGATCTAATATTGGATTTTTCTATCATACTAGCAGGTGAGACGGGAGAATGGTGATATTATGATTGGATTTTTTCAATGGCTTTTTGTGTCATCTCCACGTCACATGAAGGAGAATTGAGTCAGTGTAACATGAAATAGTATGATAAAAAAAAAGTGCTTAAAAGATTTAGTAATCTTGTATAAAAGAAAATCTTTTGTAAACATATCATGTATGTGTTGTTTGCCTTCCAGTTTAGGGCCTGTTTGGCACCTCTTGTTAGTTATTGGTAACACTTTAATTGTCTGATATAGAGTATTGTGTGCATGGGCCCAGATTGGCTACTGAGCTGGCCATACTGAGTTTGTTGGACAAGGTAGTTAGTATGCTGGACAGCATTTAAGTGTGGCTGGATTGCTTATTGAGTGAATCAGACTGGATACTGAGTGCACACGAGTACTGAATGTGTTGACTGGGTTAACTGAGTGTATCAAACTTGGAAATGTCGGTGAGTTGGACTGGCTATGACTAATGTGATTGCTAAAAACTGGCTACTGATTGGTTATTAAGTACAACAGATTGACTAATTAGAAAATTGATATCAAAATTTTGAGTGTATTGTTGTTTAGAATAGTTCAAAATGTGAGCTGGAATAATGATAATCTAATTATATTTCCACTTCTTACTGTTAAAATCATTATTATTTCGTGGGGGCACGAATTTTCGTGGTTTTCAGTGGGTAGGTCAATCCACGAATTTAAGATCCGAGCAAACTTTTATCCCAACAAATGCTTTCTTACCAGTCTTTGATCTAATATATTTACAAACATGCGTCAGCTGCTGTTGTCCGGTCTATATTTCGTGAAATGGATGTAAGTACATACAGATAACCAGGTTAGTGGGACATATTTATCCATTTGCAATATTTAAGAAACTTGAAAGAAAACTCGAATAATTTGTCCCTCAATTTACTGTCACAAATGTCGCATATACCTACTCGATCGTTGTAGTCTACTAGGACATGTGATTGTGTTAACAAGAATACTGTGACATAATGACGAGATAAATATGGGAACCCAGGCAGTGCAATAATTAGCGCTAATAAAAATTGTCAGTTTGCTCTTATTAATTAAAAAAAAAAGGCTTTGATATTAATGTCATAAGTACACAAAACTATAAAAAATACGATCCCTAAAACAGATTCATTGTACTTTCTTTTGACGTTTTTAGCTCGACTTTTCTATGAAAAGGGGAGCTATCCTACTCGCCCCGGCGTCGGCGTTGGCGTCACACCTTGGTTAAGTTTTTCGTACCACCCCACTTTATTTCAGAAGTATTACAAGTATGGCTTTGAAACTTACCATACTTGTTCACCATCATAACCTCCATCTACAGACAAGAGTACATAACTCTGTCAAGGTTTTTGACAGAATTATGGCCCTTTTTTGACTTAGAAAGTGTATTGAGCTTGGTTAAGTTTTTTGTACCACCTCACTTTATTTCAAAACCATTGGAGGTATTTGCTTTGAAACTGACCATACTTGTTTTACCATCACGACCTTCATCAACAGACAAGAGGACATAACTCTGTCAAGGTTTTTGACAGAATTATGCCCCTTTTTGACTTAGAAAATACATTGAATATGGGTAAAAATCCACTTATTGCCTTAACCTTTGAGATATTGCTTTGAAACTTTTAATGCTATTTCACATCATTACCCCCATCTGTACGCAAGAGAAGTAACTCTGTCAGGATTTGTTTTAAAAATTAAGGCCTTTTATCGACTTAGAATCTTGGTTAAGTTTTTAGTACCAGTCCACTTTTTGACTGAAACTGTTTGAGATATTAATTTTGAAAGTTGGAATACTTGTTTACAATCATGATTTCCCAAACATTGTTCCAGGAGAAGGTAATTTCTGTCAAGATTTTATTTGAATTATGGCCCTTAACTGTCAATGTTTTGTATTATAGGCAAGCACTAAAAAACTTAAAAATCTAAAAAAATTCATTCCTATCCACTTGTTCACTTTACCATAAATTATGTCATATAAACATTGCTGTAATATTCAAGGGTATCAAACAACTAGTTCACTTTAAAAATACAGAGATTCTTGTATTGCCTTTTACTGCAAAAACTTTTTTTATTGGCAAGCAATAAAAAAGTCGAGCGCGCTGTCTTACGGACAGCTCTTGTTAAATGATCCAGTTTATATGAATTTTAATCGGTATTTGTGCGAATGCTATTTCGTAAACATCAAAGACGCCTCCGACTTTTACAAGATCCACATATACGAGAATAATTTATATGCATGTAAATTTACACAGTCGCTGTGACGTTGCGTGTAGTTACTGTCAAATATGCTAAGACCAATTCAGGGTGTAAACTTTTAAACTCGCTGGTTAAAATGTGCCATGTGTCGTATAAATTATGCGATGTTAACATCGGCGAATTACAGGGGCAGTGTGTCCAATGGAGGTGCATATCATGTCACATAAATGTGTTAATTGCAGTCAATTATCGTCAGTAACTGTGCTATATTAGAGTTATGCCCAGAGGCAAGGATATTAAATTTATTGACAACCGCTGTGTGACAAGTAAAGATATTTACATGTTATAAGTAAAAATGTTCGGCGATTAAGTTTAAGATTACTTTGCATTAGGTTACTGAATTTTTTTTAACAAGAAAACGAAAATCCACGAATTTAAGAACCCACGAAAATGCCCGTTTTGATAAAACCACGAAATTTCATGCCCACGAATATAAGTGAATTCGCAGTAACTTACTAATGAAAAAGAGAATTGATAATAAAATGTGTTGAACTACATTGAGCATAGAAGGAATTTTCTTGATGTCATTTGGTTTATTGATGTCATATATGATGTCATATGACATGTAAGCATTCATTTTTAAGCTGTGCATATATGGTGTAATAATGCACTTAATTGACCTAATCTATATGATAGGGGAATAGTGTGAAGTGTCAAGCATGTAAGAATGAGTGTTTTAAAGTGGCTTATTAGTGCATCAGACTGGCCAAGTTTTACCAATTCAAGCATGTTAGAATGTTTTAAAGTAGCTCGTTAGTGCATCAGACTGGCCAAGTTTTACCAATTCTTTGGTTTTTGAACTCTTTACCTATAGTCTTGTATGGTAAACAGTCACTTCTCTGAAATTCCCGGAGCATATTTATAAAATAAAGTAAGTAGACAATTTTGCTATCAAAAATAATGTACATTTCAGGAGTTATTCCAGGCACGTAATCACAAGGACAACCTCAGCTGTATAGCTATATCTCTATCTCTGAACAAGGCAGCTTCATGTGGTGACAATTGGTAAGCTTTTCCTAAATATCTTATTCAGCTATAGGTTCTTTAGATCTCAAGTGTTTATGTGGAGAAACAGTAAATGTCCTTGGTTTTCATTTAGATTTAAAAAGATCAATTTTTTCTTGCTTTGATTTAAAAAATACATTTTTGTTATGTAATTGAAAAAAGAGATGTTATATGAACAAAATGTTCAAGGTTCATTTGAGAAGTCGGGGAAGGCCTTCTGGAAAATACATTTTACAATTGAAGTTAATTTTATGTTATTGATGATTGAAATGCCCTAAATTTATAATGAATATTATAAACATGTTACATTGTGGTAGTAATATAAGTCATTGCAAATTTATCTATTTATAGTATCAAGATCCATGACCTTACTGACCTTAAGGAAATGTTTGCTATAATTAACCTGGATGATGAGCGCAGTCTTGACCGCATGGAGTGGACAGATGATGGTCAGTTGTTGGCCATTACATCTACTAAAGGAAACTTGTATGTTTATCTAACCAGCCTACCAATGCTGGCAGCCACACAACAGACCAGGATCGCCCATCTCACCTCTCTACTTGAGGTTACAATTGAGGACAATATTCAACAGGTAGTTCATTATCTATGACAGAAATGTTTTTAGCTAGTTAGATCTTTCCTTGCATATTTCATCTCATATTTTCATCCATGTATAAATATTTTGCTTTGATTTCAAAATAATACATCATAACAATGTTTTACTGTCTAGGCAGAGATGTTGAATTCTTCCATGTTGTGAAGCTATCAAGTGTGCTCAAAGATTGGTGTCTCGATCATAACATTCTTTTACATCCAGTTTTATCTGTTTATCTAAATATCTACTTCTTTCTTTCAAACACCTTTCAAGAGTATAAAAGATATCTTTGACCATTTAGTGGAATATTGGAATTTTGCTATCAAGATGTTTAGAATTTAATTAATATGTTATTAATATGTTAGTATTGATGGAATATGCTCCTTTTAACTTAAAGTATTTAAAGAATAATGCAGCTATCTCAAACACACTTGATCTGTCATTTAATTTACACTAATTTTAATTAAAAGATAATAACTGCCACTCTTGTATATTTAAACTGTAATTTCTTTATGTCAGAATCATGTTATAACATTTATATGTAATGTTTTGTGGATGCGTCTGTTGCCAAGTGGTTAAGTTTGTTGACTTCAAACCACTTGACCCTCCGCTCTAGGTTCAAATCCCAACAGGGACTTGGATTCTTTCATGTCAGGAAACTATCAAGCTAGCAGTACAAAATGTTGGTGGTTCTACTCAGGTACCTGTTCTTGCCTGAAGGGCACCTTAGGCCTTCCTCCACCAGTAAAGCTGGAAAGTTGTCATATTACCTATACTGTATTGGTTGGATGTAAAACCCAACCAGAAATGCATGTATATATCTTGTAACATCAGTTTAAAGTCAGTGTATTCAAAGTAGAATTTTTATGCAGTTACCTCCCTTGTTAAGTCTTATGATTATATATGTAAACAGATTTTGGTTATATTATCATTATGATAATGATAAATAATTTAAATCAAAGTATCTGTGATATTTTTATCACTGATAGAATAACGGTATTAATTATATTTATTGAATTTGTATATTTTATCTGTGATGAAAATAAGGGTTACTTATTTTGGATGAGTGATATCAAGTAATGCAGGTTTACCATATACATTAGAATTTACTTTTCATTCTCATTCAAAACCTGACCATATTTGAATATCTTATAAGATATAGAGTTTTATTATATACTTATGAATGAAATATTGAGAAATATTGATGAAATAAAATTCATATTTTCATTTTCCGTATTTTCACTGTATAAAATTATTTTTCACTGCAGTGAAACATATTTTTCATATTTTTATTGGTGTGTTGCTGAACTACTTTCGTCTTAATTTAGCCAATACACAAAATTAAAGTAGAAGTCTTAAGACCTGTAAGGTCAAAACAGATTTAAGTATATAGTAAACAGAAAATTCAAGTTTTTTCCTAAAAACACAAGATTTGTTTTCATCTTGTGATATGAAAAGGATTATATTTCACTTGTGGCTCCCACCACTTGTGAAATATCTATTTTCATACCACTTAATGAAAATAAATCATGTATTTATTGAAAAAACTTGAATATCCTCTATATATATTCATCATTTCATAATTAGAGATAAGATTTTTCATACTATCATGTAATATTTGACATGATGTAAATTTTTAGCCTGGACCGGACACGGTAAGGTCTCAACACAAAGTTATACATGTATAAATAACACTAGATTAGTGCATGCTGTAACAATCGGATGTTGCTTTAATATGATTGGTTTATAAATCAACTGTGCCTGCTTTTATAGGAAAATTTCATATTTGCAGGGTTAAGATCTATGATTTTGAGCATCATTTTGCAATTTTCCTATGGCAAATTGGTTCTTTGACATAAGATGTTTCTAAAATAGTAGTACTAAGGGTTTCCTTTAATCATCATATGAAGGGGAAAAATGGCCGTGATACAGAATCAAATCAACACTTAAATATCTTTTAAAACTGTTTGTATAGTACTAGTGGTTTTTTTTTTACCCCTTTAGACAAATCTTGAAAAGGACCAGTTCTGAATGACATAAAATTCATACTTTTCCTAAAATGTTGTCAAAAACAGTTCAGATTTCACAACTTTGTGCTTGCACTGACTATTTTTTCAATAAGTAATTCTACATATACTATTTACTTCTAAGATATTTCCAAAATTGTGTTTACCTGGATCTGTTCTAAAATGGGTTAAATAAAAAACCTGACTGGCTTTGAAGAAATTCCAGTTAAATACAGATACAAAATCAAGGAACTATTGTTTAAAATCCCATTATGCCTCAGAAATGCTTTTCTTTTTATTCCTCATTAAAAGTTTTCCCTAAAATGATAAATGGTTTTGTCCAGATTGAAAGATGGACTTGTCCATTTGAAATATTTTAGGTTGGTAATGGTGAAACAGATAAAAAACAAACATGCAAACATTATTTCTTATGATAGACCTGCTCTGGGAGCTTTGTTGTTGTTTTTTTTGTAAGGGTAATGGATATTGCCACAATTGCTCGGGGTATTGAATTGTTACTATGCAAAGAAAACAAAAAGATAATATTTATTGTTTAAATATGGTACATACAGTCAAGACTGCCTGAGTGAACCCCTGATTTCTACGACTCCATGTCTTATCCGACCTTCTTTCAGTCCGCTAAACATATTTCCCTACATAATCGGTCCAAATTACACAACTCCCTGTCATTTGACATGCCACCCTACGTGTCTGGTCCCAATGCATTACTTTATCTTATTTAAGTGACTTTAGTTAGTGCAGAGGAATGAAAGTTTTTGCAACAAACACAAAAAACTTGCTAAAACATAAATCTACTAAGGAATTTTGATAAAAAATATGGCCTCCATGCTGTGTGTACTGAACAATCAACATGCCAAATGCACCTGTCCATGGATATTGCATCACATTATTTTTCTTATAGTTTTTGTGTATCGTATGGAGTCAGTTTTAATTTTTCTCACCTTATTTACAATAGTTTTTTAAATTTTTATCCAAGTTATGTTTGGGTTTTATTTTTATTATTGGTATTGTTTTTCTTTTATCTTTGTTATTTCAGCATTTTTTTAATGTCAAATCTTTTATTTAGGAAATTAAGATCTTTTATTTAGGAAATTAACAAATTTTTTTTTTACAAATTTTCATTAACAGAACATGGAGGTGGTAGATATTGAAATTGTGATATCGGTCTATATATAAGTAAAGGTCTATTGGTGACATTTTGCAAAAAAATTATGTAAATTTAACAAATTGAATAGAGATGCTAGAATCTGTACATGTGTGTATACCTTGATCTGTTTGTAATATCTCTAACTGTTTTGTAATGTTTTAATATGAATGTGCATTATCTATAATAACTGTGTGTCGAAGACTTGCAGTAAATGCAGCTGTCTGGTTAACTCAATAGGTAGAGCATTGGACTGTGAATCCTAGTGATGGAAATCGGATGAAATTTGTCCCAATCGATCATCGGTTCAGTCGGATGGGACATAATCGATAACTTTCGAATAAAGTCGCGTTAAAAAGAAATAGGAAATTAACATTTCTTACCAAAGGACTTGATTATATTTAGTAACATGAACTTCATTTAACACTTTTCAACACAGTTTTAACCTAATATAGTCATAATTTTACGAAATAGATTTTATTTTTCAATGGATGTCGAATAAGAACATTCACATCACATTTTATTACTATTGTTTACATCACTTATTGATCCTGTTCAACTCCAAATTGTCTCGGAGTGATTTTTTGCGATCGGCGAGGTGTTCCTAAAAGAAAATTACCGTCAGAATTAATTCCCTTTGATACTTTAAACATTTTCGACGACGTCGCGGAACAAATTTTTGTGAATCGATTATTGTCGTTTTACATAACATTAACTGATCATCGGCGACTTGCGACAATCGGAACATCACTAGTGAATCCCGTGACCCGTGTTCGGTCACCGGATGGTGCAGGTCATTTTCATTGTAAATGATCATGATATCCTTTCTACAGTCATTTGCAATTTACCTATGTTCTTGCATGTACAGAAGTAATCAGTTCCTTGCGAAAGTGAAGGCAGCTAATACTTGTGAACTGTTTGACAGCCTGACCAGGAACGATGCTATGGCTGAACTGTGCTCTGGTAAAATCAGTGTGGCTTACTGCCATAATCTGGTGTGAAAACTACCAACAGCACGGCAGTAAATGACAGTGATTCTGTTTAATAGAGAGAGCTATCGATTTATGTACAGAAGATAACAAACTCCAATACGATCATATCTTTCACATAGTAATAGTACTTTAAGCTTAGCTATGCTTGGCGCTATGGTAAACCATCTGTCCGAGATTCATCAGTGTCCATGCCAGTCAACTCTAGTAGTTGCATGGGCGGATATTCGTTTGTAGAGTCAACAAGGCGTCAAGTTTCAAACAAAAACAGTCTTGCCAGCGCCACTCTCTCGAGTTAGTCACGACTGGTCAACCAATCATCCCTGATTGACCTTGACCTCGTTGTGCCATCTCCGTGACGTGCATGTCTCAGGAGAGATTTGGTGAACTTATTATTTTGTATTTTAATTTTTCATTTATATATCATAGGAGCAGCCTGCTACCATCTCTGTTGATGTGGAACCATCTTATTTAGGACTTGGACCATACCATTTAGCTGTGGGGATGAATAATAGAGCCTGGTTTTACCTACTTGGAGATAATGGTATAACCCCCTTTTTTACATTCAAAAGTTTTGTTAAAATATTTTATTTGCAGTTGGATATGTCACAAATTGTTTGGATATACTCATTAATTTTACAACAGTAACTGTTATTTTATAAAAGATTTTTGTGTTTTTTTCCCCACATATTTCTTTATTTTGAAATAGCTTTGTTAACATAGGCTAGTTTTTGTGTAAGCTAGATGTCACTACACAGGTTCACATCTGCAATGAAATGCCACAGTCTAAAAGTCAAGGTCTATATGAAGGTCAAGGACAACAGAATGGTAGATCATGTGACCTGAGGCATAGGCATATATATGAATGACATACTTATTTGACATAGTTTTATCTCTATCATATCAATTTTTTTCCATATTTATTTGTTTCTTTCTTCATATCTAGTTCATCATGGTTATTCAGGGGGTAAGAATTTGGAGTGCATGACCTATACCCCTCCCCCTTCCCCACTCCCAAATCTGAAATTTATAATATTATAACTTTGATATTTATCATGCATGCATAATTATGTATCAAATCAAAAGTTCTTTTCAGTGTAAGGTCAAAAGTTCATTTTAATGAATGATTACTGGAAAAACATAGGCACTTGATGGCAAAATTTTATTTTGATCTACTACCCATTGTGATCGACTATCAGCCGTGAATTTTATAAACTTTTATTGATTCAATAAAAATCTACCACCAAAACGTCTTTTAAAAAAAAGTTATATAAAGGGGTAGTAGATCAAAATAGAATTTCGCCATCAAGTGCTTATGTGGAAAATAAAATGCCTGATCTTCTTGAGATGTAATCTAGCTTTATTTCTGACAGAAACAAACAAATTTTCATTTCAATTTATGCTATTATAATTATTATGATGGTGCAATGGCCATTGAAATAGGTGATTAAAATAATGTTTAGAATGACTGACTACCTTTAGTGAATGAAAGAGGTGTCTGACAAATGGCATGAATGCATGCATGCATGAATGAATGAATAAGAAAGGCAAACATAAGAATTAAATGATGAAATGAATGAAATGGTGGACTGATGATTGATGTGTGTTTGCATTAAATAACAATCACATATACTACCTGATTTGTGTAATCTACAAATTAATTTTTTCATTTTTAAAAAGGAATACATGTAATTCAAAAATACCTGTATGACAGAAATATGTTTGTATATTTCCGTAGCAACAAATGGGATGTGCATGAAATCATTGCTAAATGGTTAAAACCCTACCTTACATAAAATAGCAGCATAATAGTAAATACTTTTGTTTCAGAACGTTTCATTCTGTTTATGTGTAATAGTCATATGTGTTCAATTACAAAGACATCCAATGTTACAAATTTTTTGAAAAAAAAATCAACGATTTTTAGAAACAACATAATTTTATCACTTCAGTGTATCAATTTTTATAAAAATATTTCATAAGATATAGCTTTATACCTTTATATATATATGAGCCGCGTCACGACAAAACCAACATAATGGGTTTGCGACCAGCATAGATCCAGACCAGCCTGGCATCCGCGCATTCTGATCAGGATCCATGCTGTTCGCTTACAAATCCTATTTCAAGTAGAGAAATTGATAGCGAACAGCATGGATCCTGATCAGACTGCACGGATGCGCAGGCTGGTCTAGATCCATGCTGGTCGCAAACCCATTATGTTGGTTTTGTCATGACACAGCTCATATATACATGTTCCTTGAGCATTCTGTAACTTAAATATCCTATAACTTGTCATAAAAAATAACAGTGTTTTGATTGTGATACTCAGTGTTTGAAATGTACAATGGTCATATATGAACACTTGATGTGTGTGGTTTGATGTTTACCAGTATATGAAATATTGTTTACTATTGCATGTTTGTAACATCAATTTTCATTGGATGATATTGATGTTTATATTTTATGAAAACAATTTATGCCGCTGCAAATTTATAAATTCATTTTTGTATTGATTACAGAAAGTGTTTAATTTTTAGCTCACCTGTCACAAAGTGACAGGGTGAGCTTTTGTGATCGCTTTTCGTCCGGCGTCTGTCCGTCGTCCGTCCGTTAACTTTTACTTTAAATGACATCTCCTCATAAACCACAAGGCCAATTTCATCCAAACTTCACAGGAATGTTCCTTTGGTGGTCACCTTTAAAAATTGTTCAAAGAATTTAATTCCATGCAGAACTCTGGTTGCCATGGCAACCGAAAAAAAAAACTTTAAATATCTTCTTTTTAAAAACCATAAGAGCTAGAGCTTAGATATTTGGCATGAAACATCTTCTAGTGAGTGTCTACCAAGTTTGTTCAAATAAAAGCCCTGGGGTCAAAATTGGCCCCGCCCCGGGGGGTCATTGATTTTCCCTATATGCATATAGTAAAAACTTAAAAAAATCTTCTTTTAAAGAACCAAAAGAGTTAGAGCTAAGATATTTAGCATGAAACATGTTCTAATAAGTGTCTACCAAGTTTGTTCAAATAAAAGCCCTAGGGTCAAAATTGACCCCGCCCCGGGGGGTCATTGATTTTGCCCTAAATATGCATATAGTAAAAACTTAAAAAATCTTCTTTTAAAGAACTCAAAGAGCTATGGTTAAGATATTTAGCATCAAACATGTTTTAATAGGTGTCTACCAAGTTTGTTCAAATAAAAGCCCTGGGGTCAAAATTGGCCCCGCCCCGGGGGTCATTGATTTTCCTTATATGTGTATAGCAAAAACTTAAAAAATCTTTTTTGAAAAAACCCAAATAGCTAGAGTTAAGATATTAAGCATGAAACATCTTTTAGTGAGTGTCTACAAAGTTTGTTCAAATAAAAGACCTGGGGTCAAAATTGGCCCCACCCCGGGGTCATTGATTTCCCTTATATGTGTATAGCAAAAACTTAAAATCTTCTTTGAAAAAACCCAAATAGCTAGAGTTTGGATATTAAGCATGAAACATATTCTAGTAAGTGTCTACAAAGTTTTTTCAAATAAAAACCCTGGGGTCATAACTGGCCCGGCCCCAGGGGTGTCATTGTTTTTAACTATATGTGTATAGTAAAAACTTAAAAAAAATCTTCTTTTAAATAGCCCAATGAACTAGAGCTTAGATGTTTAGCATGAAACATCTTCTTATGGGTGTCTACCAAGTTTGTGCAAATAAAAGCCCTTTGGTTAAATTGGCCCTGCAACGTTTGGGGGGGGGGGGTTGGGGTTGGGGGGCCTATATACAGGTGAGCGACCTCAGGGCCATCATGGCCCTCTTGTTTATGAATACTTTTGTTGTTTGGCCAAGTATAAATAATTGTTGGTTATATAAACCTCACATAGTGGCTTATACAACCATTGATATTTGGCCATATAACCTATCAAAATAATTTGTAACTCCTAATGTAGGTAACTGCATGGTTTATTGGATATATGGTTGAGCATTTGATCGACTGGACTTTTCTGACATATTTTGATGGTTTGCCAAGTGTTTCAATTTAAAAAAAAGTTTTTAAAAGAATTTGAAATAATTTTTGCATTTACTCATAGTCATTTTGACATATTATACTATAAGTGAACTATGAAAGTTTTCTGTTATTTTTCAAAGGACAACTAATATAAAGTAAAATTTTCTGGATTTTGTTTTCACCCCTATTTTATAATTTTTAACAAAATCTTCTAAAGACTGTGCAATTTTTGTTATTTATTTATTTTATGAGAATTTTTTTACGCTCATACTGTTCAAAAATAGGTTACTACATAAAAGGCAGGAAAGAAATTAGCAGTGTTATGCAGTTTAGTTTATGTCATGATTAAATATAAAATTTTTATTGTATGATAAATAATTTATTTTAGGCCTAGAACAGTTAAAGGACAGAGAGTACCTGGGTACAGTTCACTCTATCAAGCTGAATGCTGATTACGCTGCGGCCCACTTTGAGGACAAGATACAGCTGCATATGGTAAGCATATTACATAATATACCAAAGGTCTATTCCAATCCCCCCAACCCCCTCTTCCTGTTTTAGAAAAAATATGTACCCTCCACTTTGAAGATATTCACTATAATGTTCAGACCCTCCACCTGCCTGGACATTCCTTCCTCCCGCACAATCATCTCCACTGTAACTGTTATCCTCCCTTGTTTGGACCTACGTGTAGATGTTTAAATAAAAAACAGTCTTTAATGTAAGGTGCAATTAGGTCAGACTTACTTATTCTCCCTTGTTTGGACTGAGATTTAAAAAATATAGTTTGCACTGTAAGATTCGATTAACTCAGACTTACTTAGCTCAATACAAGGACTGTTGAAAATGTTATTCATGCATCACTGATTTGATCATTGAGGGAGGCGACTGTTGATCTTGAACATTGAGTCTAATGGTCGTTTTATGTGGGATTAGTAGTTGGTCACTTGCATAAGAATTGGTAATTATTGGTTAGTTATCCAGGTGTCCGTGAGGTGGACTAGCTGCCAAGCTATGACAAAAAAAAGTTTTTTGGAAATCGAGAAAAACAGATAAACAAAAAGGTATGAGACTTAATATTAGAATAAAGGTAAAGAAGGAACAGCATCGTTATCGAAAAAGTGTGTAATATTGCTGACTTTAAGGAATTTTTGTATCTTGTTTTAATGACCTTGACCGCAGTACTGCATAAGTCTATGACAATAATTCTATATCAGACTTTGGTATTAATAATTAAGTAAAAAGATCTCACTGGTAAAAATTCCTTAACTTTCTGAATTTCTGTCATTTTTCGTTGTCACAAGTCAGTGACCTTGACCTCAGAGGTCAGTAGAATTGAATCTTTTATATCATTTTAATGTTTATGCATAATTCATTTATACATTTTGACTTTAGATTGAATGAAATGTATGCACTCAAACCTGCCAACTGTTTAGAAAAGCAAAATCATGAAAATTTATTTAATGTCAAGCAAACAAGAAAATTATAACATTGAATTATCATGAAAAACGGTCTGTTTTTGATTTTATTTAAAAAAAGAAGTACTTGTAAGATTATCAGTTATATATGTAATGATTTTTACAGCTTCCCTCTGGAGTAAGTTCCTATATTATATGAACAGCGTGTAACTTATTATGTATATAGAGATTAGTTGATGTTAGCTAGTTCCCAGTACTCTTTGTGCTTTCTTTTCTCTCTTTGAAGGAAACCCTTCAATTAACATTTATTTTGTAAAATCAAAATATTGCAAGATTACTTGGGAAGTTATATTTAAGTTGTTGGGACATTGTTAAAGCTAGCCTAGGGAAGTATTGTAGGACATTGTCAGATTACTAAGGAAGTTTTTTGGGACATTGTCAGATTGGTAAGGAAGTTATGTTTAATTTATTGGGACATTGTCAGATTACTAGAGAAGTTTTGTTGGACATTGTCAGATAGCTAGGGAAGTTTTTTGGGACATTGTCAGATTGATAAGGAAGTTATGTTTAATTTATTAGGACATTGTCAGATTACTAGAGAAGTTTTGTTGGACATTGTCAGATTGCTAGGGAAGTTATGTATAGATCTTTGGGAATCATAAGATTGCAAGGGAAGTATTGTGGGACATTTGATGATTGTTAGGGAAATATTGCGGGACATTGTCAGATTGCTTATGCAATATTGCGGGACATTGTCAGATTGTTAGGGAAATATTGTGGGACATTGGTAGGGATTTTATGTTTAAGTCATTGGCACATTGTCAGTACACTAGGGTGTAATACTGGGGGACATTTGATGATTGTCAGGAAACTATTGTGGGACATTGTCAGATTGCTAGAGAAGTTATGTTTAAGTCATTTGCACATTGTCAGTATGCTAGGGAAATACTGTTGGACATTGTCAGATTGCTAGGAGACACTGTCAGATTATTAATTAATTTGGGGTGAATAGTTTGACCCATTTTACAGACAGTAATTTTCCCTACCAACAAACTATAAAAGACAATGATCATTAAAGTTTTTATGATGTCTCTTTGACAAGTGGTATATCAGATCCCTAGGGAAGTGTTGGACATGATTCTGTATAGGGAAGTATTGTTCAAGTTGATGGGGGATGGTCTGATTGCTGTGAAAAAAATTAATTCTGATTAAGTAGTAAGGGTTAATTAGTCCCCTACCGGTTTACCGGAGGGGACTTTAGGTTTACCCTCCGTCCGTCTGTCCGTCCGTCCGTCAGTCCGTCCGTCAGTCCGTCCGTCCACAAAACTGGATCCCGCAATAACGCAAAAAGTACTGAAAATATTTTAATGAAACTTGATATATGGATAGATGGCAGTATGGAGATTATGCACGTCTTTTTCTTTTCTTCCTATGTTGAAAATTCTGGTTGCTATGGCAACAAATAGACTGAAAATATGACAAATTTTACACCTAAACTGGATCCCGCGATAACGCAAAAAGTACTGAAAATATTTTTATGAAACTTGATATATGGATAGATGGCAGTATGGAGATTATGCACGTCTTTTTCTTTTCTTCCTATGTTGAAAATTCTGGTTGCTATGGCAACAAATAGACTGAAAATATGGCAAATTTTACACATAACCTGGATCCAGTGATAACACAAAAAGTACTGAAAATATGTTTATGAAACTTGACATATGGGTAGATGGCAGTATGGAAATTATTCACATCCTTTTCTTATCTTCCTATGTTGAAAATTCTGGTTGCTATGGCAACAAATAGACTGAATTTCAAGATTTTCTGATTCTAGTTTTTAAGTTTTTTCACTATAAGTTCTTTATTTCTTAAGGTATTTTCTTCAAACTTTAAATATAAGTTGCTTGTCATCAACCACATCATATGTGACAAGGTTTACAACTCTAGCACAAAATTTATCAGAATTACCTCCCTTGAACTTGAAATTTTCATGGAAAAACATTGTTTTTTTAATAACTTCTTTTTCTGAATGTATCTACTTTCAAACTTCATATAAATGTTTCTTATTGTCACTCAACATTTGTGAGTGTTCAATACTCTAGCAAGACTATTTCCAGAATTATGCCCCTTTTGAACTTAGACTTTTTTTTGAGAAATTTGTAATTTTTACTCCAACTTCTTCAATCATGATAGGATTTTAAAAATGTTATATTTTGATAACAGGGATGTTTAAAAAATAACTTCAGAGTGTCTTTCAGTCTGTCTGTACATAAAAACTATTTCCTGTGATCACTTTTAAAGAACTTTTTCAACAAATTTACTTTAAATAGGAACCTAAGTGAATGGCCAATGGCCCATAGAATGTTGCTTGGGCTCTTACCGGTAGGGGACTTATGGATTGCTTGCAATACTATGATAATTGCTTGTTACAATTTATTTATTCATTATTATTTCCACTAAATGTTTGTTTACCACCATTATATCTGTGTTGTACCATAATTATTAATTAGATAGTATGTGAACTTCTTCTGTTTATTTATTTAAAATAATTTACAACAATGTATAGTAGAATATCTGGCTAGTTAAAAAAAACGTTTACTCTTTAATTGACCTTGCAAATATCACAATAATGTTATCATAAGACCAACTTGAACACAGACTTTGCTTTGTCACACTAGACACTAAAACAGGAAGTATGAATATGCCAAAATGTATTCATAATAGCCTTATAATCCACATGTTGATTTACCTTTCAGCACCTTTCTGTTATAAAAAATCAAGTAATTTCTTTTGAGTCATATTTTGTCTTGTTATTTTTGAAATTTAGATTAATATTTATTATTTAATTTAAGATACTGTTCATTTGATTGTGTTAACCGCCTTTTCGTTACTTGTTATATTTGAACTTTAATGTTTGTTTGGTTTCTTTACCCGCACCACTGGAATAAAACCGTATGGATTAACAACTTAAGTTTTTAAACTGGCCAAGGTCAATTCTACACTTGTTCCAATTAGAATGCTAGAATATAGATAGATAGTCTAGTCAGCTGCCATATGTAGCATGGCTAAATTATAATGATACTTATCACTTTAACCTCGGTGCAGGAGTGTAATAAACCCATTTTATAAAAACGATATTACACTAGTGTAATAACACTTTGACGTGACATCATTTGCGTTACATACAGACAAGTGTTAAAACACGCTAATCTTAACATGTCAATGTGAAATGACTTTCTTTTACTATAAACCGTTCTTGTTTTGAATATGTGATTAGACCGTTATATTCATGTAAATTGAATAGTAAATTTATTGAACTTGTCGAATAAAACAATATACTGCTCACCAGAGGCTTGCATAATATTTTATTCAACTCGTTCAATAAATTTAGTATTAAATCTACACTCATTCAATATCTTCTATTTATACTAGGGGCTATCACCTTCCATTTTTGAGACTCATATTTTATTGTAGCTCAATTTGGAGAGCATAGTATTAGTAAATGTGGGGTTGCTGCTTCAATCATCTGTGACACAAAATTTCACAGAGACAATTTGTTCTCAGACATTTAAAAACACACATTTGCCAAGTTCTGGATAACATCTATTCTTTTAAGTCTTGAAACAAAATAACATCCTCTGTTCTGTTGTAGGTGTCATATTTGTTTATGAATAATTTTAACATTTTTAACAAGGATCATATTATATTGTTATGTTATACTAAGTACTAAAGACTAATTCGCTTTTGTCAAGAACAGTAAAATCAGATATTTTTGCAAGACCAAAAATTTTGTGAATTAAGCACTTTTGACCTGATTAAACATTCATGAATTTCTACTTACATTTATATGGTAGATTCTTATCTAATATTACATTACTTCCTGAATCTTTTAAATTCTAATAAGCGTCTACATGATCAGGAGTAGCAAAAAATGCCGTCTGCTAAGAAATTTTCCAATTCATATGGAAAATGACGAGTTTGACCAAATTTATATAATTTATAAATGGAAGGAATATCTTAAAGAGAGAGTTGCTTCATTGTTGTATAAACCATGTTTTTTGTTGCTATTTTTAGATTGAAGGGGAGACATCTGGTACAACAGACGAACGAGAGAGCAAACTGTTCCCTGACAAGGACGTCAACCAGACACACATAACATGCCATGATATGACACAGGAATTCCTTATTTTTGGAACAGATGTAAGTTACTGTAGTTCTCCAGTCAAGATTTTCAGGTGGCAAAATATTCTGGTGTTAAATTTTGTTAACTTGTCTATGAGCCAGTGGTTTTGAGTGAGAGTCCCATGTAGGGCAAGATTTTTGCTGAGGCATTTGCATTTTAGTGTTTATAAAAAACAAAAAAGAATTATAAACATCAATTTTTTCTGAAGAAGACAAAATTTCAAAAGGTAAGAAAAGCATTTGTTTTTATTGAACTGATTTATTTTAGGGCTACAAATTTGAATTGTTTGTAAGTTGTAGACACAATGGATGTAATTTCATGTTACAGAATGGAGGCCTGTACTACTTCTACATTGAGGATTGGCAGTATGTAAATGAGTTCCGTCACAGTTATGGTGTACGTAAACTGTTTCCTGACCCCAGTGGTACCCGGCTTGTTTTCATTGATGAAAAGAAGGATGGATATGTTTATAACCCAGTAAGTTTGTTTTATGGTTATTTAAAGATTTGGTAAAAAAAACAAAAAAAACTTACACTACCAGTAAGAACCTGGTCAGTTTGCACAACAATGAGGTCTGACCAGGCTCTATACTGTTGGCCACTGAAATTTTTAAAGTTGATGCTAAAGTACCTTATACAGTCATTGGACTGATCCTAATTCAAAGCAGGGAAGATCCATTATAGAAATATACATGTAGTAGGTTAAAGGTTAAAAGTTGCATCGTTTGGCTGTCATTACTGTTTGTTTGAACCCTCCTCATGATTTTAAATTTTATGGATTGTGTCAAAGCTTCAAAGCTAGTTTAAGGAAAGTTGATATTTTTGTCCACGTGTCTGTCTGTGCATATACAGAGTTTGGAAGGGAATCATTTACTTAAACTTAAAAATCACAATGTAATATAACTTGTACTTTGTTGGATGGACTGGATAGTGCATGATTCCAGGGCTGGGCTAAGTGATAAATGAATATAATAATTGTATATTAACATTGAAAAATGAAATATATTTAAAATAAAAAAGATCATTATAATAAATTTGAAATTCATAAGTTTAAATTAAACTTCAACTACTGTATATCTGAAAGGGCTTTGCTTGAATATAGCAAAGATATTGTCTGTGCATATTGCATAATTTTCAAAAATTTGTAATATATTTTTGTTACTGCTCATACTTTTAGGGGAGCGGTGGCCTAGTGGTTAAGGTGTCTGCCTGTTAACCCAGAGATCATGGGTTCGAGCGCTACTCGGGTCATGACCATGTTTCTTCCTATGACACCAGTACTGGTTGGTTCCAGGAAGTAGACTATAAAGTGATTAATATAAGTTGCAAGAACTTGTTTCACAATCAAACTTAAATGTGTAAACCAGACCAACTTTTAGGTTTATGAATTTGATAATTTTTTTTACTGTTTTTACATTTCTGCATTTTGATGATTTTTTTACTATTTTTTAGGTTAATGACTTGTTAGTTGAGGTTCCAGATTTCTCACCCTATATAAAAGGTGTACTATGGGAAATGTGGGCGCTTGACAGAGGTGTGTTCATTGCTTATGATGAAGAGAAAATCTACACATACATGTACTCGAAAGAACATGTCATGGGTACGTAAAGTTTAAGATCTTATTTTCCCGGAGAGATTTTTATACACAGTCAATTCCTGTCAACGTTTTTTTAAAACTTTATTTATTGTTATCATTGTTCACTTTGCTAATTGCATTAATGGAACGTTGGTCTGAGATTTAATCTGTTTCGTCTGGTTCTGTAAATAGGTCAAAAGTATCATTTTTATATGCCCGAAAGGGCATATTATGTTATACCCCCTGGCGTCCGTCTGTCTGTCTGTCCCGTCCGTCCGTCCGTACGTCCGTCCGTCCGTCCGTCCGTCCGTTAGCAATTTGGTTTCCGGAGCATAACTTAAGTTCCATTTGGCCCACAATGTTCAAACTTCATAGGATGATTGTCCATATTGGGTAGAAGACCCCTATTGATTTTGGGGTCAAAAGGTCAAAGGTCAAGGTCACTATGACCTTAAAACTAAAAACAGTTTCCGGAGCATAACTTAAGTTCCATTCGACCCACAATGTTCAAACTTCATAGGATGATTGTCCATATAAGGTAGAAGACCCCTATTAATTTTGGGGTCACAAGGTCAAAGGTCAAGGTCGCTATTACCTTGATACTGAAAACAGTTTCCGGAGCATAACTTAAGTTCCAATTGACCCACGATGTTCAAACTTCATAGGATGATTGTCCATAGTGGGTAGAAGACCCCTATTGATTTTGGGGTCAACAGGTCAAAGGTCAAGGTCACTATGACCTTAAAACTGAAAACAGTTTCCGGAGCATAACTTAAGTTCCATTCGACCCACAATGTTCAAACTTCATAGGATGATTGTCCATATTGGGTAGAAGACCCCTATTGATTTTGGGGTCACAAGGTCAAAGGTCAAGGTCACTATTACCTTGATACTGAAAACAGTTTCCGGAGCATAACTTAAGTTCCAATTGACCCACAATATTCAAACTTCATAGGATGATTGTCCATATTGGGTAGAAGACCCCTATTGATTTTGGGGTCACAAGGTCAAAGGTCAAGGTCACTATTACCTTGATACTGGAAACAGTTTCCGGAGCATAACTTAAGTTCCATTTGGCCCACAGTGTTCAAACTTCATAGGATGATTGTCCATATTAGGTAGAAGACCCCTATTGATTTTGGGGTCACAAGGTCAAAGGTTAAGGTCATTATTAATAACTTAAGTATTAATCAACCTACAGCTGTAAAATTTTATAGGATGAACAGCGAATTCCCATGTCTTACAAATGCTTCATCCTTACTAAAAAAAAAACACTTTCGGGCATATAATGCTCCGCCTAGCGGTGCTCTTGTTCTAATTGTTTGTTTGATTGGGTTTTACATCACACTGATACAGTATAGGTCATATGTTGATGTTCTAGCTGTATTGGTGGAGGAACACCTTAGGTGCCCTTTGATTCTTTAATTCAGGCACGATAGGGCTCCTGAGAAGAACCACCAACATTCCATAAGCTAGCTGGGTAGCTTCCTAACATGAAAGAATCCAAAGTCCATGTTGGGATTCGAACCCACAACAGTGAGGGGCAAGTGGTTTGAAGTAAACAACCTTAACCACTCAGCCATGGATGCCCCTTTTCTAACTGAAAATTTTATAATTTAGGGATAAATAACAGAGGTAACTATAGAAGAATGATCCCAATGTTTCGCTGATAACTGTAAATGTCAAAATAGTCTTTAATCAATTCATAGTGTCCTTTAAGCATTTTTTCAGAATTATCATATTTTTAAGTTTAGGAACAGAAATATTATCTATATGCAGAAAGGTAATAGACTGAATAAGTTTTGTAAATAGTCTTTGCAATTTATCCAAATTGATTTGAAAAACAACTTATCTTTGAATTTTATTTGCTAAAACAAGTTTTTTGCTTACATTTAAAGGTACAAGGTGTGACCTAGTTGGGACGACTAAGCTCCCGTATGGACAGATACCCATCATGTTACATAATGGGGAGGTAACTCTACAAACCCAGAGTGGAAAACTGGTGACAATAGCCCTCGATACCCACTCTTACCTGTTCATAGATACAATTGAAGGCAAAACTACGAAAGAGGTAAATTTCTGACTTACAGTCTTACATCATACAGATACATATTATTGAAAGTTGTAATGTTTCACTATTTTCAAGACATAGATCCAATAAGTGTTGATGTAGTGACTTTTATTTTTTTTGTTGATATTGACCCTAAATATCAGCCTCTTGACAAACGCCCAAAAAAAAAACGTAAAAAAAAAATCACAAAAATGTGACGAAAATTCACAATTAGCGGGTTTGTTTTTGGGTACCGAAAAAAAAAAATGAACTGACAAATGACAATCTTGAGAATTTGGTTGATATGTTAAAGGGAATAAAAGGAGAATAGCTTAAACTATAAACATACTCATTACATGTATGAAGAAAGTGAATTTACTCTTGTTTGAATTTGACAGATTATCGCGCCAAAAATTCACAATTTCAGGCGTATGGTCTGTTGTGAAAAAAAGTTTAAAAAATCACTGCAATAATATACCTAGTGTATATGCTTTCCTTCTGTACTTTAATATGTCTTATAACTATTTAATTGATTGTTTTATTAGAACTGGCATCTGTAGTTTAATGTTTCAGTAAATATTGCAGTAAACTGTTTGTAGTGTATATAAAGAATTGTATATGAATAAAATATTGAAATGCTTATTCTTTGCTAATTTTATGGGATTTTATTTTCTTTATTCTTTAATATATATTTCTTTAGTTTTCTTTTGCTTAAACATAAAACATTAATAATCCAGCTTGAAAGGCAAGAAAGACATTTGTGGCTTTCCGAATTATGCTATTTTATTTCATATTGTACAGCTATTCAGTTCTATTACATTCCAGGAAAGAGCATCGGTACTTGAACTATTCACATCACCTGTTTGTGTAGCTCTTTTTTCTTTACTTCTTTTGCTGCTATAAGCATAAAAGGGAATATATTTCATCTCTTTTCCACATTGCAGAACCATTATTTTGAACCACATTTTTCTGAATTATAATATCTTGAGCCTTTTTGAACATAAGTGGTGATTAATCACAGGCCAGTTTTCGCCTATGTGGGCATTATACATGTAGTATAAACAACCCTTTGTCACTTTTGGCAGCAGTTTAGTTGTCACCTTAATAGGTAGTTTAGTATAAACAACATTTTGTCACCTTTATAGGCAGTTTAGTATAAACAACATTTTGTCACCTTTATAGGCAGTTTAGTATAAACAACATTTTGTCACCTTTATAGGCAGTTTAGTATAAACATCATTTTGTCACCTTTATAGGCAGTTTAGTATAAACAACATTTTGTCACCTTTATAGGCAGTTTAGTATAAACAATATTTTGTCACCTTAATAGGCAGTTTAGTATAAACAACATTTTGTCATCCTTTATAGGCAGTTTAGTATAAACAACATTTTGTCACCTTTATAGGCAGTTTAGTATAAACAACATTTTGTCACCTTTATAGGCAGTTTAGTATAAACAACATTTTGTCACCTTTATAGGCAGTTTAGTATAAACAACATTTTGTCACCTTTATAGGCAGTTTAGTATAAACAACATTTTGTCACCTTTATAGGCAGTTTAGTATAAACAACATTTTGTCACCTTTATAGGCAGTTTAGTATAAACAACATTTTGTCACCTTTATAGGCAGTTTAGTATAAATAACATTGTGTCACCTTTATAGGCAGTTTAGTATAAACATCATTTTGTCACCTTTATAGGCAGTTTAGTATAAACAACATTTTGTCACCTTTGAAGACAGTATAGTATATACAGGCATTTGTCAGCTATGCCAGCAGTATTGTATTAACAGGTCACCTATGCCAGCAGTATAAACATGCCTTTGTTACTTTTGCCAGCAGTATAAGCAGCTTTGTCACCTATGCCAGCTTGTTTATTACCATTATGGTTCATAATTTAATTTTATTTAAAAAAAGAATTAAAATAAGTAAACATGAGGGGAGTGGTCGTCTAGTGGTTAAGGTGTCTTCCTCTCAACCCAGGGTTCATGGGTTCAAGCCCTACTCGGGTCACAATCATGTTTCTTTTATATGACCCCAGTACTGGTTGGTTCTAGGAAGCGGACTCGAAAGTGATTAATATAAGTTGCAAGAACTTGTTTCCCAATCAAACTAAAATAAAGATGTTTAAACTAAACAAAAGAGGAACTTTTGTGTGTATATCTTTGTATACTTTATGTAAGAAGTTTATCAGCACTTTTCGGTGTGGAATCTGTGTCTTATTGCTTAAAATAAATACCTGTGTAATTTCTGACTTTTCTGTATTTATTTCTTGACAAATTTAGGTGATGGGGTGTGAATGTATGGCACTGGATCTGTATTGTTTGACATATTGTGTTGTAATAATGTAATTGAAGAAATTATTTATATATCATGATTTACAGATAACATACAGTTAAACCTGATTTATAGATAATCTATTGATTGATGTAGCTCAAACTGACCTGGCTGGGAATGGACAATAGTCCAGTGAGACAGTAACCCACTTTGACAATAGCCCACTAGGACAATTGTCCATTGAGTCAAAAGCCCACTGGGATACTAGCCCAGTAGGACAATTATTCACTGAGACAAAAGTTCACAAGGACAATAGTCCACTGAGACAAAAGTTCACTTGGACAATTTTTCACTCAGACAAAAGCCCACTAGGACAATAATCCACTGAGACAAAAGTCCACAAGGACAATAATCCACTGAGACAAAAGTCCACAAGGACAATAATCCACTGAGACAAAAGCCCACTACGACAATATAGCCCACTGCTTATCAATAGGATATAAAAATTTACCATTTTTTTGAAAAAATATGATTACATATAATTGTTTTATTATATCATGGAAATTAATTAATTTGTGAAAAGAACTTAGTGTCTAGTGTTTTCACAGTCTAAAAAAATATGATATAGATTTATCTAAAATCACATATCTACTATATATTATGCAATGTTGATTTTAACATTTTTGAGCACATTACATGTAGAACTAGATTTTTGTCATATTTTAATTGTGTTTAAAAAAATAAATTAATAAATGATATTTTAGAATTCCAATAGATAAAATATTAAATATTAATCGAATCTTACATTAGTGGGCTATTTTCCTAGAGGGTTATTTCACTAGTGGGCCGGGCTGATGTCATAGTGGGCTACTGTCCTAGTGGGCAGTTGTAGTAGCGGGCTATTATCCAAGTGGGATATTTTCCTGCAGTGGGTTTATGTCAAGTGGGCTATTGTCCTAGTGGGCTATTGTCCTTGTGGGCTATTGTCCTTGTGGGCTATTGTCCTAGTGGGCTATTGTCCTTGTGGGCTATTGCCCTTGTGGGGTATTGTCCTTGTGGGCTATTGTCCTTGTGGGCTATTGCCCTTGTGGGCTATTGTCCTAGTGGGCTATTGTCCTTGTGGGCTATTGCCCTTGTGGGCTATTGCCCTTGTGGGCTATTGTCCTAGTGGGCTATTGTCCTTGTGGGCTATTGTCCTTGTGGGCTATCCTTCTGTGGGCTATTTGCCTGGCTGTATACTAGTGGCAAGGCAAATCAAGTTCACGTTTAGCAGGTTTAGGGCTAAGATAATAAGGTCACTTGTCTATAAAGGATACCATTATTAGTCCCCTACCGGTTTACCGGAGGGGACTTTAGGTTTACCCTCCGTCCGTCTGTCCGTCCGTCTGTCCGTCCACACTCACAGGAGAGTAATTATGTGGCTAGAGGGACAATAGGTAACTATTCTTTCTCTTTGATGTCATTCATTCCATAATGCTTTTATGTGGCTCTGTCCGTCCGCACTCACAGGAGAGTAATTAAGTGGCTAGAGGGACAATAGGTAACTTTTCTTTCTCTTTGATGTCATTCATTCCGTAATGCTTTTATGTGGCTATTTTCTTTTGTGTGGCTAAAAAGAACAATAGAGAGGACAAAAGAGTAGCCACATAATTACTGTCCTGTGAGAACGTCCGCCCGTCCACAAAACTGGATCCCGCGATAACGCAAAAAGTACTGAAAATATTTTAATGAAACTTGATATATGGATAGATGGCAGTATGGAGATTATGCACTCTTTTTCTTTTCTTCCTATGTTGAAAATTATGGTTGCTATGGCAACAAATAGACTGAAAATATGGCAAATTTTACACATAACCTGGATCCCGCGATAAATAAAAAAATGCTGAAAATATTTTTATGAAACTTGATATATGGATAGATGGCAGTATGGAGATTATGCACGTCTTTTTCTTTTTTTCCTATGCTGAAAATTCTGGTTGCTATGGCAACAAATAGACTGAAAATATGGCAAATTTAACACATAACCTGGATCCAGTGATAACGCAAAAAGTACTGAAAATATTTTTATGAAACTTGACATATGGGTAGATGGCAGTATGGAAATTATGCACATCCTTTTCTTATCTTCCGTAATGGTGAAAATTCTGGTTGCTATGGCAACAATAAGACTGAATTTCAAGATTTCTGATTCTAGTTTTTAAGTTTTTTCACTATAAGTTCTTTATTTCTTAAGGTAATTTCTTCAAACTTTAAATATAAGTTGCTAGTCATCAACCACATCATATGTGACAAGGTTTACAACTCTAGCACAAAATTTATCAGAATTACCTCCCTTGAACTTAAAATTTTCATGAAAAAAACATTGTTTTTTTAATAACTTCTTTTTTTTCTGAATGTATCTACTTCAAACTTCATATAAATGTTTCTTATTATCACTCAACATTTGTGAGTGTTCAATACTTTAGCAAGACTTTTTCCAGAATTATGCCCCTTGTGAAATAGAGGATATTTGTTTGTTTTGCATGTAAGATTGAAATATAATTTCACTGAGTGAACACCAGATGCAATATTTTCACGAGTGGCGTAGCCACGAGTGAAAATATAATAGCTGGTGTTCACGAATGAAATATATTTCAATCTTATATGTAAAACAAATAAATTTTCTTTTTATTTCATGCTTTTTAAGGGATTTTAGTTATATTTTTACTGTTTTTGCCGCGTAACGTCACGCATTCCCCTATGTGATCATATCATGACGTCACATCATCAATTTTGAAATATAGTTCAGTTAATTTTCTCTAATTTTGTTACATTTTTATATGATGTATGATGAAATCGACTTTCTTTTCCTAAAGAAGCAAAATTTACGCATGACGGCAATTATTTCTGCTTGTTATTTCATTTAGTTATGCTTTTCTTTTCATCCGCATTCAGATATAGTCCGGCTACAGTGAAAATTATATTTTATAAATTTCACTAGTGGTTTATCAGAATATAATCATCTGATATATTACAATAAAACACTGGAAAGCATGAAATAACTAAGACTTTTTTTTGAGAAATTGGTAATTTTTACTCAAACTTCTTCAATCATGATAGGATTTTCTTCAAACTCCCACATCATAATAATATGACAAGGTTTATAAATCTAGCATCCATATTTCCAGAATTATCTCCTCCTTAGACTTTTAATTTTTCCTATTCGTTCTTTTAACTTTCATTTACTTCAATTCAATATTCATACCTTCATTACTAATTGTTCTTTGTTACACTCACATCATGTATGACATCGTTATGTCCTTTTTAAAAATTTTGCTTTTAAAAATGTTATATTTTGATAACAGGGATGTTTAAAAAATAAATTTAGAGTGTCCTTCAGTCCGTCTGTCTGTACATAAATTAAAAAACTGTTTCCTGTGATCACTTTTAAAGAACTTTTTCAACAAATTTACTTAAAATAGAAACATAAGTGAATGGCCAATGGCCCTTCAGAATGTTGCTGGGGCTCTTACCGGTAGGGGACTTATGGATTGCTTGCAATACTGTGATAATTGCTTGTTATTCTATGTACAGTACATGCAGTCTTTAAAGAGAGGTTTGACTGTATGTTAAATTGTTTACTATGTTGTTCTAACAGTAACCTTGACAATTTATTTATTTATTTATTTTATTTTAATTACATGTCGTTTAAAATGTTAATTTTTATTAATTATGACATAATCTTCAATGATTTTTATACTTTTTACATTTGTATACATTATTTTTCAGCTAAACTCCTGCCTAGATCAGTGTATTGCTTTAAAAAGGTATGTTTCCTTTATGTGAACCAGTTTTATTACTTTAAAGATGAAAGACAAAAGAGGAAGAGCACTACAAATGTAAAATGAGACGCGTCACGACAAAACCAACAAAGTGCGTTTGCGACCAGCATGGATCCAGACCAGCCTGCGCATCCACGCAGTCTGATCAGGATCCATGCTGTGCGCTATCAGTTTCTCTACTTGTTATAGGGTTTGTAAGCGAACAGCATGGATCCTGATCAGACTGCGCGGATGGGCAGGCTGGTCTGGATCCATGCTGGTCGCAAACCCATTATGTTGGTTTTGTCATGACGCAGCCCAAATGTTTTCAATGAACCATTTCAATACCAACAGCTATATAAGGTTACCAATGTATAGAAAAAGTTCACTTAACCTAAAGTTTCACATGGTTATATCCCTTTAGATCTATAATAAAAAGTCAATTTTCATCATGTATTCAAAAGTTATACGAGTTGATCATAAACATATTGCCAAATTATCATTTAAGGTGGAAAGATGGTTGGATATTTTGCCAGCAGCTGAATGCAAAGGAGTACTGGCTGAAGCTTGGATACGCTTCGTTCAAATGTCTTGATATTGACTTTGGTAAGTATCATTTAGTCCTCGTATTGTATGTTTACTATTTATCTGGTTTCATGGAAACTTAAGATGCATGTGTGTAAAATTTTGGAAAGGAATATATTTTTGCAAAGCAAAGTTTTTTTGACAAACTGTTTTCAAACCTAGCACAGAAAATTATTTCTCTGTTGCCCTTCAGTTTATTCATGAAATCTCGATAACCAACGTTGTACAGTGAGTACATGACAATATTTGATGCAGAACAAGTTTGTTATACAGAATTGGCATTTAAATGGTGATGTTAATTTGTTTTTATTACAGGACATACAGGACATACTACATTTTGAAATATGTTTCTTCTTGATATTTTAGCTATTCGTGTGTTCAGGGAACAAGGTGACGTTGGTATGGTAGCTTCTCTGATGCAAATTCGAGTAAGTAATGAATTGTTTTCTCAATAAACATAAAATTCAGCATGTCTAAGATTTGAACTTTTAATCTAATTTTGTGTAAAAACAAGAATTACTACTAAAATAAAAAAAAAAAGGTGTTGATGTTAAAAATATAAAAGTGTTTTACATTTGAGTTGTCGAGGATTCGCAGCTTCTACATTCTCGAGGGGCTTTAATTTAACTTTCACAGAAATATTGTTACAAAGTGCCATGGTGCACATTTTCAGATTTTACAATTTGCTAATTTTTATGGCCATTTGTTATTCACATATATAATACAATCACAAAATCTGATTTGTATAACTTGTTTTATGTACAATTATACAATACGCTATTCTATTTCTAGCATTTGGAGGACAGGAACTTGCTATCAGGGTACCTTGCTATGTACCTGGGAGAATTTAACCTGGCTCAAGATTTGTTCCTGGCTTCTAGTAAACCACTCTCCGCTTTAGAGGTAATAAATGATGTGTCAAACTTAACATTTGTTTTGAGTGTTAGAATGCTAACTTACGTCAGTGCAGGTAGGCCTTTGAGACTGGGATGGCATCCTTGCTGTCTAAACAGGCTCTATAGTGACTACATACATGTATACTGCTAAATGTAGATACTTTAACCATGTTTCATCATTAAACACCTTTATAAAACATTAGGACCCCTTGCAGAGATTACGAAAGGCCACATGTTTAAGCTGTTCATTTTGCGTATCATTGAAGTCTTACTATAATTGCAATAATGAAGTATTTTAATACTCCCTTCATGTCAAAACGGAATGTTCCATTAATTCAAAGTATGATAAGTCCATTCTACAATTTCAGGCGGGTAATGTTTAAAACTTAAGAGGCAGACTTAAGAATTTTTTTAAATAATCTTAAATCTTTCATTATATTGGAGCTAAGTAAAATATATTGAAATTCAGATGAGACGAGACCTATTACACTGGGACAGTGCATTGCAGCTAGCCAAGGCTCTGGCCCCGGAACAGATCCCGTATATCAGTAAAGAATACGCGCAGCAGCTCGAGTTTACAGGTGACTACATGACGGCTCTGGCTCACTATGAGAAAGGTATAACACGACAGGAAATAGATAAAGATCATGATGAAGTGTGCGCGGCAGGTGTGGCAAGAATGTCCATCAGAATGGGTGATATAAGAAGGTATGACAAGGTTTCTAGCATACTTTATTAGCTCGACTATTCGATAAGAATAAGTAGAGCTATTGCAGTCACCCGAGCGTCGGCGTCGGCGTCGGCGTAACCACTTATGTTAAAGTTTTTGTAATAGTTCAAATATTTTCAAAGTCCATTGACATATGGCTTTGAAACTTTGCACACTTGTTCACCATCATGACCCCAACCTGTAGACAGGAGGAAGGTAACTCTATCAAGCATTTTGACAGAATTATGCCCCTTTTTCGACTTAGAATTTACGTTAAAGTTTTTGTAATAGTTCAAATATTTTCAAAGTCCATTGACATATGGCTTTGAAACTTTGCACACTTGTTCACCATCATGACCCAAACCTGTAGACAGGAGTAGGTAACTCTATCAAGTATTTTGACAGAATTATGCCCCTTTTTAGCTCGACTATTTGATAAGAATAAGTAGAGCTATTGTAGTCACCCGAGTGTCGCGTCGGCGTAACCACTTATGTTAAAGTTTTTGTAATACCTCAAATATTTTCAAAGTCCATTGACATATGGCTTTGAAACTTTGCACACTTGTTCACCATCATGACCCCAACCTGTAAACAGGAGGAGGTAACTGTATCAAGCATTTTGACAGAATTATGCCCTTTTTCGACTTAGAATTTACGTTAAAGTTTTTGTAATAGTTCAAATATTTTCAAAGTCCATTGACATATGGCTTTGAAACTTTGCACACTTGTTCACCATCATGACCCAACCTGTAAACAGGAGAAGGTAACTGTATCAAGCATTTTGACAGAATTATGCCCCTTTTTCGACTTAGAATTTACGTTAAAGTTTTTATAATAGTTCAAATATTTTCAAAGTCCATTGACATATGGCTTTGAAACTTTGCACACTTGTTCACCATCATGACCCCAACCTGTAAACAGGAGGAGGTAACTGTATCAAGCATTTTGACAGAATTATGCCCTTTTTCGACTTAGAATTTACGTTAAAGTTTTTGTAATAGTTCAAATATTTTCAAAGTCCATTGACATATGGCTTTGAAACTTTGCACACTTGTTCACCATCATGACCCCAATCTGTAAACAGGAGGAGGTAACTGTATCAAGCATTTTGACAGAATTATGCCCCTTTTTCGACTTAGAATTTACGTTAAAGTTTTTGTAATAGTTCAAATATTTTCAAAGTCCATTGACATATGGCTTTGAAACTTTGCACACTTGTTCACCATCATTACCCCAACCTGTAAACAGCAGGAGGTAATTGTATCAAGCATTTTTTTTTACTATCAAGCACTAAGAATAGTCGAGCGTTGCTGTCCTACCGACAGCTCTTGTTCGACTTAGAATTTACGTTAAAGTTTTTGTAATAGTTCAAATATTTTCAAAGTCCATTGACATATGGCTTTGAAACTTTGCACACTTGTTCACCATCATGACCCCAACCTGTAGACAGGAGGAGGTAACTCTATCAAGCATTTTGACAGAATTATGCCCCTTTTTCGACTTAGAATTTACGTTAAAGTTTTTGTAATAGTTCAAATATTTTCAAAGTCCATTGACATATGGCTTTGAAACTTTGCACACTTGTTCACCATCATGACCCCAACCTGTAGACAGGAGGAGGTAACTCTATCAAGTATTTTGACAGAATTATGCCCCTTTTTCGACTTAGAATTTACGTTAAAGTTTTTGTAATAGTTCAAATATTTTCAAAGTCCATTGACATATGGCTTTGAAACTTTGCACACTTGTTCACCATCATGACCCCAACCTGTAGACAGGAGGAGGTAACTCTATCAAGCATTTTGACAGAATTATGCCCCTTTTTCGACTTAGAATTTACGTTAAAGTTTTTGTAATAGTTCAAATATTTTCAAAGTCCATAGACATATGGCTTTGAAACTTTGCACACTTGTTCAACATCATGACCCCAACCTGTAGACAGCAGGAGGTAACTCTATTAAGCATTTTGACAGAATTATGCCCCTTTTTCGACTTAGAATTTACGTTAAAGTTTTTGTAATAGTTCAAATATTTTCAAAGTCCATTGACATATGGCTTTGAAACTTTGCACACTTGTTCAACATCATGACCCCAACCTGTAAACAGGTGGAGGTAACTCTATCAAGCATTTTGACAGAATTATGCCCCTTTTTCGACTTAGAATTTACGTTAAAGTTTTTGTAATAGTTCAAATATTTTCAAAGTCCATTGACATATGGCTTTGAAACTTTGCACACTTGTTCACCATCATGACCCCAACCTGTAAACAGGAGGAGGTAACTGTATCAGGCATTTTTTTTACTATCAAGCACTAAGAATAGTCGAGCATGCTGTCCTACCGACAGCTCTTGTTGAACTAATTACAAGTTTTTCAGTTAGCTTACAGAAATTCAGTAGTTCAATTTACCTGAAATAGTGAATGTATGGGGATGTGAGGTCTTCCCCCATCAGAATAGGTGGAAACTTACAATATGCTGGTTTGACTTGTAATCATTTGTGTCATGTATATAGCCTTTGTATTATCAGAAATAGGCAAGTTACTGCGAATTCACTTATATTCGTGGGCTTGAAATTTCGTGGTTTTATCAAAACGGGCATTTTCGTGGGTTCTTAAATTCGTGGATTTTCGTTTTCTTGTTAAAAAAAATTCAGTAACCTAATGCAAAGTAATCTTAAACTTAATCGCCGAACATTTTTACTTACAACATGTACATATCTTTACTTGTCACACAGCGGTTGTCAAAAAATTTAATCCTTGCCTCTGGGCATAACTCTAATATAGCACAGTTACTGCCGTTAATGGACTGCAATTAACACATTTATTTGACATGATATGCACCTCCAGTGGACACACTGCCCCTGTAATTCGCCGATGTAAACATCGCATAATTTATACGACACCTGGCACGTTTTAACCAGCGAGTTTAAAAGATTACACCCTGAATTGGTCTTAACATATTTGACAGTAACTACACGCAACGTCACAGCGACTGTGTAAATTTACATGCATATAAATTATTCTCGGTAAATAAGACGGGTATATGTGGATCTTGTAAAAGTCGGTGGCGTCTTTGATGTTTACGAAATAGCATTCGCACAAATACCGATTAAAATTCATATAAACTGGATCATTTAAAAACGACAAAGGAAAGTACAATAAATCTGTTTTTAGCGATCGTATTTTTTTTTATAGTTTTGTGTACTTACGACATTAATATCAAAGTCTTTTTTTAAATTATAAGATCAAACTGACAATTTTTATTAGCGCTAATTATTGCACTGCCTGGGTTCCCATATTTACTCGATTATGTCAAGTATTCTTGTTAACACAATCAAGTCTTAGTAGACTACAACGATCAAGTATGTATATGCGACATTTGTGACAGTAAATTGAGGACATATAATCGAGTTTTCAAGTTTTTTAAATATTGCAAACGGATTAAATATGTCACTAACCTGATTATATGTCTGTATTTACATCCATTTCACGAAATATAGGCCGGAAATGAGCCGACGCATGTTTGTAATATATAGAACAGAGACAGGGTAAGAAGTATTTGTTGGGATAAAAGTTTGTCGGATCTTAAATTCGTGGATTGACCTACCCACGAAAACCACGAAAATTTGTGCCCCACGAATAATAATGATTTTACAGTAAGTTACTACTTTCAATCAAGAATATTTTTTGCATTTACCTGTGATACCTGGCTAAGGAGTAAAGATTGCTGCTGCTTCTGCTTCTGATGATGATGAAGGTGATAGTGTATAAGTGTATGATGGTGTTTGATGATGATGATGATGAATGATGATGATGTGTTAGTGTGGCTTAAAACAAGTTTATATTATGATAATTAGATCAGTAGTCATCTCATTTTTAGTCCCCTACCGGTTTACCGGAGGGGACTTTAGGTTTACCCTCCGTTCGTCTGTCCGTATGTCCGTCCGTCTGTCCGCACTCACAGGACAGTAATTATGTGGCTAGAGGGACAATAGGTAACTGTTCTTTCTCTTTGATGTCATTCATTCCGTGATGCTTTTATGTGGCTATTTTCTTTTGTGTGGCTAAAAAGAACAATAGAGAGAACAATAGAGTAGCCACATAATTACTGTCCTGTGAGGACTTCCGTCCGTCTGTCCGTCCGTCAGTCCGTCCACAAAACTGGATCCCGCGATAACTTGAAAAGTACTGAAAATATTTTTATGAAACTTGGTATATGGATAGATGGCAGTATGGAGATTATGCATGTCTTTTTCTTTTCTTCCTATGTTGAAAATTCTGGTTGCTATGGCAACAAATAGGCTGAAAATATGGCAAATTTTACACATAAACTGGATCCAGTGATAACGCAAAAAGTACTGGAAATATTTTTATGAAACTTGACATATGGGTAGATGGCAGTCTTGGAATAATGCACGTTTTTTTCTTTTCTTCCTATGTTGAAAATTCTGGTTGCTATGGCAACAAATATGCTGAAAATATGGCAAATTTTACACATAAACTGGATCCTGTGATAACGCAAAAAGTACTGGAAATATTTTTATGAAACTTGACATATGGGTAGATGGCAGTCTTGAGATTATGCACGTCTTTTTCTTTTCTTCCTATGTTGAAAATTCTGGTTGCTATGGCAACACATAGACTGAAAATTTGGCAAATTTTACACATAAACTGAATCCAGTGATAACTCAAAAAGTACTGGAAATATTTTTGTGAAACTTGACATATGGGTAGATAGCAGTCTTGAGATTATGCAAGTCTTATCTGTTCTTCCTATTTTGATAAAATATCAGTTGCCTTGGCAACAAATAGGCTTAAAACATGGAAAACATAACAATATTTGTGATTAGTCAAAAAGAGCTGAAATTTTTTAGCTCACCTGTCACAAAGTGACAGGGTGAGCTTTTGTGATCGCTTTTCGTCCGGCGTCCGTCCGTCCGCACTCACAGGAGAGTACTTATGTGGCTAGAGAGACAATAGGTTCTCTTTGATGTCATTCATTCCGTAATGCTTTTATGTGGCTATTTTCTTTTGCGTGGCTAAAAAGAACAATAGAGTAGCCACATAATTACTGTCCTGTGAGAACGTCCGTCCGTCGTCCGTCCGTAAACTTTTGCTTTAAATGACATCTCCTCATAAACCACTAAGCCAATTTCATCCAAACTTCACAGGAATGTTCCTTTGGTGATCACCTTTAAAAATTGTTCAAAGAATTTAATTCCATGCAGAACTCTGGTTGCCATGGCAACCGAAAGAAAAATCTTTAAATATCTTCTTTTAAACAACCCTAAGAGCTAGAGCTTAGATATTTGGCATGAAACATCTTCTAGTGAGTGTCTACCAAGTTTGTTCAAATAAAAGCCCTGGGGTCAAAATTGGCCCCGCCCCAGGGGGTTATTGATTTTCCCTATATGCATATAGTAAAACCTTAAAAAATCTTCTTTTAAAGAACCCAAAGAGCTAGAGCTAAGATATTTGGCATGAAACATCTTCTAGTGAGTGTCTACCAAGTTTGTTCAAATAAAAGCCCTGGGGTCAAAATTGGCCCCGCCAAGGGGGGGTCATTGATTTTCCCTATATGCATATAGTAAAAACTTAAAAAATTTTCTTTTAAAGAACCGTAAGAGCTAGAGCTTAGATATTAAGCATGAAACATCTTCTAGTGAATGTCTACCAAGTTTGTTCAAATAAAAGCCCTGGGGTCAAAATTGGCCCCGCCCCAGGGGGTCATTGATTTTCCCTATATGCATATAGTAAAAACTTAAAAAATCTTCTTTTAAAGAACCCAAAGAGCTAGAGCTAAGATATTAAGCATGAAACATCTTCTAGTGAGTGTCTACCAAGTTTGTTCAAATTAAAGCCCTGTGGTCAAAATTGGCCCCACCCCGGGGGGTCATTGATTTTCCCTATATGCATATAGTAAAAACTTAAAAAATCTTCTTTTAAAGAACCATAAGAGCTAGAGCTTAGATATTTGGCATGAAACATCTTCTAGTGAATGTCTACCAAGTTTGTTCAAATAAAAGCCCTGGGGTCAAAGTTGACCCCGCCCCAGGGGGTCATAGATTTTCCCTATATGCATATAGTAAAAACTTAAAAAATCTTCTTTTAAAGAACCGTAAGAGCTAGAGCTAAGATATTTAGCATGAAACATATTCTAATGGATGTCTACCAAGTTTGTTCAAATAAAAGCCCTGGGGTCAAAATTGACCCCGCCGCAGGGGGTCATTGATTTTCCCTATATGCATATAGTAAAAACTTAAAAAATCTTCTTTTGAAGAACTCAAAGAGCTAGAGCTAAGATATTTAGCATGAAACATGTTCTAATGGGTGTCTACCAAGTATGTTCAACAAATAAAAGCCCTGGGGGCAAAACCTGCCCCGCCCGGGGGGGGGGGGGGTCATTGATTTTCCTTATATGTGTATAGCAAAAACTTAAAAATCTTCTATGAAAAAACCCAAATAGCTAGAGTTTAGATATTAAGCATGAAACATCTTTAAGTAAATATCTACAAAGTTTGTTCAAATAAAAGCCCGGGGGTCAAAACTGGCCCTGCCCCAGGGTGTCATTGTTTTTAACTATATGTGTATAGTAAAAACTTTAAAAATCTTCTTTTAAAAAACCCAATGAGCTAGAAGTTAAATGTTTAGCATGAAACATCCTCTTATGGGTGTCTACCAAGTCTGTTCAAATAAACAAATAAAAGCCCTTGGGTAAAAATTGGCCCGGGGGTGGGCGGGCCTATATACAGGTGAGCGACCTCAGGGCCATCATGGCCCTCTTGTTATGAAATTGCATCTTTAATTCAAGAGTTATCTCCTCTTTAAGAATTTTGCTTTTAAAATGTTATATTTTGGTAACAGGGATGTTTCAAATATAAACTTTAGAGTGTCCTCAGTCCGTCTGTCTGTCTGTTCATAAAAACTGTTTCCTGTGATCGCTTTTAAAGAACTTTTCCAACAAATTTACTTAAAATAGAGAAAAATTGAAACATTAGTGAATGGCCAGTGGCCCTTCAGAATGTTGATGGGGTTCTAACCGGTAGGGGACTTATGGATTGCTTGCAATACTATGATAATTGCTTGTTGTCTTTACCAGGGGTGTTGGTATGGCCAGTAAGATGCCCAGCAGAGTGTTGAAGAAGGAATGTGCTAGTATACTGGAGAGTATGAAGGTAAACTTTCACTTGTTTCATTATAAATATAATTTACTTTTGCTTGTCAGTAGGACATATTATGTCAATATGCTATTTTAATGACTTGTATCACTCGAGTTGCTTAGATTAATTGTACTCGCACAAGAAATTAGTTAAGTTTATATGAATTTGTTTTACTTTCATGTGTTGGAAGCTATCAGCTTAGTGAAACACTCTTGAACCTGATCATGGAACCAACCAGTACCAAGCAATGAGTGTAAAATTTCTTGGTCATGGAAGTGATGTCCTATCATTGACAGGGTTTGAACCTAAACAGCCAGCAGTCCTTAGATAACTAGTCCATCAGTAACCACTCAGCAATGTCACCATGTGACATTCCAAACTCAAAGTGACACCTGGAAGCATCCATCACTGTACCAGTATTCTTGTCCTTAATTGTCAAAAATGTAAGCTTGCACATGCAGTTTTATGGCTTTCAAACCGAGTCTGCAACATTTCCAATTTTGTTTTGAGTGTTCTTTAGTGATTCCATTCTGCTCTGTTTTAGATTGATATTTGATATATAATTTATAATAACTATTTTTTGGTTACAGCAATGGCAAGAGGCGGCCTTACTGTATGAACAAGGAGGATTTTATGATAAAGCTGCTTCTGTTTATATTAGAAGCAAGAATTGGTAAGTTCTATATTAAAGTGTATATAATCATATTATTATACCCCCAAAAACGAATTTTGGGGGGGTATATAGGAGTCACCCGGTGGTCGGTCGGTCGGTCGGTCGGTCGGTTGGTCGGTCGGGCGGTCGGTCGGTCGGTCCAGACATCCGTTGCATTTTCCTTGTCCGGAGCATAACTTGAAAACTTATGGTTTGAATTCAATATAACTACATACAATGGTCAAGCACATTGAGAGAAAGTGCAGTGCACAAGAACCATAACTCTATCTTGACTAATTACAGAGTTATTGCCCTTTGTTACTTTTTCTTGTCCGGGGCATAACTTGAAAACTACTGGTTGGAATTCAAAACAACTTCATACAATTGTCAAACACAATAAGGGGAAGTGCAGTGCAGAAGAACCATAACTCTATATAAAGTAATTACAGAGTTATTGCCCTTTGTTGCTTTTCCATTGCTTTTTTTTTGTCCGTTGCATTTTCCTTGTCCGGAGCATAACTTGAAGACTAATGGTTGGAATTCAATATAACTGCATACAATGGTCAAGCACATTGAGAGGAAGTGCAGTGCGTAAGAAACATAACTCTATCTTGATTAATTACAGAGTTATTGCCCTTTGTTACTTTTCCTTGTCCGTGGCATAACTTGAAAACTACTGGTTGGAATTCAAAACAACTTCATACAATTGTCAAACACAATAAGGGGAAGTGCAGTGCACTAGAACCATAACTCTATCTAAAGTAATTACAGAGTTATTGCCCTTTGTTGCTTTTCCATTGCCTTCTTTTTTTTGTCCGGACCATAACTTGAAGACTAATGGGTTGAATTCAATATAACTACATACAATGGTCAAGCACATTGAGAGGAAGTGCAGTGCATAAGAAACATAACTCTATTTAAAGCAATTACAGAGTTATTGCCCTTTATTACTTTTCCATTGCTTTCTTTGTTCCGGACCATAACTTGAAGACTAATTGTTGCAATTCATTATAACTTCATACAATGGTCCAGCACATTGAGAGGAAGTGCAGTGCACAAGAACCATAACTCCATTTTGACTTATTACAGAGTTACTGCCCTTTGTTTCTTTTCCTTGTCCAGAGCATGACTTTAAAACTACTTGTTGGAATTCAAAACAACTTCATACAATGGCCAAGCACAATAAGGGGAAGTGCAGTGCACAAGAACCATAACTCCATCTTGACTAATTACAGAGTTATTGCCCTTTGTTACTTTTCCATTGCTTTCTTTTGTCCGGACCATAACTTGAAGACTTATTGTTGGAATTCATTATAACTTCATACAATGGTCAAGCACATTGAGAGGAAGTGCAGTGCATAAGAACCATAACTCCATCTTGACTAATTACAGAGTTACTGCCCTTTGTTACTTTTCCTTGTCCAGAGCATGACTTGAAAACTACTGGTTGGAATTCAAAACAACTTCATACAATGGTCAAGCACAATAAGGGGAAGTGCAGTGCACAAGAACCATAACTCCATCTTGACTTATTACAGAGTTATTGCCCTTTGTTACTTTTCCTTGTCAAGAGCATAACTTGAAAACTACTGTTTGGAATTCAGTACAACTTCATACAGTTGTCAAGGACATTAAAAGGAAGTGCAGTGCACAAGAGCCATAACTCCATTTTGACAAAATACAGAGTTACTGCCCTTTGATACTTTTCCTTGTCCGGAGCATAACTTAAAACGTACTGGTTGGAATTCAAAACAACTTCATACAATGGTCAAGCACAATAAGAGGAAGTGCAGTGCACAAGAACTATAACTCTATCTTCAGTATTTATAGAGTTATTGCCCTTTGTTCTTTTTCTTTGTCTTTCTGGACTTATTACAGAGTAATTCAATTAAACTTCATCAATGGCCAACCACATTGAAAGGAAATGCAACATACATGAACCACAATTATCTTTAATTGCCCACAACCATAACTCTATGTTTCAATTCTATTACAAGGTATTCTGTTACTAGTAACATCCTCATTTCCGAAGCAGACTTGTGGGGGTATTAATCACATTTAGTGATAGTTCTAGTTTCGTTTAATATGCTTTGGCATTGATAGATATGGTTGCCTATTGTTTTTGTCGTCCATCAGCCTGTGTTGGTGTGCAGAAAATTTAAACCTTGACCATAACATCTTTATTTTGTAATTTCAAATCTTAATACATCTTCTTGGGAATGAAATGCCTCCAGACAGGAGCCTCGTTTAAATGGCATTGACCATCAATGTCAAATTAGCAAATTTCATGAAGTTTCACAATTTTTAATGTGATCTGATCTGTTTATAAAAATGTTTGACATATTTTTGATAAGATTGTTTTTCTGTTTGGTTTTTAGGACAAAAGTGGGAGAATTGCTCCATCATATTACATCTCCGAAGATTCACATTCAGTATGCGAAGGCGAAGGAGGCTGATGGAAGATACAAAGAGGCTGCTGAGGCCTACAAACAGGCCAAAGATTGGGATAATGTCATCAGGTGGGTGTATTCGTTGTTAAGGTATTTGATGAAAAACAAAGTTTCAGTAATGGGACAGACACTGTTTTTGTCTCTACCCTAAAACATATATTTAACATCAAAGATCTAATCAAACATCCAATCAATTTGTCATTTTATTGAGGCATATGTGATGTCATACAAGATGTGTCAACATATATTATGGTATATTGATACACTTCAGAGCTGTTTAGTATGAAACAATGAAATAACTGGGGCCATGTTTGAAGGATTTGTGGAAAGCCTTATGTATAAAAATTATTTTAGAAATTTTATTGAATTGGCCATGCTTTATTTCAGGATAAATCTGGAGTTTTTACAGAATCCAGAGGAGGCTGTGAAAATTGTGAGAGAGGTTCAGTCAGTTGAGGGAGCTAAAATGGTGGCAAGGTAATGGTCGGAAATAAATTTTCTTAAGAATTTTTGAATCTCAAACCATGGTATAACGTTTTCTTGACAGTTGGAATTATTTATTTTCACCTATATGTAAGATATAGATAGTTTCTATGTAATTCGAGTGATACATCTGTAGTTTTGTTAGTCCTTCAAGAAAGACATCCTGTGGCATTATTTTATTGATAAGCTAATATCATACAATATAAATATTTTGCTTGGAAAATTTAATGTGCTTAACCCTGAACCTCCTGAATTTCTTTAATGGACTTTTCCAGCTTCCATTTTGGAACTGTTCATTATCAATTATGGTCAGCTAACAGTAAAGAGCCTGGTCAATCTACACTGATGTCAAGACTGGCCTGTCTTTATACTGAAGGCAGAGGCTTATCACGTTTGATCTATTCAGGCTACGGCTTATTCCTATTCAGTTAATATTTAATTTTTAACAATCTCTTTAAATGAATCCTTTATTCACTTATACATAAACAGCTTTTAACTTGATCCTTGTTGAAATTTTAGGTTTTTCCAGAAGTTGAACGACTATGGGTCGGCCATACAGTTCCTGGTAATGTCAAAATGTAATGACGAGGCTTTCCAACTAGCACAGCAACATAACCAGATGGAGATCTATGCTGATATTATAGGTAATATTTTCACTAAAGTTTGTATAATGACTTTATAGTTGTCTATTCAGATTATTGCTTATTCTCATTTTGTAAAACATTGTTTATATCCTCACACATTAGTGCACTTAGATTGTATGGAGTCTGTAATTTTGTTCAGTAAAAACTGTGTATTTTTGTTTTGTATTTTTAACATCTATGTCAAGAATGTTTTGTTTTTTCTATCGCTTAAAACAAAATCTTTTTTGGTCTTGTTTCAAACAATAAATTATATTTAGTATTTATCTAAGGTAGATAAATATAGACAAATGCTCTTTTACAGTCTATAGTAGTTATGTCCCTTTTGATAATATTTACTTTGATAAACAAGATCTTTTTACATTTTTGAACAAAGTATGATTATTAAGTGATATTAAAGAAATAAGAATTGTTAAGTTTTCTCTAAAATCATGCCAATATGGTTCAGTATAATCTCTGTAGAGCAATACCCTTTGGTTGTTTATTGCTGTAGAGAGATTGAATTCTGTAGTTTTGGAAGAGTTGATACTGTTGTTGCTGTACAGAGTGGGCTGCTGTACAAAGGTTGCATTGTACTTCCTCTTTCTTATCTTGTAGTTAAAGTTATCTTACAATTTTCCTGCATATTGTATATAAAAAATTGGAATTATTTACATGTCAATCAGTGTGACATGTATACTTTGAGTAAAAGTAGGAATTTTTTTGCCCCGTGAATTTTTTGGATGACATTCATTATAAAACATTTTTATCCTTTATTTGTTTTTCGCAGCGATCAATTGTATTTTTTGAAACTTATTCTTTTACAAGTGCATTTTGCATATTTTGAAAGTTGAAAATTTAATTATACATGGATTATTAAGCCGAGGTTTACTTATGCTTTGTTTTTTATTCATGATATTTGTAGGTCCAGATGCCACACCAGAAGACTACCAGAGTATCGCCTTATTCTTTGAGAATGAAAAGAATCATTTCCTGTCGGGGAAATTCTTCCTCTTGAGTGGACAGTTTAACAGGGTAAAAATATTTCTGACTTTCTTCCAAAGGGGAGATTACTTTGAATAGGTTTATCTTTTGTAAAAGTCATCATTATGAAGGGGTCAATCTTGTGTAAAGGGAGATAATTTTGCAAAGGTGAATCTGATTAAAAGGGAACAATGGGGGGGGGGGAGATAATTTTAGAAAGGTTGATTGCTCTAAAATGTTTATTTTCAAAAGAAAGTCTTTAATTTTGCTAGTTACAGAACCAGTGTAATATCTTCATAAGGAAACATCAAATTAATATAATGTTTCTCTGCCATTTTACTATATGATTCATGTGTGATGAATCTTACCGGAAACAATGTGATTATACAATTTTTGAAATTTGAAAAGTTTATATAGCATACATCCCTAAGAACTTCATGTGTCCTATGATTTAAGTATAAGGTACATTTTTTTAGGCGATGAAACATTTCTTACGATGTGATGGTGAGAACAGTCAGGCTATCGAGCTTGCTATAGAGACAGTGGGACGTGCTAATGATGATCAGCTGACCCACGAGCTCGTCAACTTCCTGATGGGTGATACTGATGGTGTTCCAAAGGTCAGTCAGTCCTTTACAGGTTTCGTATAGGCCTGGAAATGTTGTAGGGAAAATCTTTTTGTCATTGAATTATAATGGAAGATTACTTTATCATGGAAATATAGTCAAATTTCCAAATTGATCTTGGAAATGTAATTGAATTTGAATGTCAGAAAATCTGTCCAGGAAACATTTAATTTATAGACTTTCATACAAACCATTATTATATTAATAGAACTAAAAAAAGAAAATTTTTAAATCGCCCCTAAATTCTAAGTAACTTAAAATTTAGGGGTGAATCGCAGTGACTCAATTATTATTTTTTTTAGCTCACCTGTCACAATGTGACAGGGTGAGCTTTTGTGATCGCTTTTCGTCCGTCGTCCGTAAACTTTTACTTTAAATGACATCTTCTCATAAACCGCTGAGCCAATTTCATCCAAACTTCACAGGAATGTTCCTTTGGTGGTCACCTTTAAAAATTGTTCAAAGAATTTAATTCCATGCAGAACTCTGGTTGCCATGGCAACCGATAGAAAAAACTTAAAATATCTTCTTTTAAAAAGCCTAAAGAGGTAAAGCTTAGATATTTGGCATGAAACATCTTCTAGTGAGTGTCTATCAAGTTTGTTCAAATAAAAGCCGTGGGGTCAAAATTGGCCCCGCCAAGGGGGGGTCATTGATTTTCCCTATATGCATATAGTAAAAACTTAAAAAATCTTCTTTTAAAGAACCCAAAGAGCTAGAGCTAAGATATTTAGCATAAAACATCTTCTAATGGGTGTCTACCAAGTTTGTTCAAATAAAAGCCCTGGGGTCAAAATTGGCCCCGCCCCAGGGGGTCATTGATTTTCCCTATATGCATAAAATAGTAAAAAATTATAAAATCTTCTTTTAAAGAACCCAAAGAGCAAGAGCTAAGATATTTAGCATGAAACATCTTCTAATGAGTGTCTATCAAGTTTGTTCAAATAAAAGCCCTGGGGTCAAAATTGGCCCCGCCCCAGGGGGCCATTGATTTTCCCTATATGCATATAGTAAAAACTTAAAAAAACTTCTTTAAGAGAACCCAAAGAGCTAGAGCTAAGATACTTAGCATGAAAGATGTTCTAATGGGTGTCTACCAAATTTGTTCAAATAAGAGCCCTGGGGTTAAAATTGGCCCTGTCCCGGGGGTCATTGATTTTCCTTATATGTGTATTGCAAAAGCTTTTTAAAAAAATCTTCTTTGAAAAAACCCAAATAGCTAGAGTTTAGATATTAAGCATGAAACATCTTCCAGTTAGTGTCTTCAATGTTTGTTCAAATAAAAGCCCTAGGGTCAAAATTGACCCTGCCCTGGGGGACATTAATTTTCCTTATGTATGTGTTTAGCAAAGACTTAAAAATCTTCTTTGAATAAAAACAAATAGCTAGAGTTTAGATATTAAGCATGAAACACCTTCTAGTGAGTGTCTTCAAAGTTTGTTCAAATAAAAGCCCTGGGGTCAAAACTGGCCCCGCCCTAGGGATGTCATTGCTTTTAACTATATGTGTATAGTAAAAACTTAAAAAATCTTTTTTTTAAAAACTCAACGAGTTAGACCTTAGATGTTTAGCATGAAACATCTTCTAATGGGTGTCTACCAATATTGTTCAAATAAGAGCCCTGGGGTTTAACTGGCCTCGCTCTGTGGGCCTATATACAGGTGAGCGACTTCAGGGCCATCATGGCCCTCTTGTATTTATTTTTTTTTATTATTACTGTTTCCTGTTAACTTGTTATGTAGTAAGATATAAGTATGATACTGAAATAAGATAGATTTATTGACCTTCCAGAATAGGAGCAACCATGAATAACGTCTGAATAATAATAAAAATTTGTATAGGAAAACATATTTTTATACGTGGGCTGATACAGATTTTTTCCATGTTAATCTATCCTGCTGTTTCGCTGTTCAGTTCATATGTTGACAACAGCAGAATATGAAGGCATCCCTATCTGATGAACAAGTTTCTAGTTGATTATATGCATTTGAACAGTCAACCCCTTCTTATTTAAATATTTTAGGATTTTTCAAAATCCCATGATAAAGAGTGTTTGGTTTGTAAATATTTCTAGCCCCCTGAAATGTTCTCTGCTTTTTACATGTAACTTGAAAGTCTCATAAGACATTTTTGTCTGTAATTTTTTATTATCCTCATTTCTAAATATTGATATTTAATATTGGCAGGATGCCAAGTACTTGTTCAGATTATACATGGCATTGAAACAGTGGAGGGAGGCTGGAAGAACAGCCATTATAATCGCGCGAGAGGAACAAAGTGCCGGTACGTAAAAATTTGTTAAATAGACATTATGGTTTGAAGGTATTGAAAAGGGATATAAAGTAAGGAACAATGCAATAGAATAGTATCTTGACCAAAGAAAAATAAGTTCAAACTATGTTACGGCGTTTTCTTGTTTTAGAATATCAACATAAATGCTAAAAAAAGCTAAATAGTGAGTGGGATTGGTTTTGGAATTTCAATATTTAATTAACTGGCAAATTCAAATGAGGGCATGCTCATGCTGAAGGTTAACATATGATGTTAAACAAATAAAAGCATTGTGTAGGTGTGTTTATTTTCAGGTAACTACAGGAATGCCCATGATGTGTTATTCAGTATGTACCAGGAGTTAAAGCAACAGAAGATTAAGATACCCACAGAGATGGCAAATAATCTGATGATCCTTCATAGCTACATACTTGTTAAGGTAATATTTCTGAACCGTTAACATAGGTAAATTTTCAGGGTTACTTACCCATATAATGGTATTGCACTCATTTAGCAGACAAGCACCCATTATCATTATGAAATCATGTTAAAACAGGCCTGGTCCAAAATTATAGAGATATTTTCTAGGCTAAAACTCGGGTCTCGGGTATCTGATTGTAAGAAACTGACATAGACCGTATCCTGACCAATGAAAAGTCTGAGACTTGAGACAGAACTTGGAAAAAGTTTTATAATTTGGGTTACAATATCAACTGACAAACATGCCCCTATTTTGGAATAACATTTTGGTTTTCCTCCCTCTATTGTATTTACATTGGTAATATGTGCTAGTTTTGCCTGTTTCTCAACATATAACTTATCATTTCAGATTCATGTTAAAAGAGGTGACCATTTAAAGGGAGCTAGGATGTTAATCCGAGTGGCAAATAACATCAGTAAATTTCCATCACGTAAGTTACAGATTATAACATCAGAAAATTTTCCTTTACACAAGTTCTGCTTACCATTTTAGTATTCTTCCCAAGGTCACAATGATGATCCTATAGTTGTTGAAATATCATTTAAGCCTACTGTTAGTCGGATATGTAATCCTGGAGATGCTGGTTCAATCCTCGAGTGAGGGAAAATATCTCCTCGAAAGTTGATCTCCGACATAAAACTACGGGTCATTTGTCTCTTACCACTGCTTCAGAAATCATTTCAGATTAGTAATGTGTCATTTGCAGAAAAATCTGTTATTACTGGCAGGTTATCCAGGAAAATCAGTTCGGTGAACCGACCAAGATTTGATAAAAAAATATGTTAAAATTGGCTTAAAAACCTTTTATCTAGGTAGATATTTCAGTAAATTTATTCATTATAAATCATGAAATCAGACTACAGTCTTCTCCTTGGAACTTATCATCGGAGTGATCAAGGACCTAAATCCAGTTAGGTTTGAACCTTTGGTTGCTAAGCAGATGCTTAAACCACAAGGCTACAATTCCATTCCGAGACGTTTTGTATCTGCTGCTTTCAATCAGGGCGTAGATTGTGTACTTATTGTTTACAATTAATTTATCTATTGTTTCCAGATATTGTGCCTATTTCTTTTGTTTACAATTAATTGATCTATTGTTTCCAGATATTGTGCCTATTTCTTTTGTTTACAATTAATTGATCTATTGTTTCCAGATATTGTGCCTATTCTAACATCCACTGTGATAGAGTGTCATAGAGCAGGTTTGAAGAATTCCTCGTTTAGTTACGCTGCTATGTTAATGAGACCAGAGTACAGGTATACCCATAATTGGCCATAAACATCAGTGTTATTCTTCCAATGAAAAAATTTAAACTCAAAAATGTTATTATCGTATGTTACAGAATTTTATGTATGATTTACATTAATTTTACTGTGAACACCAGTACTTAAGGCATAGTGAGGACGAAGTATTCTTCACTATGCTGGAAACATACATTGAGATAGTAATATAGCTACAAAACGACTACATCACCAATACCTGTTTGACTGAAATCCCGAACAACAGTGGTTGATTATAATTATCCCCGATATTATTATTGCAGAAATCAGATAGATCTAAAATACAAGAAAAAGATTGAATCGATCGTGAGAAAGCCGGACAAGACAGAAGAGGAGGAGCCATGTACTCCGTGTCCGTACTGCGGCTTCCAGTTAGCCGAGACCGAGCTTCTGTGTCCGGAATGTAAGGGCAATATACCGTACTGCATCATCACCGGTCGACATCTCGTCAAAGAGGACATGTCGGCCTGCCCAAGTTGCGACTTCCCGGCTATATTCTCAGAATATATTAGGTAAGGCAGTGATGATAGTAAAAAGTAACAAATGTAAATCATTATTTGCTTGTGTTTAAATGTAGCTTCTGTTTCGATCCAGTTTTTTTTTTGTTTTTGTTTTGATAAAGCAAATGGTCAGTGTTTAAGACAGGATTTACAGATTACAAGTTCAAACAAATGCAGATTTTTCATTACATTATTATAAGTTCATTTTGTAAGATTAACATTTTTCCTTGTCAAACTTATTAAGAAAGTATGTATGTCATAATGTAAAATGAATAATTACAAAAACATAATGGAAATATAGCGTATGTTTGAATTCCATGTACATTGTATGTAAAAATGATTAAGAAAAATTAAACATTAAAATTGAAAAGAAAAAAATGAACTGTGTCATGACAAAACCAACATAATGGGTTTGCGACTAGCATGGATCCAGATCAGCCTGCGCATCCGCGCAGTCTGATCAGGATCCATGCTGTTCGCTTACAAACTCTATAACAAGTAGAGAAACTGATAGCGAACAGCATGGATCCTGATCAGACTGCACGGATGCGCAGGCTGGTCTGGATCCATGCTGGTCGCAAACGCACTATGTTGGTTTTGTCATGACACGGCTCAAATTTAGTTTGAAGTTTTATTGATTCAGGTTGATGGAGACAGAGGAGAACTGCCCGATGTGCTCAGAGAAAGTGATCAAACAGAACCTCCAGAAAGTTTCCGACACCCACAAATACCTGAACCCTGAAGAGGGCATCACAGAGTAATACAACTGTGATATGGCTGTGACACTGTGATGAAATGTCAAGTTATTTGTGACATCACTGTGTCACAATCTGTGACATCATTGTGCTCCTAAATGCAGGACTGTTTGAAAAACAAATTTCTATTCTATAATGAAAATATCCAAACTTAAATAAAATTCTGCTCCGCAATTATGAGAAATTTTGTAAATTATAATTATGCTTTGGAATTTAATATCTAAAAATCCAGCCTTTGATTATACAGCTTAAATGTCAACAACAAATCTTTCTAGGTATTTAATAAAGTTGAGAGTGATATAAAACTGTTAATAGTCCATCACTGTGTAATCATTATTCTTTTCTTTTTTTTGGAGTACGGCGAGAAATCTTTTTGAAATTCAAATTATTTACTGATAATAACATTAATTTATTACTGTTTAAGAAGGGCATAATATCCCTTTGTTTAAGAATATGGTTATTCTTTATATTAATTGATTGATTTATTGATTGACTATTTGAAAATAAGCAGTGATAGATAAGGTAAATCCAAAATCAAAACAAGTGAAATCCAAGATGATGTAAAAATTACATATCAGATTGGAGTGACAAGTACTTCATGCCGTCCATGGGTTTATATTATATTTTAAGAATCTTTTATTTTACATTCCACTGTATTTCTACATTTATTTATTAATGAATAAACACTTTTTACTTTCAAAATCAGCTTGTTGTATTTAACTACCACACAATGAAGGAAATGATGCTCACAGGGGTGAGCATCAGAATTTCCATAAGTATAGCTTGAAAGATGTTTCATAATATATATTTGTTTTGCTTTTTTTGTTGCACCATCACTGTAAAAGTCATGGCGACTTTCTAGATTTTATCATTTACTGGTGGAGGAAGATCTCGGGGGCCCTTCCATTCATTATTTGCAATTTAAATACAATGTATTATTCTGCTCCGGAATTATAAGGTATGTTTAATACACACAAACATTTCTTGCAAAGGGTTGATGATGGTGAACGATTGGTTTGTTAAAAATAATTAAGGTTGCTGTAAAATCATTCAAAATAAGAAATTAATTTGCAATGCAAAGAACAGCATTTGAATTTCAACGTCCCCTTAGATAATATCTGCTCATGCTCTTTGACATTTTGGCTGCTGAATTAACAAGAGCCCGGTTTGAGCCGGGTGATGCTCCCCAAATAGGTTTTGGACACAGGAAAGAACACCTCTTGTAGTTCCAGAGTTATGTCCCTGGAAAAAGTTCAAGTGCAATAATTCCAATATTAAGGCAGAGTAACTGTTCTTTGCAGTGCACTTCTAATCACTGTGATCTATCAACCTACAAAGTTTCTTGATGATATCTCTTATGGTTTCAGAGTTATGTTCCAGACAACTTCAAAAAGTAAAAATAAACAAAGGGCAATAACTCCAGAATTAGGCAAGGCAGAGTTATGATTCTTGTGCACTTCACATCTACATATTGAGATATATCTACCTACAAAGTTTCATGTTGATATCTCTTATAGTTTTACAGCTATGTCCAGTACAAGATTTTTCTAAAAGGGGACATAATTCAAAAATAAGGCTTGTCAGAGTTATGGTTCTTTTGCACTGCACTTCTACTCAATGAGATCTATCTACCTACAATGTTTCATCTTGATATCTCTTATAGTTTTAGAGTTATGTTACAGACAAAGTTCAAAGTGTTTAAATTAACAATGGGCAATAACTCCAAAATTAGGACAAAAAGAGTTATTGTTCTTATGCACTGCACATCTACCCATTGAGATCTATTCACCTACAAAGTTTCATGTTGATATCTCCTATAGTTATGGTTATGCCCCGGACAAGATTTTTCTATAAGGGGAGATAATTCAAAAACTGGGCAAATTAGAGTTATGGTTCTTTGACACTGCACTCCCCCTCAATGCCCTCTACCACTGTATGAAGTTTAAACAAATTATCTCCAAGGGTTTTCAAGTTATGCTCCGGACAAGACAACAGACGGACAAGGCGCGGACTATATGCTCCCCAGAAATTTATCGGGGAGCATAAAAATATTTGATAAAACTTAAATCCCCTTTACAGCTAATGGATTGTTCCAAATTCAAAGCAGAGCATGTTCATTGTAAACTTAGCTGGGTAACAGTTGAGCTTGATGGACAATACTTAAGGCATTCTAATCACATCACACATTTTGTTATAAATTATTACATTTTACTGGATCAAAAACAAACACAATTTTAAATATCAATACATGTTTCGCTTAATTAGCTTCGTCAGTTGATACATAACCAAATTTTACTGACAATTCTGATTACAGTAAGTTCAAACTATTATTGTTTATTTTTTCCACAATTTTCCAAAAATCTTCCACCAATTTTTATCCCTTCACGTTTGTTGGAGGGAAGTGTTTCCTATCATCAATATTGGTAATTGGGTTGGTAAACTCTTTCCCGCTGAAATCTGTATAGTTCTTGCAGTCCTTGATGGCAGAATTCGGCATCTGCATGAATACAGAAGTAAAATATGTTACTGCTAGTCAAATATGTCATATTTCAAATTTTGGACTTTATTACGGGTGTAAAAACCTCCTGAGTATGCTTTGCCTTTAAGTACATACCATCGAGAAGTCACTAAAAATATGTTAAATGGGCGTAAAAACCAGCAAATATTATAAGTACATTATCTAAAGCATACCATGCACTTTCAGAATAGACAAACTGGCCTAGTGATAACATTGTCTGGCTTATAATACCAAGTGTAGCAGGTTATCCCAACTAAAATTACTAACAATTAATGACACGAGACATCAAAAATCAAGGTCCCATTCAATGGTGCTATACACTTTGTATGTTTAAGAACAAGTTGTTTCTCTTTAAATTGTCACATTTCAGTGTCTGTTGTTATGATATCCTCTATAACAAGAACCGGTTGACGCGGGTGATGCTCCCCAAGAAGGTTTTGGACACAGGAAAGTATAAACAAATGAACAAAGGGCAAAAACTCCAAAATTAGGCAAGGCAGAGTTATGGTTTTTTGCACTGCACTTTTATTCAATGAGATCTATCTAAAAAAGTTTGGTGATGATATCTCTCATAGTTTCAGAGTTATGTCCCGAGTAAAATTCAAAATGTAAAAATGAACAAAGGGCAACTCCAAAATTAGACAAGGCTGTGTTTAGGTTCTTTAGCATTGCAGTTCTATCCAATGAGATCTATCTACCTACAAAGTTTCATGTTGACATATCTCTAATACTTTTAGAGTTATGTCCCAGACAAAAGTCAAAAAGTTAACATAAACAAAGGGCAATAATTCAAAAATTAGGCAAGACATAGTTATAGTTCTTGAGCACTGCACACCTACTCAATGAGATCTATCTACCTACAAAGTTTCATGTTGATACCTCTTGTTGTTTCAAAGTTATGTCCCGGACAAGAAAAGCAGACCGATGGACCCTTCGGGAGCATAAAAATATGTCTTGTGGGGTGTTAGTCATCACCCGTATAGATTTCTGATTGTAACTATAAATGAATGTATATCACACACACTTTAGGTAAAACCACTAAAGTTTATAAACACACTGTGGTACAAACACTTAAGTTTATCATACAGTATGGTAGAATTACATATACTCTTACTTAGCTAGAGCAACTGCTTTAAATTATCACATTTAAGTACAACCACTGATTTATCACACACATTTTGGTAGAATGATTAAGTTTATCATTCACATTTTGGTCAAACCACTAAAGTTTATCACATGCATTTTAGTAGAACCACTGCTTTATTACACATTTTGGTAGAACTATTAAAGTTTATCACACATTTTAGTAGTGCCACTAAAGTTTATCTCAAAAACTAGTAGAACCACTGAAGTTTACTACACACACTTTTAGAAGAACCCCACTTCAGTTTATCCTGCTGCAAAAGATAAGTCAAACAAATTTTTTTAGATTATTCTTTCTATGCAAATGATTTGCCTAAGCCACAAGTTTAAAGTTGGGGCAGAATAATTGTGTCAGTTGATAAAACTAGATGGCCACACATCCTTAGCTTTTTTCTTAATCAAACTCCTTAAAATAGCAATGGACAGTTCAAAATTCTAAAATGGACAAGTCCATTTTTGCAAATTTAGAAGTATTTGGTTAAAAAGAAACAGAACCACTCAACAAAAACATGCTACCTGTACATTCATTTTCATTAGTAGAATAGCCATTATGATTGATTGATAGAAAGTGATAACTATTTAATGGCTAAAGAGAGTTTATTTCCTTGAGATGAATAGTCATCAACTCGTCACCCTTTTGCACTTTTTCATTATACCTCATGTAAAGACTCAATCTAGCCGAGTCTGCAATTTTCATGTAGTTTTGTTGTGATTAATGCTTCCATGGTATAACACTTTCTTTTTGGATTTTGGGTGCAGTAACGGGGTAAGTGTTATTGCATTAAACTGGAGTTAAGACATTACTGCACTAAGGTGTCATACTGACCTTGTCTAGTTTTGTATAGCTTGCATGATGATGTTTTATAAAAGAGTCATTGCTAGCTTTGTTATAACATGCAACAAATGCCCATCTCCTCATGTCACTTTCATTAGGGTTGCTGGTGTGTAACAAATTACAGTGTTGAAACAAAACATCCCCTATAAATAATATAAAGTCATATTAAACATGGGTCTGTAAAGTTTATTTCAATATCAGATTGTGAATGGACAGGTGGAAGTTAAAAATGAATCGCTGTACTCTCCCTTGATGGAGGTGGGGAGGTTACACATGACTGGTGCATTTCTGTAAAATCAGATGTTTTCACAAAGCCAAAATTTCACAAAATCAACATTTCAAACTAACTGGCAAAGTTAAATTATTACTTTTTTTTAATATAATTAATATCTGCAAATTTCCATTTTCAGTTCAGTTTAAATAATATGGCTGATACTAATAGCAAGTTTTTTTTTGTTTTAACAAAACCTTCAACTTGTGAATCCACTGAAATTTAATCTCTCCCAAACATTTCTGATATTACATTACTTATATACAGTAGTGCTTCTTGATACATGTTATTTTTGGTTAGTAGTAACTGCCAACTACTCCACAGATGGATCAGTTTTTGGTATTAACCGCAATTCAATTAGATAGAAGGAATTGTCTTAAACAAATTATCAAACAAATTTTAGAGATAAACGCAGTTCTTCAAGGGTTCCAGGCATTATTGCGTTCTTTACCTAGCTATAGAAATAAATGGGCTTCTTAAAGGGTTTAAAGCTATATTTTACAATATATTTTTTTTATTAGATTTAAAAAAGGTAAAGTTTTTTTTGTTTCTCAATAATTACTTATAGTTGAGTCTTGGCAATTGAAAAAGTGGTAATATAGAATGTTTCTGTTATTTAACACACATGAAAGCTGTGTACACAGAATAAAATGTTCCAGATAAAAATATAATGCTGCTATTTTTATCAGGTTTTTAACTGTTTGGTAATGATTTGGTGCATGTGCCATTCGCTCAAAAAAGGAATATACCAACACATTTCTTTCATACAGGTATTTTAAAATTATTTCTTTTCAAAATTTTAACAAAAATTTATAAACTGTAGGCAGCAGAGATATAACTTTATACATTTTAACTTAAAATGACAGAAATATTAAATAGTTGTAAAGAAAGAAATAACCTGGTTCCATCTCACAATACAGATGAGGGCAGACTTTTTTCAAAGCTTCTATGCGTTCCAGATCTGCCTCTGTTTGTAAAGTGCCTTTTCCAGGGAGGTGATCTATTCTACCACACTTGTGGGAACCCTTCAGCACCTAGGAAAATGATGGTTTGAAATTTAGAAAATAACCTGTTTTTTTTTTTATAATTATATTAAATTGAGGAAATGATCTATTTTGGGGATATGACCAGATGAAAATTTGAAGTCAGCCAGCCAACAGTATATAGCCTAGAAAGAAGGCATGGATGTGCAGGCTGGCCTGGCTCTACTGGTGACAAATGGTAATCACTTTCAGTACCAACTTATTCTGGGTTGAAATTTACATGTATGTTAACAGATTCTTGCCATATTCTATTATGAAATTCTTAGTGATTAAAATTCTAAATATATTGCCAAGTGAACATATAAAGTATGGCTATCCTATGTGCTTGACAGTCAGAAAAGAGGCACCCTCAGAGTCGAGGGACCTGTGCCCAATCATGTTACATAACCACAGAAAACATATGTTTGGAGTTTCAACCAATTACCTAGATACCAATCAGCATACAAAAACTTAACCAAAGTGTGACGTGGCTCTTATGCCTGAGTAAGTACAATAGCTCTCCCTAAAAATTAATTCATAAACTTCAGATAGGTTAACTATATAGATTACATAAAAGCCATCATTTTAAAAAAAATAAACATTTCAAATATCATACAGTATTATAAAACAATATTGGCTCTGATCAAAGATACCCTTTTTATTATAGAAATTTCATGTGATTTACTCAAAAACATTTTCTTGTTTTACCTGTAGACAGCTATTTTGTCTTGTTGCCTTATCCATTGGTATCCAAACAGTTATCATGTCAGGGAATAAATTATGCCTGTACCAATATCTGAAATTTATTATATATTTATTGATCATTAATGAAATACTCAGAAATATTGATTAAATAAAATGCATATTTTCATCTTCCGTATTTTCAATGTAAAAGAATGATTTTTCACTGCAGTGAAACATATTTTCCTTATTTTCACTGGTGTCCTGCCAAACTTACTTTCTTATAAAATCAGCCGACAAACAAAATTCAAGGGTTGTAATGTCAAAAAAGAGAAAAATGTATATAATAAGTTTTTTCAATAAATAAAGGATTTATTTTCATCGAGTGGTATGAAAACAAATATTTCATGAGTATTGGATTCCATAAGCTGTATTTATAGAAAAAAACTTGAATATCCTCTAGTATATATATTGCTTTATATTGTAACTCATTTTTACGGATAATCAAGCCTAAAATACATATTCCTGGTCATTTTTATTTATAATTTTTACTTGTCAATAAGTTGATTTACTATTTATAGTAACATATTCTAGACATGTTCTTTTTTTTTTAAGTCATTCACTATACATAGAACCATTTATTTTTAAAGCTTGATTATTGGTTACAGTGATATAGCATTGTATATTTTAGACTTGAACATAAGTTAAAATGAATTACTATATATAAAATACTACAGTATGTTGCTATTTTAATTGAAAATGACCAGATTTCACAAACTCCTTATGTTGTTTATTGTCCAAGGTAAAAATGCAAGCATTAGTTAATGCAGATTGGCAAATAGGACAGTTTTGATGCATGACAAATACTTGGTTAAATCATAAAATTTATTGCTCTAGATACAACACTTGTAAAGCCTGTGACAAAACTAATGTATTGGGCAAAGTTCATCTCTAAATTACTTCCATTCTTATCCTATTTTGTAAAAATATTTGTAATGCTTTGTATATACTGTAAATTGAAAGCTGTATATAATTAGATAAACATTCTGAGAAATAAAAAATGTTTAAAGTTACCCATAGTCTTGGTGCCAAACATGGCTGCCAGCTTCTCTTGGATTCTTCAAGATAAATTTACCATGGTAGTGGTAAACTTCCCCCTCCATTAACTGTCAACAAAATAATCTACTATAAATGTACATGTATATACTTTAAATCTGTCTAATTATACCCAAGTTATACAAATCAAAGAAAAGTTACTGTTTTTACTTCTGACTGTTACTGTCAGAGGCAAAAGATAATGGTCACTTATTGTTTTATGTCATGCGAATCCCAAATTCTTCATTTCAATTTTAGCTAACATAGGTATTGGCTTCATCTTAAAACATTAATAAATACCAAAAAAGTATAGAATTTCCCAATTAAGTTTTAATGAATTCGAACATATTAATAAGAATGTTCAAAAGTCAAGACTTTACAAGAAATATGAGAAAAAAATATACAAAGGAAGATTGAGATTCAATGTTTTTGTTTGTGTTTTACGTCACATCGACACAGTATAGGTCATATCGCGATGTTCCAGCTTTACTGGTGGAGGAAGACCTCAGGTGCCCTTCCGTGCATAATTTCAGGCACGAACGGGCACCTGAGTAGAACCACCGACGTTCCGTAAGCTAGCTGGATAGCTTCCACACATTAAAGAATCCAAAGTCCCTGTCGGGATTCAAACCCATAGGAAAATCTCCTCCATCTAGAAAAATCTTTTTTCTCTCTATTTTTTTTTTTTTTTTTTAAATTCCAACAAAAGATGTAGAGCAATAGGTGAGCAAAGTGTTTTAAGGAAACATAGAATGTAATGCTTATCATTATACACATACAACATTTATAAATACCTCCACTTTATAAAGATTCATACCAGCCAGTTCTTTAATATCTCAGCAAAAGATTATATTAACTATTATTTGCATATGTGTGAGGTAACACAGTCTTTAAGCTTTATTGGTCATGTTTTCATTATATTTCTACACAGGTCTACATATTTTGAACATTATTTACCTGTTCACATGTGTTAACTATTTTCTCAGACCTGGACATTACACCACTCACATCAGTCCCGGCGTTTTTATACATTACACGAAGAATCTTCTTCCCATCTGGTTCTGTTGTCTATAAAAATTTGAAACATGTAACATAAACAATATTGAAGCAACACGTAGATTAACATAACATGTCTTTTAAATACATACACTAACAAGAGCACCGCTAGGCGGAGCATTATATGCCCGAAAGTGTTTTGTTTTTTTAGTAAGGATGAAGCATTTGTAAGACATGGGAATTAAATAAAGTATTACCTCCTTCAAATAGCAATCCTCCTATGAAGTTTGAATATTGTGGGCCAAATGGAACTTAAGTTATGCTCCGGAAACTGTTTTCAGTTTTAAGGTAATAGTGACCTTGAACTTTGACCTTGTGACCCCAAAATCAATAGGGGTGTTCTACCCAATATAGACAATCATCCTATGAAGTTTGAACACTGTGGGCCAAATGGAACTTAAGTTAGGGTATGGAAACTGTTTTCAGTTTTAAAGTAATAATGACCTTGACCTTTGATTTTTTGTGACCCAATAATCAATTGGGGTCTTCTACCCAATATGGACAATCATCCTATGAAGGTTGAACACTGTGGGCCAAATGGAACTTAAGTTATGTTCTAGAAACTGTTTTCAGTTTTAAGGTAATAGTGACCTTGACCTTTGACCTTGTGACCCCAAAATCAATAGGGGTCTTCTACCCAAAATGGACAATCATCCTACGAAGTTTGAATTTTGTGGGCCAAATGGAACTTAAGTTATGCTCAGGAAAATGTTTTCAGTGTTTAGGTGATAGTGACCTTGACCTTTGACCTTGTGACCCCAAAATCAAAAGGGGTCTTCTACCCAATATGGACAATCATCCTATGAAGTTTGAACACTGTGGACCAAATGGAACTGAAGTTATGCTCCGGAAACTGTTTTCAGTTTTAAGGTAATAGTGACCTTGACCTTTGATTTTGTGACCCCAAAATCAATAGGCGTCTTCTACCCAATATGGACAATCATCCTATGAGTTTGAATATTGTGGGCCAAATGGAACTTAAGTTATGCTCCGGAAACCAAATTGCTAACGGACGGACGGATGGACAGACGGACACCAGGAGGTATAACATAATATGCCTGAAATTCTTTCGGGCATATAAAAAGGAAGAAAGAGGTACCAACGTCAACACAAGAGTCAAGTTTTAATTGTATTTATTATTCTTCTTTTAAGTTCACATTCTACTTTAGGAATATGACTTTTAGATACTTTAACTCAAATATCTTATTGGTTTTATATCATCAATCTGATGCTCAAATGAAGATGTAAGTTCAAAAAAGTATTATTTGTAAAAAATATTACTGAATTTACTTTTCATGTAAATAAAGGGAGGAATAATTAGAAATCTATTTTCCATAAAGATTAAGCTAAATTTTTCAATAAGAAATGAATGCATAGATTTTAATGATTACTTATAATGGGAATAAAACATTTGCAGTACATATTTAATACATTATTGGATGTTTGGAAATTGTTTTAGAAGAATAATTGTATACATATATAAAATTTCACTCTAATGTTGTTATATCATTAATTACAACATAAAGGATCTTATATGATTTTTTTATTATTATTACTTTTTTTATGGGTGTGTGTTTGGGAAGGTGGTAAGTCAATGGATATCAGTTTTGAATGATGAAGTATGTCTCAAACCAAGAAACAATCATGAAAAAAAGTCCCCCCCCCACCACCACCTCCCCCTCCCTCCCCCCATAACATACCTCATAAGAATGTTTGAGTATTCCATCAGGCCCTTCAAACAGTTTCCACAGCTGTGCTATTTCTTCTTTGTCAAACAAGTCTCTAGGTAAAATAAATCAATTTTCAAATTGTAAATCAAGTAAACCTAAACTTTTTTCTTGTAAATTCTGTAGATTGAAATGCAAGCACATTAGTGAGCTTCACTTTAAGCTTATACCCATTGTTAAAGGGACTCCACTGACGTTTTTTTGACCTGATGCAACTGGAGATAAATTTTCAAGAGTAACGTTCTTTTAATGTCAGTTTAAACCAATAACCTGCATGCAAAAATTCAGTCCATTCACTCAATCTGCTTTTCTAGAATAACTGTACTAGTCCATTCACTCAATCTGCTTTTCTAGAATAACTGTACTAACTGTGAAATGAATGACCCAAAATTGAAAAGCGTTGGAATTCTTTTCACTAGAATCAGACTAAGAATAGCTCAAGAAAATGATTATTTTTCTTTCTTAGTACTACACTGTAGTATAATTTGTATTCATCTTTTGCATATCTTTTAGTTTTAGGTGCCATTATTTAGTTCATCTGTATGTAAGAAATTAAAAAAAAATATTTTTTGCTTTTTGGACATAAGTGGAGTTCCTATAAAATGTTTTCAAATTCTAAAACATAAACCTAAATAAATAAACACAAGAATTCAACAAGGAATTGTTGAAAATTGAATCGATTATTCATTTACTGTAGCCTTTTAGGCATCAAACCTTTGATAAACAAAAACTTACTTCACAACTATGAAACCATCTTCATCAAATCTCTTCTTAATATCTTCTGTCACCACAAATTCACCATCAAACTGTACCTCTGTATAGTAAATATTTAAATATTAAAATTGCATACTATGACATAAGATTGAAAAAATCACTGTGAATTGCTATAACAGTGTGACCTAGCATTGCAATTTCAAAAAGAGTGACTCAGTATTAAGTGTAATGTAACAACCAAATTTTTAAGTTGTCAGGGTTTTTTTTTTAAGTTCTAATGGTGTTAGTAAAGCAGTAGAGATATTGTAATAAATACTGCAAAATCAGTGTTTAATCGCACATAACATTTATTATTACTTGACTCTTACATTGTTTTACTTTTCTTAAAATCTTAGTACATTTTTCTAAAGTTTTATTTTCTTCAAATATTTGAGTTCATCTGGCAGCATGCAGCTTTAAACCAACTGTAAACAGAACAGTTTGGTCTGATTCACGGCTCGGCACTACTAAAGGCCAAGGCTTACTTAATTCACTTGCAGTTTCAGCTGGTTGAGGATTATTAAGATAGACTTTAGCTTTCCCGCCCAAAAAATTCTAACATCGGCCAATATCGTAATAAATCGGCCATTTCCGAAACGGTATTTTTCACAATCTTCGGTATTCAATAATTTTTAACCCTTTATAACCAGAATTAAGTACATTTTTGTTTTTGGGTTTTATGTCACATCGACACAGTATAGGTCATATCGCGACTGGTGGAGGAAGACCTCAGGTGCCCTTCCGTGCATTATTTCAGGCACGAACGGGCACCTGAGTAGTACCACCGACGTTCCGTAAGCTGAGCTGGATTCTGAGCTTCCTCACATGAAAGAATCCAAAGTCCCTGTTGGGATTCGAACCCACAGCAGTGAGGGGCAAGTGGTTTGAAGTCAACGACCTTAACCACTATATACCCCGATAAAGAGTTATTGTAAATAATCTAATGCCCAAGATTTTTATAAAAATTATGTTCTGGAAACAACCGATTCTAAATGCAACAATATTGGCCGCCGTTAGATTTTTGGTGGGAAAAGCATTACAGAAAGACTACCTTAACCTTACAGAGAAAAAATTAAAATTGTAAAATAATCTATAAAATATAATATGAGAAATACAAAAAATAAATTATGTAATGGAAATATTAAGTATCTAAAACAGAAAAATCAATGCAATGAATTAAGTATGAAAACTGAAAAATTACTTTGAATGGAAGTGTTTAAAAATCAAAAACAAATTAAAATTTAAAATAATGTTAATCTATTATTATGAAAAATATAAAAATAAAACTAAATACATGTAAAGACTTACTATCTACCATTTTTGGAAATAAGCAAGGCAATATCTTTGGTGTGGCAGTGATCTTGCTAATTGAACTGTTTTACCTGTAATATAAAACAATCTTTGAATTTAATAACTGTTGCTTTAAAAAAATAAAATTAAAAAAAAAACATTAAAAATTCAAATGATTTTTTTTGTTTTGTTGGGTTGGCAACAACATCAATATTTATTAATTCTTATTAAATGGTCTCTTTCTAATATCTAATTCAAAAAAGCACATAAGACTAAGTTGGTGTTAAAAAATCTGAATTAAAAAACAAAACAACCTATTATTTTTTTTTTATTGGGTTGCCTGAATGACATCCATATAATCTCTTTCCCTGTTAACATGGTTAAAAAGCTTGACAATGTGACCTAGCTATTCAGCGTAGTTTCGGGGCCAAGCAATGACCTGGGTAGAACCAGAAATAAGAATCAAACCACAACAGGTAAGGGATAGCATGGCAGTATGTTAATAGACCATCATATAGTATATGTTAAAGATATCATCCTTTACATATAATTATCATAAAAAGTAAACATAATAAAAGTTATAATCGAAAACAAGAAACCACTGTTTCTTTTAACTTTAGTACAATAAATAGTGTACTTACATGTAATGATGACAATAATCTATGTATATCTTGTATCAAACAGGACTATATAAACATATGTATAAGCCTATCTTCAGTTCAAGGCCGATATGTCAAGGTCATATGATAATAATTATCTTTCTAGGGTAATGAATGCAATGTCAGACAAACAGTCTTTATTATCATATCTCTATATATTTTGATAACAATACTGAGCTAAACTTCTGTTTTCTTCCGTCTGTTTTGTATTTCTATTAATATCAAACTTCCCTTTAGAAATATAGTGGTTTAAATTGTGCCAGGTGACATCTGCTGAGTGTTTAAACTCTTAACCTGCTAAAGGCCAACCATCAATTCTGTGCAGTCTGACAAGACTCTTATAATTATTGAGGGGTGTTTTTTTTTACGTATCCAAATCCCTTTAACTTTGAATAAACTGTTTTAAATTTGAAGCTGAACAAATCCACTTAACAAATTAAGAGAATTAATCAATTATCTCATTATAAGTTTTTACTGTCTAATCCAAAAATGACTTTTAGGTCAGGTTAGTAAAAAAAAACAAGGTCATAAAGTGCTGTATCAATGCTGTATCAATGTCATATAAAGGAAAAAAAAAACAAGGTCATTAAGGAAAATACCAAGATCATAAGAAAAAGTACCAAGGTCATAAAGAGCAATGTCATAAAGGACAATACTAAGGTCATTGAGGAAAATACCAAGGCAATAATCTAGGACAATACAAAGGTCGTAACAGACATTACCAAGGTCAATATGACACAATACCAAAGTCATACAGGACAGTACCAAAGTGAAAATGGGCAATACCAAGGACAATATAAAGAACATTTACATGCTTTTTCAGGACACCATTATTAGTCTAATAATCCAAATTATTTATAAATAATTAATATAATTATTCAAATTAAAGCTAAATGAGAAACCTTGTCCTTAACCTCAATGCACTTGTAACCTAAAAACAGGCCTTCATGTATTTGAAAGAAAACAAACAGCATTTTACTTTCCATTTTTGATTTTTTTTTATCATATAATCATGTCAATGTAAAAAATTCATAAATAACAATTACAATTAGTTATGTACCACATCCTCATACGTCCAGTAATGATTATAACCAAAGTCATCACAACATTATTTGTATTTAGAATGCTAATATATGTTAATATATAATATTAACAAAGTCCAAAGAAACATTGAACTTTAAACAATCTTTCAACCATATTGGTGGTTCATATTTTTTCCAACATAACTTTTGAGCAAGGCTATCAAAATATTTACAGTACAAGAGCTGTTCGAGGGACAGATTGCTCCACTATTCTAAGTTTTTGATAGTAAAACATCAGTCTTGCAGGAATCTTGTACATCAATTGTAAGTTATAAAGGAGAATAATTCAAGAAAAAATACATATATTATTACATTTTAGAGATAAGGTTTTTAGCCAGTAACATATGCCTCCCATCCAAAGGAATATGATAACCTTCACTGGCTGGGTAGAAAGAACACATATGCTCACCTAAAGGTGCAATTTTCCATGTTTTAAAAGGGACATAAAGCAGTCAAAATCCATTCTAGAGTTATGGAAATTAAGTAGGAGCAATTAACTTAAATTTCATTTAAATAACTGGTATATTTAACACAAACTTTTCCATGTAGAGATTTATCTTCTTGAGGAGAAAAAAACACTTGCAGATTCTGTTCATGAAGTTTTAACATGTTCCTAAATCATTCACTTGACTTGCAGAACTTTTCCATCTTGGTTAATCTGATTTCTTCAGTCTTAAACTTTCACAAATTCTAAGAAGTCACATTATCATTGTTTTAAAAATACATTTGTAATCTTCTATAAAAACTAGTCATCTGTCATTCAATTTTCCCTCTAAATCTCGTCCGTGCATCGATCTGAAAGAACAAAAACACTTGAGATAAAATATGGTTTAAACATATTTATTTAAAGCTTGTTTGCAAAACAAGATCTTGCAACTTATATTAATTACTTTCGAGTCTGAATCCTGGAACCAACCAGTACTGGTGTCATATAAAGAAACATGGTTGTGACCCGATTAGGGCTCGAACCCATGATCCCTTGGTTGAGAGGCAGACATCTTAACCACTAGGCCACCGCTCCCCTTAAATAAAATATGGTCAAATTATGAATATGAGAAAACCAGCAATTACCATTAACAGAAGCCAGCAAAAAAGTACACCAATTTAAATATATTTGGCCAATTAGAAGAAATTCAGACTAGATAGACAACAGTTTTGTGTTGTATTCTTTTTTGGTTCGAGTAATAAGTAGCAGGCATGATCACTTTCCAGATTTACTGATAGACATCACTTCAGGCAGCTGTGCAGAACCACTGACCTTGCATAACCTCACTGGATAGCCATCTAGCATAAAAGGATCCAAAGTCTCTGTAGGGAAATAAAATCATAAAGCAGGACAGCAGGGGTCTTGCTGGATTTTGTATATTATTTGTTTTCTTAATTTAAAATTTCAGCCTTGATGAAAATGTATTTAGTACTGCCTGTGTCATTGCATGCTTTCAATTTTACCTGAATAAATAAATTATTTAATCTAAATAAAGCACCTGTGATCTTTTACATCTAAAAAGTCTTATTCTGATCTGTTTACATTCTTCTGGCATATCATCCCCTCTCATTAGACATTCTCTTGGTGTGTGACCTTCCTGCAAAACAAATGGAACTGGTCTCTTATAGTTGGCAAAGCAATTTTATGAAATATAAGTTATAAAACAAGTGCTTCAACTTTTAGCAAAAATATTTCTACCAAAATACAACAGAGTTGATCATCATATCTTGGATAAAAAAAACAATATATAGAAGACAAGGATAAAAATCAACCTCTTCAGAAAATAATGGGTCATTTAATCAGAACTTTCTAACAAAATGTTACTATGAAATTAATAAACAAGAGCTGTCCGTAAGACAGCGCGCTCGACTTTTTTATTGCTTGCCAATAAAAAAAGTTTTTGCAGTAAAAGGCAATACAAGAATCTCTGTATTTTTAAAGTGAACTAGTTGTTTGATACCCTTGAATATTACAGCAATGTTTATATGACATAATTTATGGTAAAGTGAACAAGTGGATAGGAATGATTTTTTTTAGATTTTTTAAGTTTTTTAGTGCTTGCCTATAATACAAAACATTGACAGTTAAGGGCCATAATTCAAATAAAATCTTTGACAGAATTACCTTCTCCTGGACATGTTTGGGAATCATGATTGTAAACAAGTATTCCAACTTTCAAATTAATATCTCAAACAGTTCAGTCAAAAAGTGGACTGGTACTAAAAACTTAACCAAGATTCTAAGTCGATAAAAGGCCTTAATTTTTAAAACAAATCCTTGACAGAGTTACCTTCTCTTGCGTACAGATGGGGGTAATGATGTGAAATAGCATTAAAAGTTTCAAAGCAATATCTCAAAGGGTTAAGGCAATAAGTGGATTTTACCCATATTCAATGTATTTTCTAAGTCAAAAAGGGCATAATTCTGTCAAAAACCTTGACAGAGTTATGTCCTCTTGTCTGTTTTGATGAAGGTCGTGATGGTAAACAAGTATGGTCAGTTTCAAAGCAATACCTCCAATGGTTTTGAAATAAAGTGAGGTGGTACAAAAAACTTAACCAAGCTCAATACACTTTCTAAGTCAAAAAAGGGCCATAATTCTGTCAAAAACCTTGACAGAGTTATGTACTCTTGTCTGTAGATGGAGGTTATGATGGTGAACAAGTATGGTAAGTTTCAAAGCCATACTTGTAATACTTCTGAAATAAAGTGGGGTGGTACGAAAAACTTAACCAAGGTGTGACGCCAACGCCGACGCCGACGCCGGGGCGAGTAGGATAGCTCCCCTTTTCATAGAAAAGTCGAGCTAAAAAATCCACAATAATATTATTATCAATTATTAAGATACGTTTTTCATAAAACAAAATGTTTACAATTTTAAACATTCTGCCAGTCAAACATTAAGTATAATCAATCATCTCATACATTTTCAAACGATAATTGTTGTTGTAGTGTTTTGCAAACTTTTGTCAGAGATTTATAATATTATACTGAAGTGTATCTCAATTCTCACATTTTATAGCTAGTGTGATACCAGCCTTGTATGTTAAGATTTTGTCAGTTGGGTAATATAACAATTCGCCCCATGACGATAATCTAGGGCCACTCATCACTAAAAGTTGACAAGTCGTTATGAGGCGTTTTGTCAGAGGAGCGTATCGTTATAAGTTGTAAACAGCTACACTGACACCAAATCAAAATCACCAAATTGACATTGCTACATGTATCTGAGTACAACGGTAAAAACTTGGTTTGTTTGCCTTGGTATATGGTGGCTGATTTGTGCCATTCGTGATTTCGCCCCTCGATCCCCGCCAAGTGAAAAATCGAAAATTAACAAGTTAGAATGGCGGGGGCGCGGAGCGAAAACACGCTAATTAGCGAGGGCACAGGGCGAAGTTTTATAAATAAAACTTTGCTGCTGTTTTCATCCTGTGACACCGCCAAGCGAAAAGTCGAGAATTAACAAATTAAAATGGCGGGGGCGCGGAGCGAAAACATGCTAATTTGAGAGGGCGCTGGGCGAGGTTTAATAAATAAAACTTCGCCCCGTGTGGGCACGGAGCAAGATTTAAGAAATGGGTTGCGGAATGAAAACACGCTAATTAGCGAGGGCGAGTGGCGAAGTTTTATTTATCAAACTTCGCCCCGCGCCCCAGCTAATTAGGGTGTTTTCTTCCCCCTACCCTGCCAAGCGAAAAGTTCATAATCAACAAGTTAAATTTGCGGGGGCATGGAGCAAAAACACGCTAATTAGTGGGGACGCTAATTAGAGTGTTTTTGCTCCGCGCCCCGCCATTTTAATTCTTAAATCTCGCCACGCTCCCGTGTGGGGCGAAGTTTTATTTATTAAACCACGCCCCCACTAATAAGCGTGTTTTCGCTCCGCGCCCCCGCCATTTTAACTTGTTAATTCTAGACTTTCGCTTTGGGGGGTCGCGTAGCGAAAACAGGAATGGCACAATTCAGCCATGATGCTGCTACCCCATCAAATTGCAGGAACTTTGGAACTCACTGTGGTAAAATTATTGGATATTTATATCTTATATAACTAAAAAGTGTAACAATATAAATCATTTAGGTTACTGAACTGCTGAAACCTTTGGCTTTATTTTGATCAAAATAATTTGCACAACATTAGTATCGTATACAATAATTTCATTTTCAAAGCAGGAACTTGAAATTGTATCAAACAGCCAATATTAATACCCAAAAATACCCCTATAACTAGTAATGCAAATTAAATGCAAATCAGTAGACAATTTCATAATTTTCAAACTGAATTTAATCTTACAATTTTGTAACATTCTGATTGTCGAAGACAGTTTAACAAGTCTTTTCTGGCTCCTTCACATGCAACTTTACTTTCCATACCGCTGCCCCAAATCACCTAAATAAATTAATTAAAAAGAATTTTCTGTTTATTCAACTGGACAGCATTGCCCAAAGCAAAGATTCAACTTCTCCTGACTACACGGCGGGAGAAGTGTACATCGAAGTATGGATTCTCTATGATAACTGTGTTCAGGAAGTTCTGTGATAACTGTCACGAGTTCGTCGGAAAACATCTGATATACTACAAAAAACTCATCAAAGAATGTTATTTCATCTTTCCAAAACATGAGTTTTATGTGCTAAATACTTTATATGTATTAAGCTGTCTTACATCCTGTCATTATGTCGTCAACTTAATCATCGGCTAATTTTATCGCCTCTTGCTTCAAATCTGTTATTTTAGAGTAAAATTTCCAAATTAGTTCCAATCAAAGTTTTGTACCTGTTTTGTGTGGCCTTCATCCTTCTAAATATAATACCTAATTATAAATGCAAAATTCAAAATTAAAAGCAACGCTTAAATTTATGCGATTTTCAAATGTCCGGAAGAGTCTGTTGGTTTGATAACTCCTGAAATGCACAGAAGTTCTTATGATAACTTTTGTCTATTCAGTGGTTTCTTGGGCTGAAATTCACGCACGTTTGCGTTATTATCATTCAATAGATCGTAATCAGTGTATGAACATGCATACGATCTTCCTTTGCACAAAAAATTGTGGATTAAAACGTGTGTATAAGTGTCCGCAAAGTAAAATAGATGATGGCTATCATTCTACAGTAAAAATTGAACCAGCGGCCATGATATTCTGCAGTATAATAGCTTAAATAGATAAATACAGAATCCCTAAAGAAAAAGCCCAACACGCAAAATTGAAAATGTTGGCAGGCTCGTTTGATTGAGCCTGTTCATGGACGGTACTGGGAAAGTGCAAGTTACCGTCCACGCCCCCTAGCACCGGCTTAAGCAGAATTCACATTTAAACGTGAAATAGTAAAATTTTGAATTTAGAAACATCCATCAGAGTGTTCATACGGCGGTTATCATGGAACCTTCACATGTGACACTTCCGTGCCATTCCATTGAAAAGCGGCGTATGGTCCCAAGTAATAAAAAGCGTGTGCCCTTAAACGAGAAACAATGGCGGAACTAAATAAAATGGAATGTTTGAAAGGGGATCAGAAGTTTGAAGCCTGCGATATCACAGATAAGAACGTCAAAAGAAAATTTAAAAAGCAGGCAACATATCCTAAGGGTGATTCAACATTATTCAAGTAGGAAGTATTGGAAACCACCCAAACTAGAAAATGCCGAAAAGTTGAAACTAAAAATACACCAAGCACAACTAATAATGTCGTTGGCTGAACGTATCTTTAAGAGCGAAAATATAAACATCATTGATAATGACGGGAGATTTTACAGCCACTCACAAAACAAAAATGTCTGCTCACAAAAAGTACACGTGTTCTCAGTTTCACATTTTTTTAGCCAACCACATATTCTAAGCAGACAATATATGGTCGATGCTTCCCTGTGAGCGCGTGAAGCTGAGGGGAGTGAGAGGGGGTGTATCATTTCTATTACCATATAATAAGTATATAACCAGATTTCCCACACCAGTCTCTAAAAAAAAGTACGATACATGATAAAAAGCTCAACTAGCGTTGGAAATCTAACTACCAATCTCTCGAAAAAATTACTAAGAACTGGTCCCTCCAGATTTACCATAGGAATGCGGATTTCAGTTATTGTGGCATGGGCATTCAAACTATAATTTCCAGGTGTTGCTTGTAAGTGTCGCACGTCCTGCTAATGTAACTTAAAACAACAGACAAAAAAACTCTGAAACTATATTAATCCTGTACTATTATAACTGCTGTATTACGTAAGAAAATCAAATTGGTTTCTCTGATTGATGCAGTAACATAGATGCTGTACTGAGAAAAAAAGGACTGTTTGGCCTGGATGAAAAATGATAAAGGGCCAGAAACCTGCTAGGGGCTGGAAAACTGCTAGAACCAGTACATAAATCATTTTCAAATCTACGAAATCTAAGTCAAACAAAATAACAATACTATGAAAAGAAACAGAGGGGAAGAGCAAAATTACTCTTGAACTTAAAATATTCACTCAAAACAAACTTATATATCCTTTTTTGCGCAAAGGATGAGCGTACTACATGTCAAAAGATTTACAATTCTCAATGAATAATTAAAACGCTAAAAACGCTGCCGTGATTTAGCGCAAGGAACACACTGCCAATAACAAAAGTTATCATAGAACGTCTGTGACATCTTCAGTGTTAATCACAAAGAAGCCTCCGGCGACATTTGAAAATCGGCTATAAATCTGTGTCTTTGCCGCGTGCTTTATTGTTATGCAATTTGCATTATAATTAGGTAATTATGTATGCAAGGATGAAGACCCAGAAATAAATCAAGGTCAAAACTTGAATTTGCATATAATTTGAAAATTATACTCAAATACCAGATTTGAGCTCAAGAGGCCGATTAAAAATGGCCTGTGAATTAGTTTTTGGCATAATACAACGATGTAAGACAAGCGTAATCATTAAAGTTTAATTTAGCACCTAAAACTCATTTTGGAAAGATGAAAATAACCATTTTTAACGAGTATGTCTGTAGTATATACAGATGTTTTCCGACGAACTCCGTGACAGTTATCACAAGAACTCCTGAACAAGTTATCATAAGAACTCCATCCTTCGTGTAACACTTCCTCCCCCGTGGACTATGTCCTTTGATTTTTAACCAATCAAAAGAAAATCCGTATTCAGTGCAGACCTGTTTGTAAATATTTTTGCAGAAATATTTTGTTTAGAAAATTGGAAACGACTGAAAACTAAAGATTCTATTTATTTGTCACGATGCCGGTATAATAGTTATTTTTATTCATGAATTTATAGCTTTTATATGTATCGTTATATAAAAATATGACCAGGAATAGCGGAAAATAATTTGTGTTCTACCTTATGCTAATGAGGTGGGTGGGGGAATGGTACTGATGCTGATATGTATCTTTTACATGGGTAAAAGTTTTCAGGATTTTTCCTGAAATTCAGAATTTTCAGTCATCTGAAATCCTTCTTATTCCTATGTAAAACTATAGAAAAACTGCATAATTCAGGATTTTTCAATTTTCCAACTTTTACCTAGATGCTTTATCAGTTTATGGAGATCACTTTTATTAAAGAAAAGAATACCATTGAGCTTAATATATAATATCTTGTATGTATGTGAGATTACAAACTATAAAAATGTTACGTAGAGCAATGTTTTAAAATATCCTTTTATTTGATTGGTTGAAATTTACGAACAATTGTTCAAGACCGTCTTCATTTTAAATGACATGCATACTAAAAATAGCCATTACAAATTTTGACATTCCTTAAAAAGTTAGGACAGCATTTGACATATTAAACAGATTATCATTAAGGACTGAAATAAAATGAGGATACCTTTGGTAAAAGTGTTTTACTTACATTATTTTATTTTCAGATTTACTGGTTTTGCATTTGTGACCTCTGTGTATTCAAGATATTTCTAAATCAACATCATAAACTTAAGGCTATGTTAAAATTGAATTGTTAACTTAAATTGTATTTGATCATGGTAATTGGTATTCTATATAAAGCTAAATCGATTTATAATCAAGCTTAACACTGTCATAACATTATTTAGGTAAACATGTTACAATATATATTTATTAATTATATTTTTATATATCTCACTAAGATGTGATTTCATAATAAAAAAATTCTCACTTAAAATAGAGATATATACTTGTATTACTCAGAACAAACAAACTTTCTTTTTATTTTTTTGTTCTGTTATATAGATGTTGCTTTAAGACTTTTCAAACAAGATCCAAAATCTTGTGCCAAATAATCATTAATGCAAAATTATGTACATACCAATTACAAATAAGATGTCATTAGATCCTTTATCATTGTAAATACTTACTATTTTTTTACAATAACAAATTTGAATATTTCACTTAATATCATAACAAGTAGTTGTATGATGGCAAGTATGAATAATATCTCACTGATATATTTCAGTAACTCATCAAAACTCATATCTCGCTGATTTATTTCAATAAGTCATCAAAATGTATAAGATAAACATGTACATCATTAACTTGATATATTTTAATAGGAGAGGGAGAATGACAATGTGCGAGTGTGCGTCCGATGTCGTCCTATGAATGATACAGAAAAAGGCCAAGGATGTACACAGGTTGTCAAGGTAAAAATTAAAATATGAAATAATTTGTCAAATGTTGGTTTTTTGTCCTGGGTATCTGGGCTTTGTGGTTTAAAATGCTGACTTCTGCTCATCTACTAGTCACTGCGGTAAGTTTCAAACCAAAGAAATGAAACTAGACTTGACCCATACTTCACTTCAGTGTTGTTATATTTTTCTGCTACTTCGAGATCATTGATTCCAGCACTTTTAAGAGTGAAAAATTGGTGCTAGGGGGAATGAGGGATCATTTTACCTCATGTACGGACTCAATCAAACCGAGTCTGCAATTTTCATGTAATTTTGCTGATTTTAGTGCTTCCGTGTGATCGCTTTAAAGTTTACAATATCTCTTATAATAAATTTATTATGGAAGATGCCACTAAGACTGTTGTAATTTTATTGATTTTCATTATAAACAATTTATTTTTTGAAAAATTTGCAATAGATATTAAAGGAACATTGATACTTTTTAAACACATCTAGTTTTTTCACCTTAAACAGCAAAATAATGATAGAAAAATAGAAATATCATGTAATAGTGTTTTGCACTTCATTTGGTGTAATTCCCCAGAGCTAAATCCGAAATGTACGTTTAGCTAGGTTTTCGAAAAGGTCAATTGACTAAAAATGTATTTAAAGTGTACAATGTATTGCATTAGCAGTGGTTAAAGTGAATTGGTCCAAAATGAAAGGTCAGTAATTTCACAAATAATTATGTGGATAGTATATAATAGTATCATATGTGATGACAAACCATGGAGGACATATATACATAGCACTTTATAAAATAAAATTTAAATAAATGTTGTACTAAACCATCTAATTCTTTACTAACATATTTTATTTTTCAAGAAATATTTGAACTTCCAAAATGTACATTTCTATTGTTTGGATCCAATTTTAAATACCGGTACGTAAGAAAACTGTGCCTTGTAGACCAATTCCCTTTAAACGAATAAGATATCATTTTATTTTCTTAATAACCAGGTTGATACAGTAAGAAAGAACATCACAGTTGAACACAAAGATCACACAAATAAAGGAGAACCTCCAAAAACGTTCTCATTTGATCAGGTATATGCCCCAGACAGTAAGCAGTTAGACTTGTATAATGAAACAGCTAGACCAATTGTGGATTTTGTGTTGGAGGGATATAATGGTATATATTTGTTCATTTGATTTTGAAAAAGATAATAATAAGATAATTATATTCAGCTTGTATTATTACATTTCTTTTAAAAGTTTTAGGAGGAAGAAGAAAAACATCACCAAATATTATATTTGATAATGATTTTGAGCAAAGCACCAACAACATTCAAATATTTTTCTGCAAATGCTGTGTGAAAATAATAACCTGACTATCAATACTATGTGCTTCATGGAAAATGTAATCAATCTTTTCTAAATATTTAAAAGAAAAGGTATAAAATGTTTGTGTTTAAAATATTTTACAGGAACAATATTTGCATACGGACAGACAGGGACTGGGAAAACATTCACTATGGAGGGTGTCAGAGCTGTACCTGAACTTAGAGGAGTCATACCTAACTCAGTTTGCTTACCACAATATCTTAAGTCATTATAATCAAAAGTATTTATCAGCAGGACGTGACACAGTTCTAGTATATCCTATTGCATCTACCTTAGTGTTAACTACGGTAAGAATTGCCAGATAATTGACCATCTATATCATTCAACCACTACCAGTGAAACTAAATTTTAATCACGAATGTGATCAAAATATGCATATGTCTTTAATATCATCGTGTAAATAATCAGTATTAGACTTAGATGGTAGAAACAGGTTAAAATACACTTGTGCGAGGTTAAATACGATCCGTTGTCGATTAAACCACACATTAATGATATCACAGAGTTATTATATTTAGATGGTAACCAGGTAAAATTGCAGATAAGATAGATGATAACCAGGTAAATTTACAGGTGAAATAGATGGTAATGACGTAAAATTACAGATAAGATAGATGGTAACCAGGTAAATTTACAGGTGATATAGATGGTAACCAGGTAAAATAACAGGTGAGATAGATGGTAATGAGGTAAAATTACAGATAAGATAGATGATAACCAGGTAAATTTACAGGTGAGATAGACGGTAACCAGGTAAAATTACAGATAAGATAGATGGTAACCAGGTAAGTTTACAGGTGAGATAGATGGTAACCAGGTAAAATAACAGGTGAGATAGATCGTAATGAGGTAAAAATACAGATAAGATAGATGGTAACCAGGTATATTTTCAGATTAGATGTAGGGTACAGTGGTGGATTAGTGGCTTAGGTGTCAGCCTCTTAATGTTAAAGCCTGGTCAATGCCATGTTTTCTTGTTAGAATTTAATACTGGTTAGTTCCAGAAAATGTCCTCAAAAGGTGTTGAGCATAATATGAAAGAACTAATTTTAGAACAAAGTTTAAGTGAGTATCTTTAAGTTAAAATAATAAATACAGTAAACATAAATTAAACAGTACACATCTTTATTTCTTATCCCACTTACAATGCTTATTGTATTAAATCAAAGAAAGTAGACCTTTTCTTATTTAATTCATGAATACCTTATATTTGAAATATGAAACGAAAAAGAAAGGCTTAAATATTATATACTTGCTATATATACATAAATTTTGATGAAGAGCTAATGAAAGTTTTGTATTTATGAGATTTGTTTTTATTGGTATCTACTAGAAAGTGATAAGATAAAATGTGTTTTGCAGGTTTTTGGTTCGAGTCTCGTACCTGGAGATTTACAATGAGGAAGTTAGAGATCTGCTTGGCAAGGACCAGCACCAAAGACTTGAGGTATTCATTAATCAACATGTTAGACTTCTTGGTTAACTGGGGCTACTTAAATAAGTAAAAAGAGAATTTTATAGCAAGATGCACTTAAGTCTTCTTTTGTAAAACTACAATGCCGAAAGCTTAGATTTTTGGCATGTAGCATTGGTAAATGGACCTGTACAAAAGATATACAAGTCATGCTCCTGGGGTAAAAAAATTGGCCCTGGCTATGGAGTATCTTAGTTTAGATAGATTTACTTAGTAAAACACAAGTACTTTTATTTTTAGAGCTTAGATATTTAGTGTGTAGCATTTTGTAGAGGACATCTAAAATTACGCAGATTGTGTAAAAAAAATCAAACCCAGTGTGACCTAATTAATGACTGCATTGAGCAATTATGACCTTTCCGGCCATGTATCTGAGGTGAGTGATGCAGGATTATCATGGCATCTTGTTGTTTTGTCATACTGAAATCTTTAAAACCTCCAGTGGACTCTTCCAAATTCAAGGCAAGGTTAATACATTACAGAAATTCATCAAGTAAAGGGTTAATTGTGTAATATTCAATCCCTTCAGGGATATTGTGCTCTTTGTATTTCAGGAGGTATATTACTGGAGAGCCGTGTTTCTACTTGAAAAGTTAGCAAATGTGTGAAATATTGCAATAAGGGCGTTCAGAGGTATTTTTTGAATACCATATTAAAAAGAAGACTTTTTGAGATGAAATGGTAAATTGGCAAAACCTCCTTTCATCCTATTGTTTCAGGCATGATTGGGCAATGTATTAAACAGCTATTTGTTGGGTGCCAGTAGTCTTGTCGAAAATTAGTTTCACTTTTCATTTGTTATTAATTGATGCCACTTTGTTGTGAGTAGTACGATTATTTATTTATATATATTGTAGGTCAAAGAACGGCCAGATATAGGTGTGTATGTCAAAGATTTGTCTGCCTTTGTTGTCAACAATGCTGATGATATGGATCGTATAATGACGCTGGGAAATAAAAACAGTAAGTTCCAAATATTTCGGAATTACTACATTATCATTATATATGTATATAGAAATTACCATGAATTCAGCTTTGAATTGTTCTATTTGATTATTCTCCCTTTACTTATGTTGTGAAGTCAAGATATAGATTTGCTCTTGTCTGTCAATGACACTGGCAATATGTAGACTGACAATACAGTGGAATGTAGGGTCATCCTTGTATTATGGACACATTTCTAGTGTCAAAATGTTGCTATGTAAATTGTTATACCTTTAATATATTAACTCATAAGATTTATTCTAACCCCACTTAAGTTATATACTGAACTCACCCAGATGTAGATTTCATTTGTCCATTGTTATTAGAACAGTCTTTAACATTAGGTATTTAAACAGCCAATAGTGTAGTGCTGGATATCAGATTTTACAAATATGCAGGCAGACTTGACTTTATACAGAGGGCAAGTGGTTATCTGAACTAGAATTCAAGTTACAGATTTGATAATGAAATTCAAGATACTTATGAGAGAGAAAATTTATATTAAAATGATTGCATATGTAAATAAACAGATTAAACAAGATTGTATATAGAGCTGTCTTTAATTCAGTCTAAAGCATGTCAGTCATTGGATGATATGTCGATATAGGATGGCTGCGATGATTTTAATCTTTATTTCACTTTCTTGATTTCAGGAAAATTCATGTGTTATGCATAATCTATTGTATACTGTTCAATAATACATTGTTGTTTTCTAATCATCTTTTGTCATCATTGCTATGAAATACATGTTCATGTATGTAAAGTGAAGACAAAAGCTTTCCATTAAGTAACAATGACATAGTTTTGAACATTTATTTTGGACAGGGCACTTGCTTCTATTTTACAGGTTATATTTTCGGTGATTTTTTCATCATTTATAGGCATTTTATTGATAAGTCAAAATATTGATTTTTTTTTTAAATATTGATAATAATCAATCGCTACAACATACCGGTATCCATGATAGCTCTTATTATAGATATTTTATTTGTGTATATTTTGCATAATGTAAGAAATCTGCATACATTTGATAATATTTAAAATATTAATATAACATAGCAATCATTCATTACTTTACCTTTAATAAATTGTGTGTAAAAATTAAGTTCTCAATATTTTTGAAATTAATGAAAGAATATTTTTGAAATTAATGAAAGAAGATAAACGCTTTTCTTTAATGAAGCAAAAGTCTATATAATGCAAAGTCTGAACTTTGACCTGTTAAACATTAAAGAAATGTAACATGAAATGTAAAATGTAAAAATTCTGTTAAAAACAGTATCTGTATTGAATGATATATATGATACGATAAATTAAGATTATAAAATGAATGATTTTCTATATATATCTAAATTTTAAGTTTGCAAATTGTGGTTTGAAATAACACATTCTTGTGGTTATGTAATAGCTGGACTGTTTCTAACACCACATGTTAATAGTCATTTACATGTATTAAATTTTTAATGTTTTTTCATGGTCTGATAAGTAAGCACTTCTTAATTAAATCCTCTTTACTACCTTTGTTTATGTATTTGAAAACGAAACCAATTGTTAAATTGACTTATATTTTCCATGTTTGATATTTGTTGCAAATATATATATATATATAAAAATATATTTTTTGCAGTTTAACATTGTATATGTATTCATTACAGGGGTAACTGGCGCCACAAATATGAACCTTCATAGCTCCAGATCTCATGCAATTTTCACTGTTACTATAGAATGCAGCGAGAAAGGTCCCGACGGCGAGCAGCATGTCCGAGTTGGGAAATTGCATTTAGTTGATTTAGCGGTATGTAGATATAACCATGGTGTATATTATTTTAAGGCTGTCTGTTCAACACCAGGATCACCCCACCCCTCCTATCCCTAACCCTCACATGATTCAACTGAGCAATGCATGATGGGATAGAATTGTTAATTATACTTTTATTGCAGTGAACGTCCAGTCTGTAGAAACTTGGGTTTTCTACAAAACCAATATACCAGCTGCATTGTTGATAACATGTGTATGAAATATATCTTAACAAAATGGTTGTAGGAATCTCTTTCGAAGGGCAGACGAATTCCTTTGAAAATACGAAAAAAGTTGCACTTTTGCAGTGCTTCGGAGAGTGGTTCAGCCATATGGGGTTTTTGTATGTATATTTCACTAGAATGCTGGACTATTTTAAGGGGTGACCGGGTCCACAAACATGAATCAGCACAGCTCAAGGTCACACGCTATCTATACATGTACAATAGAATGCTGTGAAAAAGGCATAGATGGTAAACAGCATTTGAAGGTTGGGAAGTTACATTTAGTGGATTTAGCAGTAAGTGAGATACAGTTGGCTCTGTTTGGTAAATAGATACCAGTTTGAAGTTGCTTTTTAAAAATAAAAAAAAGGTTTGTATGGAAAAATAAAAAAAGGCAGTGTGGTGTGGTAAGCTAATTGTTAAAACTGCAGCTAGTTTTTGAAAATTTCTTTATTTAATTTATGATTAATATTGTTCGTTTATATAGAATTTGAACTGCAATTTGTGGTCATTACAGTACTGTATAAATTCTGTTACTTGATTTGATTTGATTTTGTTGCCTTCTTTGTCACCATAATTTTTTGTGAATTGATAGATTGTAATAATTCCATACAGTACCCTGTACTTCTATAGGTGGCAAAGGTTTTTTAAGCCCAGAATAGAACACTTTAAGTGTTTAAAGTTTCATTTTACATACTTTGTACAAACTCATATTTTCAAAGGATTGTGCAGCCCTGAATAAAATATGTTTAACATTTAATATGAAAATTTGATACAAAAATAAAATCAACTTTTAATAAGGAAGTACAATACACCGCATGCATAGTTTTTATCAAAATGTAAAGCTGAGAATTTTTCCATACATTCTAAATAAACCTCAATAATTATTATAAAAATTAAATAAACTTTCACATTAATATTAATACATGTATTGTCAACATAACAAAATTGTTATTTTGAAATGTTTGAGAGAAAGTAATTAAACCAAGTTAGTTAATAAAATTGGAAATATAGAAAGATTGTTATTCAAATTTTTACTGTCATAACCTTAATGTCTCTATTATAAAAGGTTTCCAGTTAATTTTTCATGTAAATATTCATAGTAATAACAAATTGTTAAATTATTCTTACCCTGTGGAATATTTTTGAAATGGACTAATCCAACTTTGAATTTGAGAATGTCTATTAGTAGGTGAAATGATTTTATTTTTAAGATGAAACTTTACCTATCCATGTGTACTGTTAAAAAACACCTCATGTACAATTTCAAATGATCATTCAGAAGCCATGCATAACCCATTGGTGTTCATGTGTGTCATTGTGCATATGTAGGTTTTTCAGTGTGCTGGTAGTTGTATTGTGTGGCGTAGTATTTTACTCGGGGCTTGAATTTTCAGGGTTCAGAAAGGCAGGCGAAGACTGGGGCGACAGGACAGCGTTTAAAAGAAGCTACAAAGATTAACCTGTCTCTATCTACTCTGGGTAATGTGATCTCGGCTCTAGTGGATGGGAAGAGCAGTCATATACCGTACAGAAACTCTAAACTGACACGTCTGCTGCAAGATTCACTTGGCGGGAATTCTAAAACTGCTATGGTAACTATCTTTGTCAAAGAGTTTAAAGCAGGTGTCACTGTGGCGAATCAAAGTACTAAAATTTATGTCAATATTAGAGTTATTAAGAGGGTTTTATTTTATGCCACTTTTCTGAAATTTTAGCATTTGGCTAAATTAGAAAAAATAATTTTTGGTTGTTGTTTATTTGCATTTGGTAAGGTACATACATGAACTGTAGGGAAATCTTACATAAATGGATGTGAAACATTGCCCCAAAAATGCCAGTAGAGTACGGAAGGACATGATTGTGAATGAATATTTTACAGTACCGGTATTTAAGATTTTAAGTTACTTTTGAAGTTACGGAATCATTGCTAGTACACATAGATGTTTTTACATACCAATACACACCATCGTGACTTGACATTGTTTTGTATACAGACTAATTTCTCTCTATGGTGATTTTTTTCTTCTGAGAAGTACTTAATTTCATAGAATAATAAGAAAATTTGTTTTGTTTGTCCCTGAAATATTACCAAGGGGTATGCCTCACATTGAATTGAAATTCATGCTTATATTTGTGGGTAAATATGCTTTTGATAACTTTGAATTCATGGAGATATAATTAATATTTTCTTTTAACACAAATAAATATCTCTATAACTCACTATGATGATATTACAGATAGCAAACATCGGTCCAGCGGACTACAACTACGATGAGTCAATCAGTACATTACGTTATGCAAACAGAGCTAAAAATATCCAGAACAAAGCTAAGATTAATGAAGATCCTAAAGACGCTTTACTGAGACAGTTCCAGAAAGAGATAGAGGAACTCAGAAAACAGTTGGAAGAAGGTAAATACCATAATGTACTGCAAAATCATTATTATTTGTGATGCACTATTTATCGTGGTGAATTCACAAATTTAAGATCCAATGTTTGCTGTAAGTTATAATTGCATCACATTACTTTGCAAAAACAGACAATCCAAGAATTTTTAAACCCATGAAAATGCCCTTTTTGACAAAAAAAAACACAAAATTTCATGCCCAAGAAATTAAGTGAATTCACTGAAAATGTAAATAGAATAACATATTGATTTTTCATATTTGTCTTTTCTGAGTGACGGACAGTGAGGGGTCAGAATAACATATTGATTTTCATACTTGTATATTAGGAGTGGCGGACAGTAAGAGGTCAGAATAACATATTGATTTTCATATTTGTATATTAGGAGTGACAGACAGTGAGGGGTCAGAATAAGATATTGATTTTCATATTTGTATTTTAGGAGTGACGGACAGTAAGAGGTCAGGATAACATATTGATTTTCATATTTGTATATAAGAAGTGACGGACATTGAGGGGTCAGAATAACATATTGATTTTCATATTTGTGTTTTAGGAGTGAGGGACAGTGAGGGGTTAGAATAACATATTGATTGTCATATTTGTATTTTAGGAGTGACAGACAGTGAGGGGTCAGAATAACATATTGATTTTCATATTTGTATATTAGGAGTGACAGACAGTGAGGGGTCAGAATAACATATTGATTTTCATATTTGTATATTAGCAGTGACGGACAGTAAGAGGTCAGAATAACATATTGATTTTCATATTTGTATATTAGGAGAGGCGGACAGTGAGGGGTCAGAATAATATATTGATTTTCATATTTGTATTTTAGGAGTGACAGACAGTGAGGGGTCAGAATAACATATTGATTTTCATATTTGTATATTAGGAGTGACAGACAGTGAGGGGTCAGAATAAGATATTGATTTTCATATTTGTATTTTAGGAGTGACGGACAGTAAGAGGTCAGGATAACATATTGATTTTCATATTTGTATATTAGCAGTGACGGACAGTAAGAGGTCAGAATAACATTGATTTTCATATTTGTATATTAGGAGTGGCGGACAATGAGGGGTCAGAATAACATATTGATTTTCATATTTGTATTTTAGGAGTGACAGACAGTGAGGGGTCAGAATAACATATTGATTTTCATATTTGTATATTAGGAGTGACAGACAGTGAGGGGTCAGAATAACATATTGATTTTCATACTTGTATATTAGCAGTGACGGACAGTAAGAGGTCAGAATAACATATTGATTTTCATATTTGTATATTAGGAGTGGCGGACAATGAGGGGGCAGAATAACATATTGATTTTCATATTTGTATTTTAGGAGTGACAGACAGTGAGGGGTCAGAATAACATATTGATTTTCATATTTGTATTTTAGGAGTGACAGACAGTGAGGGGTCAGAGGAAGAGAGTGAGGAAGAATTTATAAATGAAGATGGTGTGAAGGTCAAAAGAAAAAAGAAGAAGACAAAGAAAGGTATTGTATTTATTTTTGTGAGAAATACAGATATTTTCATTGAGTAGGTAGTTGTATGACATAGCATTCATATATTGTTCACCAAATTTTTCCTATCTTAGGGTCATAGTATTAAATGACAGGTGGGGAGCGGGGTATAATAATAATATACATATATCATAATTGATATCAATTCTGATATAAGAAAATGCTACATTTATATTCATTAAATTTTTTTTGAAATGTGTTAAAAAAGCCATGTTGAGCACTTTTTGTATCTTTTAATACAAAATAGGAATATTTAGTACATAGTTATAATGAAAAGGTCAGTTTATTTGACTCAAAAAGAAGAAAAAAATTCTTATCAAATGAGTGCTTAGTTCTGATCACTTACACTTTCTTACACCAATGTAAAGTTATGCCTGCATTAGAGAGATATATATACATGTTATGATGTATTTGTACTGCTTTTTAGAAACTAGTAAGTCTTTATGTATCTTGTATTTAAGTACATATTTAGTGCAAAGTTTTAGCAATTTTTTTTTATATGAATAAATTTCAGTCTCCTTTGAAAAAAGGTTTTCTTTCACAAGATTAGCTGAAAAGTCGCTAGTAGAAAAATTATATCTTTTTTGTACATGTATATAAAACATATTTAATCAGAGTGAGCCAAACTTTGAAAAACTTCAAAATAAGACACAGTACTGCTAGGTCGTTTTCATTTATATTATCTAGGGTGGGTTTCTTTGTTTCTTATTCCTCACTCAACCGGAAGTTGTGATACTAACTTTAAAAAAAGTTAAAGTGACAAAGTCCTTATGAAGAAAAAAACTTAAAGTGACAAAGTCTTTATGAAGAAAAAGAAGTTAATATTCAATGAAAACATTATTTGTTTAATGACTGGAATCTAAGGCTTCGATAGTATACGGTATTCCTCCACAAATAATGCCTGAAATGATGTGTTGCCCTGAAACCCAAGCCATAAAGACAAAAAAGATTGGAAACTTCATGCATTATATTAATGATAAAACAAAATGTAATATTATCACATTTTTTTTTTCTTTACAAGTTTTTCAAAGTTTGGCAATGCCTTAGACAAAAGTCACACTGTATACGAGGGATGATCAAAAATTAACCGGACTTTGTAAATGATTCTTAACTTGTTAAATGAATTTACATAACAATACACGGAAAATAAATCGTAATCTATCCCCTAAATGATACAAAAAATACCAACAAGAAATATTAACAAAGAAAAAAGTTATGCTGTTATTGGCATGCACATGTAAAGCAATGCGGCGCACGGTATAACTTTAAAATTGACGTAAAGACGTCGCAAGCGTATTGTCCTTAACAGAGCAGATTTTTACCCATTCACGGAGTAGGCCAATATGTGGTACAGTCATGTTATTGATGCGGCGGATCCCCTGCCTATATATATTTCTGTTCAAGTGGGTATCATATTGTATTGTAATAGAATGAATGGTGATAAAGAGCTCCTGTAATGACGCAAACTTCCGTTATTTCCTTCTGTAACTTGATGTTGAAAAAATCGTCCATGAAATTTACTATATTATGTAATACAAATAATGTAAAATAATGAGCTGAATGATAATGTATCATTCATACGAAAAAATAACAGAATAATACAACTATGTATGATCAAAATTGTCATTATTTAAAAATAAATAAAACGCATAGCCAATTTGAACAGTGGCTGTTAAATTGTTGACACAATTTCTCCATAAAACTACTGCGTAAAATAAGAAAATAATTGATACAATTGTAAACTAAGAATACAATACATGTAATTAATGCATTAACTATTATCATTTTTAGATCCTCAGAGTTGACTGCACCGTTCCGTAGTTACTGTCGAACATCGTTGACAATGTCCGCGGTCAATCGACTGTCATTTTTCAACGTCTTGGCGATTGACGTCACCAACGTCCTTGAAAATGTCTTTTTTCTGTCTCCCCCTTTCTTGTTTCTATTTCTCTATTATCCTATCTTAATCTTTTAAGCTAATCAAAAAATATGCGGTGGCTTTCTGGAACTTTTCCCTTGATAGCCATAATCTTTTTCTACGTTTTAAACAGTTTCTCGTCTTACATTTGACAAATATTTCCTATTGATCGATTTTCGAGACATTCCAACGACATAGTTTTAACGCGAGTATTTCATTAACATGTGACGTTTGAATTGTGATTGTAAATATAAATATGGTTTAAATGAAGTCATTTTTACTGACAACGTCAAAGATATGGTACATTACGTTTTGGCGTATTTTGAAATCTAAATGTGCCATATTGTAAAATACACGCAGCATAAAGCGCCTCATGTAAAGGCGAATTTACGCACTGCGCCGGGTGTGCGTTACCATGGTTTTTTAATTCGCTGTTACGGACAAGCTATTTGCGTTATCAGATTAGATATAGTATCAGTTTACAGGTATTGTTTTCCGATTAAGTTTGATATATAACAATAAGTGATAGGATGAAAATTCTTCAATTGCCAGTCACAGTCCGGTTTATTTTTGATCATCCCTCGTACTTATAATATATGTAACATATGTATATAACCATTTTGTTATTGAACATTGTATAATGATAACAGGAGATCAGTCAGGTAGGATTATATTTTGTTTATCCCCCTGTGCACCTTTGCTTGATACCTATATATATAGCACAACTAGCTAGTTATATTTACTAGAGAGTGGACGCAGTTGACGCAGAGTTCTGGTGGAAACACAATCTGAGCGTAACAATTCTGAAATTGCTCGTCTGATCTCCCGCAACTACAATTAAGATTACTAACAGTCTTTCGGATTAAACTGTAAAAGTAGATTTCCGGTGTTAAGTGCTTTTCACATAGCACCGTAAAGAATCAGTTGTCTGGTTGTGAACGGGAAAATATTTTGAATGCGATGCATTTGTACAAAAAAAAAAAATGAAATTATTAGCAATTTCAAAAAAAAAATTACTAACAATCCTATGAATTGAGTCACTGTATGGTTTCTGGTTGTCACTTTATACTTGTAAACACTTTTCATGTTCAGTACTTATCAATTAAATGTTGAATAAACTCATTGAACGTTAGCTGCTAGAAAATGATGTCATTGTTATTTTGTTTAAGTACGTTATGTGGACTTATTGATTTGCATGCGACCGATCAGGTTGTTACTGCAGCAAACTATTCTTATAAAGATGTTGAGGGGACTGCCAAATTTTCATCATTTTATCCTAATATCATTATATTCTAGGGGCAATCAATTAGAAAACAAGATTCTGGACTGCAGCAACAGCAGCGTTATAAACAGTATATCATTATAAACGATATCTTTATAAGTGGAGTTAACTGTATATAGATTAGTATGTTAAGTTTTAAATATGAAATATATAAATACCTTGATAAACATTTTTTTTTTACTTGAAATAAGGGTGTAACGATACAATTAATTTGTGATACTGTATGTACAGCATTACTGGGCTCAATAAACAATATGTGTCACAGTATATATCTGCATAAATTAAGATGGGCCTATCAGTGGAAAAAGCAACTTTTATACTTAGTTGCATGCTTAGTACTTAGTTTCCATATTTTTAAAACTGTAATAGTGCTTTTGCCCTTAGCCTGATAATGGCAACTGAATCGGTTCTACCTAGGCAATCAGTGCGGACCAAGATCAGGCCGCACATTTGTGCTGTTTGATTATGGTCTGCACTGTTTAGTTTTCAGTCAGTACATAATTTACTCTGCTTTTGAAAGATGAACAAGTCCATTTAAGATATCTAGCGTGGTTATGGTTTTTTATACGCCCGTTTGAAAAACGGGACGTATTATGGGAACGCCCCGGGCGGGCGGGCGGCGTCCAATTTTGTCCGGAGCATATCTCCTACATGTATGGAGAGATTTTAATGAAACTTCATAGAAATGTTCACCACTATGAGGAGCAGTGTCGCGCACATGAACCAGGTCTCTAGGTCAAAGGTCAAGGTCACACTTAGAGCTCATTGAAAAATGCTTGTCCGGAGCAAAACTTCCACATGTATAGAGGGATTTCAATATTACTTGGCACATATGTTCACCATTGTGAGGCGGAGTGTCGCGTGCAAGATTCAGGTCCTTGCGACCAAGGTCAAGGTCACACATAGAGGTCAAAGTTCAGATAAAAATATGAAGATGTGTATATGGACCATTTAGTCATCATTTATTGAGGGATTGTAACACAAATGGTCATTATCAAGACTATGGCTGTGATACATATAATTTAGGTCAATATATACAAGGTCAAGGTCACTAAAGATGATGAAATATCCAAATTTGTAAATAGAATTTAATCAAAGGGAGACAACAAAGTTATTACTTTGTTCATAAATGATTTACACAATTACTCCCCTTGATCTATTTTCATTTTCAATTCTAAAAATAGAATTTAATCAAAGGGCATGAAATAATCCTCTTTCTTGGACTTGAGTATGTTCTAAAGAATGTAACATTTATTTACACATGTTTCATTCATTGGTCAAGATTCTTAACTGTGATAACTATGGTGTTCTGTAGACTTGGTATTTGTTCATAAAGATCATACAGTAATTACCTTATCAAATGTAAATACTTTCTCATAGAAATTTAATTATATTTTAATTTTCAAGTAAATATCAGTTCAGCTCATTCAAAGATTAAGAATTGTAATGAAATGTATTTCCCTAGAATAAAATCTTAAATCAGAATTTTTTAGTTATTAAATTACATGTACTTTTTATACGCCCGTTTAAAAAAAGATAAAAATATGAAGATGTGCATAGGGACGATTTAATAATCATTTATTGAGGGATTGTAACACAAATGGTCATTATAATGACTACGGCTGTGACACATGTACTTTAGGTCAATATATGCAAGGTCAAGGTCACTAAAGATGGTGAAATATCCAGATTTTGTCTGTAGCATATCTCCTACATGTATGGAAGAATTTTTATAATACTTTATGGAAATGTTCACCACCATGATATGTATTGCTCCATGCATGATCCAGGTCTCCAGGTCAAAGGTCAAGGTCACACTTAGAGCTCATTGAAAAACGCTTGTCCGGAGCAAAACTTCTACATTCATAGGGGGTTTTCAATATAACTTGGCACAAATGTTCACCATTGTGAGGCTGAGTGTCGCATGCAAAATTCAGATCCCTGCGACCAAAGTCAAGGTTACAAATAGAGGTCAAAGTTCAGATAAAAATTTGAAGATGGTTATAGGGACCATTTAGTCATCATTTATTGATGGATTGTAGCACAAATGGTAACTATCATGACTACAGGTGTTACACATTTAATTTAGGTTAATATTTGCAAGGTCAAGGTCACTGGAGATGATTAAATATCCAGATGTTGTCCGGAGCATATTTTCTACATGCATGGAGGAATTTTAATGTTACTTTTATAGAATTGTTCACCACCATGAGACGTAGTGCCCTGCACATAAACCAAGTCTCTAGGTCAAAGGTGAAGGTCACAGTTAGAGCTCATAGAAAAACACTTGTCTGGAGCAAAACTTCTACATGCATAGAGGGATTTCAATATAATTTGGCACAAATGTTCATCATTGTGAGGCTGAGTGCCGTGCATAAAATTCAGGTCCCTGCGACCAAGGTCAAGGTCACACATTCTGTGCATATCTTCCCTATTGATTTGTTTTAAGGTTCATTTAACAACACAGTGCCAAGAATAAAAACTTGCTTGCTAGATAACACTTATCCATAATGCCCCCATCTCCATCTAAAGCTTTTTCGTAAACGGGCGTATTTTGTGACTATGGCACCCTTGTTAACCAAGACAATCACCTTTCAAATGGATTCTTTCATGTGATGAAGCTATCCAACTAGATTACAGAGCGTTGGTGGTTCTACTCAGATGCTCATTAGTGTATGAATAATGCATGTTGTGGCACCACAGGTCTTCCTCCATGGTAAAGCTGGAAAGTCACCATATAACCTCTACTGTGTTATTGAGACGTAAACCCCAACAAAAAAGTCCCTCTTCAAAGTATTTGACAGAAAGATTTCCATGTTTTATACCCGGTTTATACCACCAGTGGCAGCTTAAGATTTCTTGAAAACTCATCCATGTCCAGTGATTAAATACCTCCTTGGATTCATGATAAGGAAAATACATTACTGTATGCTGTACTGTATTGTTAGATAAGGGTCACTTGTTATACCATGAACTGAATTGTGGCTTTAAAATTGAGGTAAACCATACATGATGAATATATAGTGTGTTACACCTTTATATAAAATTAGTGTATAATTTATTGAAAATCATAAGACGGTTCTTTTTGTTTTATTCCTTCAACTTTGGACATATAGTAGATGGTAGATATAATATTTGTTGTTGTTTTATTGTTGTGTTTTTTTTCTGTCTATTATCACACTTTCCTGTTTATTTCTGCGATGCCTGAGGTGAAAAAGGTGACAGTTGGATGTACAACATAGTTTTTACTTTTTCTTACATATATATTTTTTGTAAACTGTATAGCATACTTATTTTGATCTTTAGCCAGCTCAAAAATTGTATAAAAACCTGTAGAGATTTGTTATGTGTTTAAAGAAGAGATACGTTCATCTGTTTGACTTCAAACCACTTGCCCCTCACTGCTGTGGGTTGGAATCTAGCCAGGGACTTTGGAATGTCAATTGTTCTACTTGGGTGCCTGAAATAATGTACAGAGTGGCACCTGAGATAAACCTTCACCAGTACAGCTTGAAAGTCGCCTTATGACCTTTACATTCTTGGTGAATTGTTAAAACCAGCCAAAAAAAAAAAAAGAAAAAAAAAAAGAAAAAATAACCATGTATGATTAGAAACAATACTTTGATGCTCACTTTAAAGCAGCACACCTCCACATTCATGCTAATTATCATGAAAATTTAAAAATGTGTTTAAAAGTATAATAATGTAAAGTTACTAAAAGAATGCAATTGCCAAAAACAGGTCAAAAATGCAAAATAGCCCTTACTGCATTAGTAAAGCAGTAGAAATATAGTTATAAATACTGAAAAGTTGGTCATTAATCGCACATAACATGTAAATATTAATAGAAATAAGAATCTTTTTACTTTTCTTACAATCTTAGTGCATTTCTCTTAGGTTTGATTGTATTGAAAATAGTTTTGCTCTTCTGGAGGCGTGAATCTTTAAGCTGTAATATTCATGTACACCCAACTATCACCTTTATATTTGATGCTTCACATTTGTAGAGAGTGAATATTCTTTTCACCATGCATGGAGATTGAACAACTTTGAAATATTTTTGCCTTATGCCTTCACTTTTTCAGGGTATAGGTGGGGGGGGGGGCAAAATATTTGCCTGTCTGTCACTCTTTTTGTTGAATGTAGGAGCAGTTGTAAAACATCTATTTTTTTTACCTCTGTTTTGCTTAGTTATTTGCTTTGAAGCTTATGTTTTCTTATGTTTTTCTTTTATTATCTGTATTTCTTATAGTCATTTTAACATTATGTTTGTACTAAGATTTCTTTTTCATCTTGCTAATTACTGGTAAGGAAAATAACCATTGTAATTTTAATTAAAGAAGAAAAAAACGGTCTTGCTGAGGCAACAAAATGTGTATATTCCCTTTTCTGTTCTATATATTTCACTCCAAAAATGTCATTTCATTGTGTACAGTCCTTTTTTTCTGTTCTGTATATTTCACTTCAAATTTTATATCTTTTTCCAATGGTCATAATGACTGGGGCCTCTAATGCATTAAAAACATAGATGTTAAACTATAAGACATTGTTTAATAAGATGTTATCATGAATCAAGGCATTTCCAACACATTATTTTACTATATTCCACATTAAATAGCTTAATAAATAAATGTCTGATACTAACTAGAAAAGCAAAATTGAAGCAAAAAGCTAATTTCTATTGGTGCCCATTACAGTCTGTGTGAAAGTCAATTTTTTTTCAGGCCACAAGAACCAGACCTTAGGTTTATTTCTGGCCTGGATGATTTTTTTTCAGCCCAGACATTTCAGGCATTAAATTATAACAACTCAATCGAATGTTAAAATGATCGTCTTTTATAGTGTGACTTTAATTCTGTGATGTTTTCAGGAAAACATATCTCAAAGGAAAAGATGGCAGAAATTCAGGCCAAAATTGCAGCAGACCGTCGGAAATTAGAAGAACAAAAAGATATGGCAGAGGAGGAAAAGAACAAAGTAAAAGATGATCTCCTAGAAAAAGAAACTGAACTGAAAAAATACCAGTATGTCAGTGTTTTGAGAATTACTTAGCAATAGAGGTTTAATGCACCTTTTTTTCATGCATTAACATCTGCAGAAGCTCGAGGGTGAGGGGTTTTAAATAAATATTAGGACTTTTGCAGATGTAAATGCATGAAAGTTAGGTGTATTAGTGCTACTATTGCATAAAAGTATATGTCTAAACTGGCAATTCTGTTTGTATGTTATCTGTATTATATTTATATGCCAGGCTACAAGCATTTCAGTACTGTCTGACCAGGCTGCATGATTTGGGAAGCTCAATTTTTATATTTTGATAATGAAATCCATTAAATTTTGAATGGACTGTACCAAAATTCAAATCTGGGCAAAAGACCGTTGCATAAAAGTTAGCTGATTTAGGGTAAAGAATATTATATGACAAATACGACAAAACCAACATAGTGCTTTTGCGACCAGCATGGATCCAGACCAGCCTGCGCACCCGCGCAGTCTGATCAGGATCCATGCTGTTCGCTTACCAACCCTATTAAAATTAGAGAAACTGATAGCGAACAGCAATGGATCCTGATCAGACTGCGCGGATGCGCAGGCTGGTCTGGATCCATACTGGTCGCAAAAGCACAATGTTGGTTTTGTCGTGACACGGCTCATATATTTTATAGGGAGGAGCAAGAATGCTCTGGCACAGAAGTTGGCAGCCATTGAGAAGAAGATTATAGTGGGTGGGGAAAATTTGTTGGAGAAAGCGGAGGAACAAGAAAGATTGCTGGAGGAAAGTGCCCTCGAATTACAGGAGAGAAAAGTTGTAGAGGAAAAGTTACGCAACAAGCTACAGGAAAAAGAGGTAAGAAAAAAAAGACAATCGGGTGATGTAAGACTAGGATGTTGAATGATTTCACACATGATGCCACAGCTAATCCGAAACTTAAGAATAATGAAAACTCTGTAATCTGTTTAGGTTGATTTGAATAAAAAATATTTTTATAATATATGGGTCATGATTATAGGATTATGTCACTGATAACATAGAGGTATGTTTAACATTGTAGCAAAGAACGTTTGGACATTGAGGAGAAATATTCAAGTCTGCAGGAAGAAATAACGGGAAAAACGAAGAAACTGAAAAAAGTTTGGACAATGCTTATGCAGGCCAAATCTGAGGTTAGTATGCAACAGGACCTGCTATGTTTAGCGTACATGTATATTCTTGAAGTTAGTAGAACTATCTTCAAAAAGGCATTCTCTGCTTAAATGAACATTCCAGATTATTTATTGGATACAATTTAAGAATAAGGCCTAAAGCAATTTAACATTGTATTATTTTTCAAATTCATTTTCAAATTATATTTTTACATATTCTAATGTGTTTGCTTTTTGTGATAGTGATGACAATAATATGATAATTTTAATGAATTTGTTATCTTTGACAAACAATATACTTCAGATCTGTTACATCTTTAAATTGGGAACATGTCCTATGTTCCATTTTAATTTATGAAGAAACAAGATTGTATAAGTAGTTTTTCTTCTCCGAATCGTTGCAAAGCATATTTATGAGGTTAATGCAAATGTGCCACATCTTGCATTTCATGGTCAAACTGTATAAAAAAGTCAACATTTTCCATTTCTTCAGACAAAACACTTGAAAAATTAAAGATAAGACAAAGTGAATGTTTGTTATTTCAGATAGCAGATTTACAACAAGAACATCAACGTGAGATGGAAGGTTTGTTAGAGAATGTACGTCAGTTGTCACGAGAATTAAAGTTACAGATGACCATCATAGACAACTTTATACCTCCAGAATATCAGGTAAATGTTATTTATTATGTCATTTGTAAATCACCAGAATATCAGGTAAATGTTATTTATTATGTCATTTGTAAATCACCAGAATATCAGGTAAATGTTATTTATTATGTCATTTGTAAATCACCAGAATATCAGGTAAATGTTATTTATTATGTCAGGTGTAATTCACCAGAATATCAGGCAAATGTTATTTATTATGTCAGGTGTAAATCACCAGGATATCAGGTAAATTTTATTTATTATGTCAGTGTAAATCATGAGAATATCAGGTAAATGTTATTTATTATGTCAGGTGTATATCACCAGAATATCAGGTAAATGTTATGTATTATGTCAGGTGTAAATCACCAGAATATCAGGTAAATTTTATTTATTATGTCAGTGTAAATCACCAGGATATCAGGTAAATGTTATTTATTATGTCAGGTGTAAATCACCAGGATATCAGGTAAATTTTATTTATTATGTCAGTGTAAATCACCAGAATATCAGGTAAATTTTATTTATTATGTCAGGTGTATATCACCAGGATATCAGGTAAATGTTATTTATTATGTCAGGGGTAAATCACCAGAATATCAGGTAAATTTTATTTATTATGTCAGTGTAAATCACCAGGATATCGGGTAAATGTTATTTATTATGTCAGGTGTAAATCACCAGGATATCAGGTAAATTTTATTTATTATGTCAGTGTAAATCATGAGAATATCAGGTAAATGTTATTTATTATGTCAGGTGTATATCACCAGGATATCAGGTAAATTTTATTTATTATGTCAGTGTAAATCATGAGAATATCAGGTAAGTGTTATTTATTATGTCAGGTGTAAATCACCAGGATATCAGGTAAATTTTAATTATTATGTCAGTGTAAATCATGAGAATATCAGGTAAATGTTATTTATTTTGTCAGGTGTATATCACCAAAATATCAGGTAAATGTTATTTATTATGTCAGTGCAAATCACCAGAATATCAGGTAAATTTTATTTATTATGTCAGTGTAAATCACCAGGATATAAAGTAAATGTCATTTATTATGTAAGTGTAAATCACCAGAATACCAGGCAAATGTTTTTAATTATTATGTCAACGTAAATTACCAGAATATCAGGCAAATGTTATTAAGTCAGTGAAAATCACCAAAATATCAGGTAAATGTTGTGATATCAGTGTAAATCACCAAAATATCGGGTAAATGTTATTTTGTTAGTTGTAAATACTTGAATTAGGTAAATGTATAATTTATGTAAGGGTAATAATTATTGTGGAACTATCCAGAAGATAAAAATAAAAAATTAAGTTCTATGATTATAGGAAAATAGAAAGAAGTGATGGATGATGAATAGGAAATGCAGTTCGATGTGTGCATACACCGTAATAATTGAGAAACAAGACACCACAGACCAGATAAAGATAGGGAAGTAAAAAGTAGACCAGATAATATATATTGTTTAACATTTTTAAACCTGTATTGATCAAAAAGATCATTATCTTAGCTATAAGAATATTGGGATAATAGGATCCTGAGTTTGAGAGCTACTGGGGTCAAGACTAGGTTTTGTCATTTGACACTAGTAGTAGTTAGTTTCAGGAAAGGGGACTATAGGGTGGTTCAGATAATCTCCAAGCTTACTTCATTGTTAAGCTTGGCCCTTACTACTCTTAATATATTATATGGACTCTTCCATTATTTCAGTCTTGGCAAAACCAATCACAACTTTTATGGAATAGGGAAAAAAAATTTTTTAGGGAAAAATTACCCATGTTATTGCTAAACAATGTTAATAAATCATTTTTGTTCACATAGGGCCAGGAGCCAGACCTGTCGAACATCTACCTCGCCTATACAGCAGAGGGGGCACAACAGGCTATGAAGCAGAAGTCATCCAAATCATCCCGACCAAAATCAGGCCGCCCCAAATCTTCGAGACCAAAATCATCAAAAAAGTTAGTCTTTTAGAAGATACAGTTTTGTAATTTTGTTTTATATTTTTGTTTTAATTTTGTTTAAATTTTAATGAAGTAGTACATAAACCAGCAAGCCCACCAGATTGTTTCCATGAGCAAAAAAACTTAACATTCATTGCTTTGTACTGGTTGATTGCAGAAACATATTCCATAGTGTGTCTATATTTAGAGCTATAGTGATATAGCTTCGTGCACAATCAAGATGAAATAAACTCTGTAAAAACTATAATATACAGAAATTTCACTTAATTCTTTCATAACAGGGATGAAAAGGAACAAATCAGTGTTATTTTTATGATACATTGGGACTAGGAATTATACCTGATAGTAAAAATCTTACGACTCTTGAACTATAAATATATTTTTCCAAAGTTTTAGGTTATGAAGATTATTTTATAGCTCGATTATTCAAGGAATAGGTAGAGCTATTGCTCTCACCCAGGCATCAGCATCACACCTTGAATAAGTTTTTGCATGCAGATTGGTATATCTAAAACAACTGAGGAAAATCTGTGGAAACTTAACACACTTGATTGAGAGTATAATAGGTCACTAAAGATGCACTTTCCAAGGTTCACAACTCTAACTTAGATTTTGACAGAATTATGACCCTTTTTGAACTTTGAAAATTCTACATTATTCAGGTTTTTGTTTAATTGTCCTATAGACAGCTGAGCTCTTATTATTTGTTTTTTTCTCCTTAATTGGAGGTGTGTCCCTTTAAAGGTTGGGAGTTATTTTCACTGTTCTAAGTAGGCAGTGTTGTTGCAACAAAATAGTTTACAACAATATTTAAAGGCGACTGTCCAGTACACTGAATCCTGAAAAAAAAAAATGTCATGAAATAAAGCAAAAATCCCTGTATCACTGATATTAATTCAATTTACTGTTGTTGTTTTTGGGGGTTTTTTTTCAGAGATCTTTTAGTATAATATTGAATTATTATTGTTGTTGTTTTCAGAAAGCGTAACAAGGACGCAGAGATAGACTCTGTACTGCAGTGACTTTATCACGCAGCATTTGCTTTACTCCTTCTAGACATGTACCTGTATTGGAGCTGCGTTTATCTGACCTGGTTGATCGAAGGCGATGTTGCAGAAATATCATCGTATATAAATATACAAGGCACCCCCGTTTATCCTTGGCTGAATTCAAGAACTTTATCTGCCCTTATTATGTTTCTGGCAGTCATAGTCACATGGGTTATGTCATTTTCATTCTTAAGACATACTACCTAAACAATTTTTCTCTTTTAATAATCTTTTGTAATATTTAACATTTTTTTGTGTCTATTTTTAAAAAAAATCCAGACCAATATTTTACAATCAAAACAATTTTGGAATACTCTCGCGAGTGGAATAACTCGTGTATAATTTAACATAAATTTTTATCTTACATAATATTTACTTGTGTTTGGACCAAGACAAAAAGTTAAAGCTGACCAAATGTTCCCTGTTCAGACAGTATCATTTTATGACCCGGTCAAAAACATAAACGTGCTACCATGATATTGATATTTATAAGTATGTACACATTTATATTTTAATTGTCACTTAATGAGTGACTGCTGTTATTACGTATAGAAGTTGCATGATGATAAAAAAGGTTGTGTTTGTTGCTAGACTTAGTAAATGGCAGTTGTTTATATTGAATAATTTTTTTAATTTTTTAATACCTTTGAATTGAGTCTCTCATCAGGTTCATTGTTATTTACATGTGCAAAAACTTGAAACTTAGATAATAAAAACTTACCTGCAGTAATGCAATTTATTTGTGCTTATACTACAACAACATTTTTGCAACATTAATCTTATTTGTTTGATTTCAGTTGTCCGAACTTGTTTAAGGGAGATTTTACCTTCACCCTTGTAATGGGATAGCCCTGCTATGAATTTGGATCTGTTAATTTTAAGTTAAAGGGGTTCTGCAGTATTATTATGGTAAAATTGAGTATTTGGTCTGATCAGACTGTAATAAAACCACCATCTAGACTGGTTCTTTTTTGGTGGCAGGGGTCAATCAATTATGACTAAAAACACCCAAGTTGGTCAGAGTATTTTTTAGTTTTTGTACTTTGGGTTTAAATATGTTCAGGGGTTAATTAATTCAGAAATCTCAGCAGGTCCTTAAGTCTATATTATGGACTGTCCTGTAAATCCATATTATACTGTTGTTACATGTCATTAACTTTTTTTAAGTTGTGCTGATGATTTTTTTAGCAGTTTACCGTATTAAGTTAGTGCATAATTTAGACTCATACATTTTGTTGCGTTTTTTGTCATTATGGACCTCTCAGAGCGATTATGATTATTTTTGCGATTCCCTCCATGATTTATTTATTTTTATTTTATTTTTCCATAGAATAATGCTGTGATAATTTCAAATTTATTGTACATTTCTCTTTGTGCTTTGTATCAAACTGATTTATATTGTAAATATGCATGATTAAAATATTGATCATTGAAAATTAAAATATAACTTTTTACATTCAAAGTATGTCTTGTTCTTCATATATTTGTAATTGTGAGCAATGAATATTTATTTATTCAAACTAAAATCAAATTGTGGACAATTATATATGTTGCAACATCGATTATCAATTTAGGAGAATTATACTGTTGTCAAGACCCTTTGACATGATATAAACTTGAATCTAGTTACCTCCCTTGATATCATATAAATGTGAATCTAGTTACCTTCCTTTACATGATATAAACATTAATTTAGTTACCTCCCTTGACATGATATAAACCAAACTCCTCACAGTGATTACCTCTCTTGGCAGAATTGTAATCTACGCCGAAGAATTAAGGGGAGATCACTGTGTGGAGATTGGATATAAACATGAATCTAGTTACCTCCCTTGACATGATATAAATGTGAATCTAGTTATGTCCCTGGACATGATATGTGAATCTAGTTATGTCCCTGGACATGATTGTGATAATTCAGAAGCCATGGTTGTTTTTAGTTTTCGAATTTTACATTTATTATGCAGAAAAATTTATTATTTGTTTTTCTTTTCATTTTGTTTGACATAGTTTTTCATCATTCTATGTGTTGTAGAACATTTCATTGAATCTTCCTGGGCTCTTTTCAAATCTATTTGAAAGACTCTGTGTCCTGCTGGAACATGTTTAAACCCTTGATGATTTGAGGGATGCTGTTTGGTTCTTGATTTTAAAACCCTTGATCTCTAGTCTTTGATCATATTTCAAAATGTTACCCCCTGTAAAGCTGAATACAGTAAGAAGGAACTAGTTCTATTGATATGTAAAACCATGCTGTGTCATTTAAAAGCAGGTTTTTAAAAAGAAACTTGTTATTTTGAATTTTAAGCTATTTAAGCGGTAGTGGTTTTTTAGAATTAATGCTTTAATCCTTATCTTGTAAAAATGCATAATAAAGCCATCTCGGAGCAATAAGCATTAGTATTTAGTATGGAAATTAAAATACTACTTTGTTTACATTTTGCCACTTTTATAATTGATTGTGATTAGCATCCAATATGTTTTGAATGGATTATACACAGTCTTATGTCTAAATAAGGATGCCCTGTTGTGCCATTTTACTTTGAAGTTTGAATTATATTTGTTGGACAAGGCATATGTCTAAATAAAAAAATGTATATGACCCTTAAAAGAGATCATAGGTCTGAGATTAAAGGTTTTAAAAAATATAGTTATAATTGTTGTAATGTTCTTTTATTAATGAACAACAATTAATAGAGTAATACTGAAAATGCGGATTGTTACGTCACAATTATGACAAAGGTCACCTAATTCTCAAACAGGTGATGTTTTGTTCATATTTAAAAGAAAAAAATGTTTGTTCATATTTATTTAAAAGGAAAATAAATAAACTGTATCAGGCCCAATTAAATACCACAATCGCGGAATATGCACAACGTTTAATTTTGCTTGAATTGACGTTCTTAAATCGGCCTTCAGCTTTTCTAAAGGTTAAATATATTATCTTAAGACAACTCGTTTCATATAATTGTCAAATCAAAGGAATTAAGGCATAGAATGAAATTTGTTGTTGATGAAATACATAAACAATAAAGAAAAATCCTCTTCCCGCCCACTGTCTATATGTAAAGCGGACGATTCGTTTCCCAATCTTTTTTTTTTGTAGACACGAATGTCACTGCGCACTATATAAGTAACTCGCGGGCGCTGTTTTGAAGAAGGTTTAAAAGTGAAATGATGCATTTTTCATTGGTAACATTACTGTAATACTTAGTTTGAATCAGCACAGAATTGTTTCATTCCAACAAAAACATAAAAAGCTGAAGGCGGCTTTAACTTGAATTATTACGTCAAAATAATGACATCGGCAGTAGCACGCGTAATAACGAAGCATAAAATCAAGTTACATTCCGTTCCTAATTTCCCTATTCATAATCAATATATTATAGATGTTCGGATGAAAGGGCATTGTAATCGATAATGGAGTAAAGGTTCGGACTTGTGCGGCGAGATTTTAAATGGTGTTAACAACACTATTGTTGTCTTATCAGTGTTATAGATTGCTACATTAATACATATAATAAACGTATCGAGTAAAACTAATGAAACTTGCTGAATGTTAAATAAGTATAATCAATTAGAGTTTCGTTTAAGAAAAAAAACAAGATGGCGAATGATGCAATGTTTTATAGAAAAAGAAAAATACATGTATAAAACCGCAAAGATGAATTATATAAATGTCTTTCAAAATATTTTACATTTTTTTAGTACATGTATACACATCGTGGTTATTACGTACATGCATTCAACAAACATTTTTTATCTATACGGGAAAAGAATAAAAGACGTACGAGTCTTCTAGAATTTTACTCCTTTTGGCAACTTTATGTTTTGTCTGAAATAAATAGTAGTAGAGAGTCTGTCTTAGAGACATTAAAACATGCATGTTATGATCTATCTGAGCAGAGACATAGATGACAGAGATAGACAACTTTCTAGCCAGTTAAAAGTTAAGATATCACGCGTGCTTGCTAATTTATAACTTGTAGCAAGTAAAACTTATTAACCTATTAACCAGATATACGTAAAAATCAGTAAAATAATACATTTTCTGAAAGCCTATGCATTTGTCTATGACTGCAGGTAAAAAAAAACACAGTTCCCATTTAAATAAACGATACATCAATTTTAAAAGAGAACTACTTATTAATTTTTGTTACAAAACTATCTATATATCGAAATAAACTGGATCAGTGGGTATGTTTTTCTAAGTGAAAGGCATGGAAAGTTACCGATATTTTAACATGCAGCAATAGATAAAAGATTTAACTTTCAAATGGTGTATCATATAAATGGACCAAATGTACACCCATTACGTTTTAGTTGCTACAAAATGCCTAATTTTGTTATCTACATCTCTGATATTCTGAATAAATTTAACCTAACCGGGATTTTTGAAAGTACGTATTGATTTTTAACGCCGTGAGTTCGATTCCCGCCAGGGACATTAGATTCTTTCATATCTGGCCAGCTTCCCCTTTCACCAGCAAAGCTAGATATTACCTTTAAATACTGCGAAACAAAAAAAAATACTGATTTATCAACAATTTACGTGTTAGTCCGAAATAATTTTTAAAAAAGAATATGCAAGGTGTTTGTTTCATCAAAATGAACGGAGTTAACTACATTTGCCGAATGCACATGTCTAGCAAAAATAACAGCAAAATTGACTTGTTTTACAGGGAGATTCTGTGTTGGTGAAAAGGGCGCAGATATTTAATAATGCAACTTTGGCAATAGGGAAGTAAAATATAAGATTATTATCAGCCTAAATGTATAGACTATGAGATAAAGTTATTTAAGAAAAAAAGGAAGTTTGAAAAGCATTTGTTTGTTCATATTTAACTTTAGATTGGATCGCTCAAAAGGTTCTTAACTTAACAACTCGTATTTTCGGTTTATTCAAAATGCACGTAGTTTTTAAATATTTATGCACTGAAGAAGCCATATATACGTATTAAATAATTATTATTTTGGATAAATTTGAATCATTTTCCAACGCGTTCAGGGTGTGGTGATAATTTAGGCCTGACAAACGCTTGATAATTTATTAGACATAAAAATAGCACGCGTAACTTGCTATGGATAAGCACACGTGTATCCCGTGCGCCAGAGAAGGCACGAAAATTTCGGCAGTTAAGTACTGTATTGACTGTGACAGTCCGTTGTGTACCGAGTGCCTCAAACAGCATAACCGGTTCGATGCCATGAGATGTCATCAGATTGTTGAAACAGGTTCCGGGCCCGACACTTCTAAAGAGAGATTTGAACTTCCAACCCAGAGATGCGCCACACATCATGGTAAACTTATAGACATGTACTGCGGGGACCATGACGAGGTCTGCTGCGTGGCTTGTGTTGCGGTTATCCATAGGTATGTAACTACTGTACATATGAGCCGCGTCACGACAAAACCAGCATAGTGCGTTTGCGACCAACTCAATTACAAGTAGAGAAACTGATAGCGAACAGCATGGCTCCTGATCAGACTGCGCGGATGCGCAGGCTGGTCTGGATCCATGCTGGTCTCAAACCCATTATGTTGGTTATGTAATGGCGCGGCTCATATTATGTCTGTTATTACTCTGATGTGTATTTTTTTTATTCTTTAACAGATAAAAAAATTTAAAAAAAAAACTACATCCCGAATACACATGTAGAAAAAAACTTCACACTGTGTATTTTCACAGTATATTTATTCTTATGGGTAAAATCCCTAGTTTTAAGGTCAATAGTATTTCCAAAGGGAAAAAAAGGGAATTTTCCGGGCAAAGATCGATCAGGCGTTTAGTCAATTTTGTAATGCAATTTCTGTCATACAAATATGGCTGAATCCGAGAACCACCACTTCTCTAAGAAATATCCTTGTGCTTCTTTTACAGCCACTGTAAGGGTATGACGTACTTGCCACAAGCCGCTGCTAAGTTTACACATTGCACCGATAACGATATTGCCGCTATCAAAGAAAGAATAAATCAACTTCAAACACGTCTTCGGTGCCCTAATACCGGGGAAACGTCAAGACACAACAAGAGTTCGTGAGGGAAAAGAATCCATTCTTCAAAAGATTAGAATGATTAAGGAAATGGTGATCAGCAGAGCATTGCTGACAGCACTTTGCAGCACGACTCTTCAGCTAGAGAAATTTCTAATATCAACCCCAAACTTAAAAGAGACGAAAGCTCGTTAAAAGGAACGAAGTAAACTTACTGAGGAGCAGAAAAAAGGTTCTAATGTGGTCCTCTTTGTTCGTACAACTTGAAAAGAACTACATTTTGCGAAGACGAGGGCTATCCTTAGAGGGGAAATGTTTGAATTCAAAGCGTCCCAAGAAACAATTGAATTTCAATCCGAATTCTAAAACTATATACGGTCTTATTACGAAGTTAAAAAACGATTTGGGGGAAGTATTTGAAAACTTATTTCCACCGGGTTTCACCAGCCTACACTTTGGCGAATGCTCCCAAATTCATTGCTACGGGAAAGAAAAATCTATCAGCGATGTATCGGTTTAAAGCGCGTTGCATTGATGGGTCAATTAAATTTTAAACGACTTTAAAGAATGAGACAATTTAAAAAAAACTGGGTGGAAATTTATTGGCAGTTCGCGGGGAACTACCTTGGACCTCCTTTAGGGGGTTTGCTACATGGACTCACAGTACGGTATTGTTAGTTTATGGGGAAAAAATGAACGTAAAAGCCGTAGCAACTGCACTCTGAAAGTAACCCATGATTTACAGTCGGGGAAACCATGTCGGGGATTGCCGTACAACACGGTCTCATGTATTGCCATGCGGCGGGTTGGTCCGGGAAGGCAAAGAGGGGCCCGGTTATTTGCCGTTTTTCCAGATAAAATTTCAACACTTACCAGAACGGAAAGAGACGGAAAACCTCGGTTGAAGAGCAACTTTCCCTGAAAACTATCACTAACAGAATAGGCTTTTCCTCATTCAGATTTAACCACAAGTAAGAGGACGGTTCCGTGATTTACCGTCGCTGATGCAGACACCGGTTTTTAATTCTATTAGACCAAATATGGGCCGTTATTTAAATGTCTTTTAAACGCACGAGGAGATTGGGATTGCGCCTGTAGGCGTTTCCTCGGGCCAAAAGAATCGGTTGTTCCTAGTGGCGGGAAGTCGAAACAACGTGGATGTTTACGTCAGCAAAACGGACATGTAAATTTGTAGAACCGCATATCTTGAAAAACCGTGGACGGCGTACCCAAGGCCCATGGCACTCTGCTTCTTTGCGAAGAAAAGTCACGCCTTCCGTGACCATGATAAAAATGATAAAATGAAAAACAGAACCTACAATTGTAAACCAAATGACAACTGGACAATACGAAAATATAATGTTGTATGTCTCCGAAATGATTAGGTTGGTGGTGTAATCTTTTCATTTTATTCATGTTCGCCCATCCTTGTCTGTTCTGTCTGCCTGTCTGCGGATGTGGACGAGGATATCTTCAAGCCTTGGGGCATTTACCTTCATAACAATGGGAACAAACATAACGGGTTGGGACATCGAAAAGTAAAGTGTTTTTATAATTTTGTTACAATTATACTATAACTTTTAAAACCCACATCTAAACACTTAAATAGACTTGTCAGGGTTTCAATCTGGAAGAAAAAACAACAACAACATATTCATTTTAGGGAAAAGTTCAAAAAAATTTTTCAACTGAAAAGCGAACATTGCAGACCATGAAGAGGTGGCTAATCTTGTTTCGGACTTATCGCATGTGTTGAATCCTATTGCCAGCGTTAATGTTGATTTGCGTCAAATTTTGAGGTACATGAATAAACATTTGTAAGAATTTCGATATGAACTTTATAAACACATTCTTGACAAAATCTTAATAATCCATTTTCATTCGGGCCAAACCCAATATTTTTACCTGGTCTGTATGCGTTTTAATTATGGCTAGAGTGTTATTTTAGTTTTTTAATATTCTGACAAGATTGCAACTTAGAAGTTTTAAACTCATCGGTTTTTTTTAAATTCACGTAGGGCTACAAATTTTATTGTAAAAATGCTTCACGTTTCATATATCTGATTCTCTTTAAATTTCTTTATTTACGGCAATGTAAGGAATATGTTATTACCCTGAAAAAATATATAGTGTTTTTATTTTTCTAATTTTTTTAAATGACATTTTTTCTGGACGTAGTCTTATGTAATATTTAAAAAAAAACATACCGGCTATTTCGTTGTTTTTGTTACTCTATTTTTTTTTAATCCAAAAATTCGTTTCTTTAAACCCTGATTCAAATATATAAAATTTTTGTTAAATTTTATGCACCCCAGGAGAATATCAAAACATGAAACGAAAACAATCATTGATTGATCAATAAAAAAAGGCGGTAAACATCGCCACATAACAAAAAAAATCGATTTAAGATAATCGATAACTGGTGTAAGCAAAATTAATTTGTTTTTTAATCAAGGAATTTTCTCCTTGTTATGTTTTTTTTCTTCGTTTCCTGTACCTCCATGATCCCCTTAAATTTATAATGGACTGCATTGCTTAGAATTTGGAAACAATCCCATTGTTCCTTTTAAAAAAAATCAACCATAAGAATGGACAGAATTATATGCACCAACCTTGTCAAACTTCAATTATATCTGCTGTATCTTGAAAATTTAATTAGTAACGCATGAATAATCTTTAAATGCCAGAAAATTGTATTAAAATGTTGATACAATACTTAAACAGGTTTCCAAGCAAAATTTTTAGCAAAAAAAAAAAGTATTCAGGGAAACCCCAAAAGCAAGGGGCGTAAATTCCCCCCCCCCAATAAATGAGAGTTCTGGGTTAAAAACCTGAAAAATATATGCAGGATTTAAAAAAATCATTTTCCATATAAAAATTTTCTCTAAGAAAACGAATGAAAGGGGGGTGAAAGTTTCATGGGAAAAATGCAAAGGTTTTAAACTTTTTTGGGGTTCCCTCTTTTTGTTTATTTTACATAGAAAATCCTTAGAAAGGCCCTAATCCTTTTTTTAACAACAGTCAAACAATTTTTTTTTTTTAAATTTAAAATTAAAAATGAAAACCATGAAATTGAATATTTTAACTCTCCCACAATCGGGTTTCCCGTAAAAGAGTACAATAAAAAAAGGGTTAAACCTGTATGTTTTTTTTTTTTAAATAGATGTAACAATAAAATTGTGCATTAATATTTGAAGGTGGGGTTTTCTTTTTTGACAAGCCGGTAAAATTTGACCAAATAGTCCTAGATAGGAACAAATAAAGGTAAATACTTTTAAAAAGATAGAAAAACCAGATACACAGGAAACTGAAGTTAAAAAAATAACCCCTACTAATAATCCCTTTTTGATGAAAATAAATGTTTTTTGAAAAGAATAGTATTAATTTAAGTCTGCAACTGTTGGCCAAAATATAGAATCTCGTAAGAACATTGCATGTATAAAAACAGTTCATTTTAAAATTTGAATTTTGAAAATTTATTCCAAAATTTTACATAAATTAATTAGATTTAATGTAACAAAAAAATTAAATTTCAAGATGCATGGAGTTAATAATTTTAAGTAAATTATAAGACTTAAGCTCTGGTGTTATTATATAGAAACAAGAGAATAACATTTTTAAAATAAATTTCAAAACATTGAACTTTTTATTTTAAACACCCTTTAAATGTAAGCAAAAACAAGGCCCGTAAACAATTAACCCGCTCGCAGCAAGTTTAAATTAAAACGCATCGTAAAAACCTTAAATGCAATGGTTTTCGTCCAATTTTGGTTTTGTCTTTTTCCGCTAATTCGGGTTTATTAAGTCTGAAATTTCTAAAACATCAAAGGTGAGGCGCGTACCCGAAATTTTCAAACATGAAGATTATTTTCTAAAAATGAAGGGATTTAACGTTTTGTTTTTGTATATTAATTTTAATGGATGGTTTTTGAAACAAAATATTTGTTTGTGATTCAGAGGATGTAAAATAAGTTGTAAAAATGAGTGAAAGTATTGATTGTAAGTGAATGTTTACATAATTTATATCGGCGAAAACTAGTGATGTTTAGGTTGGTGTTGTCAAGTTAAAGGGAAAAAATGAAAAAATATTTTCAGTGTTATTTTATTTTACTGAAAGTATTTTTGTTATATATTTGCTACATATTTCAATTTAGATTCATTTTGTGTGTGTTTCTGATAAGATATCCAGATAAAATCATAAACTGGAACTTGTCAAAATAATTTTTGAACAACATAACGTGATCATCACATACAACTGATTACGTACACATGAGCTGTCAAACGAACTACAATATTTGAATTTCCATTTATAAAAAAAAGCAATCCTTTCATCTATAAATAACTCTTTGCAAACAGTAATGCAAAAAGAATTCAATGTTAGATTTATTGGTAATTAATGACGAATAAGATTCTTTTAAAATAAACATTGTAAAAGAAACCATATTTTCCTGTAAACTTTTGCAATAACAATAAATAATGTTTGTTTATGAACCAGATATGGAGATAAACTTGTTTCTTTTTTTTAATTGTCAGTTTTTTTTTACAATTACATAGGCCTATATATGATTTTTATTTGGGTTTAAAAAACATTTTCCTATTTTAGGAAAGTGTGCTCAATTACTGGGAAAGGTGGATTGCCTGGGGTTTACGGGGAAACAAGAGCTAAAAGACAGGGGGGTTTAAGGGGGCCATTAAAAAAGGGGAGGGTTTTTAACACTTAAGGGCATTAAGGTTTTTTTTTCTTAAAAATTTTTAAAAACAATTAAGGGGGGTATTTAAGTAAAACTTTAAAATTTTTTAAAGGGAAATTTTGGGAAATATGCCTTTCCGAAAAAAAATTAAACCCCCGACAATCTTTAAATATATATTGGAATAACAGTATTTCTCAAAATACAAGGGGGTAGGTTTTTTGTATTTTAATTTATGTAGCATTGGTTGTTAAATGTCAATTTTGCAAACAAAAGCCCAGTAAAAAAGCAGGAAGCAGGGATCGAAAAAATTTTTCAGAACCCCTCGTCCTGCAGGAAAAGTTTTTCTCCATTATTTCAGGCAACAAAAATTT